CTAAGGTTTTAGCTAAGGAGGCCTGTTGACCGATTTGACTTAAAGTACGTACGTTGAAGGCTCCAATGTGTAGTTTGGAGCGAGGTTTTAGTAGACCTGGGATAGCGTTTCGCGCACTAGAATCGTTGGCCATGGTGACACTTGAGGAGGAAACCGAGAGAGGAAGTTTAGTGTTGAAAGTCAAGGTAGTAGGAATTGAAGAAGGAGATTGATTATGAATACAGTGGTCTTGAGTGTTGTTAGAGGTATGAGGGCAGTTATCACTTCCCGGTTGCCCACACCGTGGAAGGATTCTTCTAGAGGTACCTGAAAAGGAAATTGGGTTAGAAGTGGTCTTAATGACCGGAGAGCGTGACCGCAGTGCCCAAGGGACAACTGCTTGAGGTCGGTCACACACGACCTTTTTGTGGGTAGTTTTTGTGTTAGCTCCGTTCTTCAAAAAAAAACCTTACCGCCGGAGACGGATATCCGTGGGATAAGGCGAGGTGTGCATTTTTAGGGTCGACCTTTTCTAACCCCACCCCTCCTTGTGGGAAGGCAGCATCGCTGTCATGCTGGTTGTCTGAAGGAAACACCTTACTGCTTTCACACCTCTGTACAGTCAGCAGTACGACTTCGCCTTCGGACCTTGGGTTTGCTGCTTTTAGTCTCACCGCTCTTCAATCGACCTGTCTGGCATGGTAGGACCTCGAGGAACGATTGTTCCAGCCAGCATAGCTCGATTGCTTCATCACGATAGGCAAGCCCGACCACCACGTCAAGGTAGCAGCAACGGTCGGGAGGTAGCAGCAACGGTCGGGAGGAACTCAAATAAACCGAAAGGAGTCGTGATGGCAGTTTTCTCTATATCTTCAAGAGCGACTGGGATCTGATGATATGCTCGTATCAGATCGATCTTGGAAAAAATTGTCGTGCCCTTGAGTGATGCCGTGATGTCATGTATGTGGGGGATGGGATAGCTATCGAAACGTGTAGCTGTGTTTAACGCTCGGTAGTCTCCGCATGGTCTCCAACCAACCCCATCCTTTTTTCGAACCATGTGGAGAGGTGAGGCCCAAGGACTGTGAGAAGGACGAATAATACCAGTAGCTAGTAAATTGTCGAACTCACGTTTAGCGAAAGCTAATTTGTCCGGTGCCAGTCGGCGAGGTCTTGCCGTGACTGGTGGTCCGCGGGTGACTATGTGGTGTACCACACGATTGGTCACCAATGGAGTCTCCTCGAAAGGTTTAGTTAATTTGGGGAATTTCTGAAATAAAACGTGGAATAAATCGTCACGCGAATGAAATACACCTGTGATTCGGTACGCGTTTGTGTGGGCTTTAGAGCCCATAAAGTTGCTGTTCGACGAAGTATCAATTAGCTGCAGCCTACGTGAATCGACTAGCAATTCATAGTGCTGTAGGAAATCGATACCGAGTATAGCTGTGGGAACATCGACAATGATGAACGTCCACAGATACTGTCGTCGGTTGCTCAGGTTGACCGTAAGTTGTCGTGTACCATAGGTGGGAATGACTGAGCCATTCGCAGCGCGTAGTCGAAGCATAGTGGCTTGAGACTTACTGTTACCGATAGGTACGACAGAAACTTGGGCACCCGTATCCACAAGGTACCTAGCGTTGGTGCGATAATCGTGCACGTAAAATAAACGGCTAACCTGAGGTGAAGTGCCGGCGAGTACGGCCGCATTTACTCGCCGGCTGAGAAGTTTCCCGCCTTGTATGAGCAGGGAGCTCGACAATGACGGGCACCGGCTCCGAAAGCACGGTGAAACCAGCACCAACCTGGACTCGCTTCCGAAACCGCCTTCTGGCGTGGCTTGGAAGGTGCCCGCTTGGGGCGAGTCGTTACGGCTTTTCGAGATTGTGACCTGGGTCGGGGGACGTAGGGGGCTGGCACATTTGAGCGGTCTCGAAAACTGAGACGAGTATGAATACATCTGTCCCTATCCCCATGAGCCGGAGGTCGTCTAGCATCGAGATCAATGTTAGAACGGGAAGTACTAGCAACCAAATAGTCGTCTTTGGTGTTAACTCGTGCTAGAATCTTATCTGCTATGAGGGCCACCTTGTTGAGCGGGGTGTCCTCGAGCAGAGCCGTAAGGGTTGGCTGGATACTGACTGGTAAGGCTTCGAACCACAACTCTTTGACTATCTCAGAGTCAGCTGTCATGTTTCCTGCAAGGGATTGCAGGCGCGTGAGGTGGTGGCTCGGCTTAGCATCACCCATAGGGTGACGTGCTAAAAGTGTCCTCAATCGTTCCTCTCTTGATGGGAGGAAATGTCGAAGGATGGCATCCTTAAGACGGTCATAAACGTTTGGAACGTTGGGATTGAGGACAACCTCACGGACAGCGGTTAGGTGATCCCCGGGCAATGATTCCAAAGCGTAGGCGTATTTCTGCCTTTGGTTGGTTATGCGGCGGATCTCAAATTGGGATTCCAGTGCCGCGAACCAGACTTCTGGATCATGGGGGATGAAAGGAACCGGTCGGAAACTGATAACCTGTATCTCGGAGTCTATCATATTTATGTTATTCCAATCGTGTTCTTATCGAGACTGGCCGGTCACTACAGGAGCCCCCCGCTAGAAAGGATTTACACTTTCGATACGCAGCGGTTTCATTCGTGGGACTGATCGCGAAACGTGCAATTGTAGGACGAAGACGTTGGCAGAACAGGGAGTGATCGTTGATCCTCAAGTTGCCACCAAAAGTCTTTGACGTAGAACGGTACCAGAAGGAACGTGCTGTATTGATTGCTTGGATTAGCATGCTACACCAGAGTGGTTTGTATTGAGAATCTGAAGGTTGCTTTCGTAGAGGTCCGGACCAGAAACGCTGCAGACGTAGGACGAAACCAGATTGAGCCAAGGAACCAGATGCGACCAGGATAACCATGTTCGGGACCAAATGTATATCATACGTATTTGGAGCCAGAGAGATCGACTGAGTGCGTTGACTAGAGCGTGGGTGATCAGGCCAGCTTTCGCGAAAGTTGACTGAAGTCGACGATACCGTAACAGCGATGGTCGGAGGCGTAGGCTCGGGGTAAACAAAAAAAATGATAGAAAAAGAGAAAAGTGTAGCTTTCTTGTAGTATAGGGGCAGATTCCTATACTGTATCCGTAGTTGGTTATGAGGTTAGTCGAGAAAGCGTACGGGTAAGCGTACTCGGCGACCAGAACGTGAGACGGTAGTCTCGTTCGAACCTCGTGAGCCTGCAATCTCATCCGCAGTCAAGGGCGGTGTGGTCTGCAGGTCTGGACGTGAGACGGAAGTCTCGTCCGTAGACGGGGCAGATGACACGTGCTGTTGACTGGGACGTGAGAATGAGGTCTCAGGTGCATCTAGCGTGGGATCCGAAGTAGATGTAGAAATCCCGCTAGAAGTTCTGATGGGTCTAACATTGGGTCTCGGCTTATCAGGTATAGCACTGTCATCGACGTGTGCTGGCTTGAGACGATCAATGCTGACTGTTTCGATGCGGCCACGTCGATCAACCTTGAAGGTCTTTTCGTGACGGGAAATCACGTGAAAAGGTCCTTCGTAAGGCTGTTGTAGAGGTTTGCGTACCGAATCTACTCGTATGAAAACATGTGAACAGGTAGATAACTCTCGAGGGAGAGCGACCTGTCGATGTTGTATACGAGTTGACACCGGAGTCAGTGTTCGCATGAATGCAGACAGTCGTTGGACGTAGTCTGATTCGCCGAACTTAGTGCTGCTCCGTGGTGTGAAAAATTCCCCAGGCAGACGCAATGTCGTGCCGTAAACAAGTTCAGCGGCGGAACATTGAATATCTGCCTTTAGACTCGTTCTGATTCCTAGGAGGACGAGCGGCAGGGTTTCGTACCAATTGTTGTTTTCGTGTGCTCGAAGAGCACTTTTAAGTTGGCGATGAAACCGTTCAACTAAACCCTTTCTAGCGGGGGGCTTCTGTAGTGACCGGCCAGTCTCGATAAGAACACGATTGGAATAACAGAAACAATTATTATTATTGTAACCAATTGTACCAGAGATTGTTTAACTGTATCAGACTCACTTCTTGTTCCATATACCGCCTTGTTTGGTTCGAGCTTGCTCACGCACTGCTTGTTCGCTTGTACTCTTTGGCACGTCTCGGTATTATTTCGATACCACGAGATCGCCAATAAATATACTTGATCTGGACTAGTAAAGCCTTCTGGTTTACGGGCTATCAAGGGAACCAAGTCATATTTGTACGCGTAATCGAATAGTAGTGGTGATCATAGTCCGTCCACGACTCGACATCCACTACAGTTTCAACAAATCCTGAAGCTCCACTGCCACTTCAGCCTGGTTTTTTTAACTTTCTGGCCATCAATTTGGTCCCACTGGGTGTCGCTACTACATGGGATAAATTTTTTATTACGTCTCACTATCAGATTTAAAAACTGGAATAGAGACAAGCTACGGCCGTAGATTCTTATTATAATGGGTCTTATTATTTGCTTGGAGACACTGTGAAACCACTTAACGTTACCACATTGTGCGTATACTTACTATTTTCCCCTCAATTGTACTAATGGTCAGCTGACAGTTATTGCAAAGTGGTACCAAGACCTACTGTCATTATAATTTGGAATCGATAGAATTCTATAGTATTATAGTGCTTTAGTGGATTTGTATCCATATAACACTGCATATCAGGCCACCAATCTTTGAAAAATAGTTACAAGTGTTGAATGCTACTCAAAAGTCAGTAATGGTCCACGAGCCTTTCAAATTAACTGACTATGATTGCGCTTATAGTCTGCTCTTTCCATATATTGAAGGTATAAATCCTCTTGTGATGAAAGATAATTGGTTCTAATGATCAAATCAATGGATTACCATTCACGTCTTAACACTAGAAGTTTATACATCGCGTTTTATTACGGCGTTAGCAACTGAGAAACTGACAGTTTCTTCCATAACATTTACAGACATTTGCGTTTTCTACACTAAATCCAAACTGTTTGATCCCTTTTTGTAGAATCTTTTATACTCCAAATGGATGAATTCGAGGAATACAGGTATGTTACTTTGTTTTCATATCTCAGTGATTTAGGAATCCACTTACTAAGCGATATGCAAGCCGTGAAATGGTGTGCAATTTCGGTGAAAAACGAAAAGTAATCCTCTGGCGCCAACTGTGGATATGGCTAGCAGAAACACAAAAAGAGCTTGGATTCGATATCACAGGTAAGTTATCATCAGACTAGTTGAATAATGTGTTTATTTTCCATAAAATAAGATGAAATCTTTATGTGTTTACCAATACCGATGATGGACTAAATTAGTTAGGTTCTTTTACCCAACCTTTCTGTGGTTAAAGAATTTCACATCCTGATTCTGAAACTAGATTAGCTGTAGAAGTTCACACGATTTGAAAACGTTTTCCTTCCTTACTTTATTCCCTGCTTACTTACTTACTTACTTTCGCCTGTTACTCCCAATGGAGCGTAGGCCACCGACCAGCATTCTCCAACCCACTCTGTCCTAGGCCTTCGTTTCTAGTTCTATCCAGTTCTTGTTCATTCTTCTCATGTCTGTTTCTATTTCTCGGCGTAATGTGTTCTTTGGTCTTCCTCTTCTCCTTTGACCTCCAGGATTCCATGTGAGGGCTTGTCTTGTGACGCAATCGGGTGATTTCCTCAAAGTGTGCCCTATCCACTTCCAGCGCTTCCTCCTGATTTCTTCCTCCGCTGGAATCTGGTTTGTTGTCTCCCACAGTAACTTGTTGTTGATAGTGTCTGACCATCGGATCCGAAGTATCTTGCGTAGACAACTGTTGATGAACACTTGTATCTTCTGGATAATGGCTTTCGTAGTTCTCCACGTCTCCGCCCCATACAATAGAACTGTCTTGACATTTGTATTGAAGATTCTAACTTTGGTGTTGGTTGACAATTGTTTTGAGCTCGAGATGTTTTTCAGTTGTAACTATGCTGCTCTTGCTTTGCCGATCCTCGCCCTCACATCTGCATCTGATCCACCGTGTTCATCAATGATGCTGCCCAGATATGTGAAGGTTTCCACATCCTCCAAAGCTTCTCCGTCAAGTGTAATTTGATTGGTGCATATTGTGTTGTATCGGAGAGTCTTGCTTTTCCCTTTGTTTATATTGAGACCTACTGCTGCTGAGGCTGCTGCTACACTGATCGTTTTCTCCTGCATTTGTTGTTGCGTTTGTGATAGAAGAGCCAGATCATCCGCGAAGTCAAGATCGTCAAGTTGCATCCTGCCTGTCCACTGTATCCCGTGCTTTCCTTCAGTCGTTGACGTCTTCATGATCCAGTCGATCACCAGGAGAAAGAGAAACGGTGAGAGTAAGCAACCTTGCCTAACACCGCTCTTTACTTGAAACGAGTCGGTGAGTTGTCCTCCATGGACGATTTGGCAGTTTAGTTCATCATAGGAGTTCCGTATGATATTGACTATTTTCTCAGGCACGCCGTAGTGTCGAAGAAGCCTCCATAGTGTCGTCCTGTCCATGCTATCAAATGCCTTCTCGTAGTCGATGACGTTGATGTAGAGTGATGAATTCCATTCGATCGATTGTTCCACAATGATCCGCAGAGTTGCGATTTGATCTGTGCACGATCTATCCTTACGAAATCCAGCTTGTTGATCTCGAAGTTGGGCGTCCACTGAATCCTTCATCCTGTTTAACAATACTCTGTTGAAGACTTTTCCTGGTATTGAGAGAAGAGTGATGCCCCTGTAGTTATCGCACTTGCTAAGATCACCTTTCTTTGGTATTTTGATCAGAAGTCCTTTTTTCCAGTCTGTTGGTACTTGTTCTTCGTCCCAAATCTTACTGAAGAGGATGTGTAGTATCTTGGCAGTTGCTGCCACATTTACTTTCAGTGCCTCTGCCGGGATGTTGTCTGGTCCCGCTGCTTTGCCACTCTTGACTTGTCTAATGGCCGTGCTGATCTCTTCAATTGTTGGTGGGCCAACATCGATTGGGAGGTCTGTAGGTGCTGCTTCGATGTTGGGTGGGTTCAGTGGAGCTGGTCGATACAAGAGTTCTTTGAAGTGTTCTACCCACCTGTTTCGTTGTTCTTCAATGTCGGTGATTACTTTGCCTTCCTTGTTTTTCACTGGTCTTTCTGGCTTACGGTAATTTCCAGCAAGTTTCTTTGTTGTATCATACAATTGTCTTATGTTTCCTTCTCTTGCAGCCTTTTCCGCTGTCATCGCTAAATCTTCAACATATTTACGTTTGTCGGTTCTGATGCTCCTCTTCACTTGCATGTTTGCCTCTGTGTATTCGGCTTATGCCTTGGCTTTTTCCGCTCTTGTTCGGCTGATATTGATTGCTGCCTTCTTGTTCCTTCTTTCTTCGATTTTATCCAGTGTACCAACAGTGATCCATTCCTTGTGATGGTGCTTCTTTTGGCCCAGAACCTATTGACATGTTGAAACGATTGCCTCCTTGATACCTTTCCAGTTGCTCTCCATGGTAGTCCCCTCTCCATTGAGTAGATCATGAAAGGCCTGGAACCTGTTGCTGAGGGCTATGTTGAATTTGTTGAGTTTCTCAGCATTTCGAAGAAAGGCCGTATTAAACTTTTGTGATGTTGTCCGCGCCGTTGTCCAGTGCTTCTTGAGTTTTAGTTTCATCTTGGTGACCAGCAAATGATGATCGGATGCTATATCAGCTCCTCTTCTGGTTCTCACATCCTCCATCGTCCTCCTGAACGTTTTGTTGATGCAGATATGGTCGATTTGGGTTCTGTGTAGTGTGATCCGGTGAAATCCAAGTGGCTTTGTGTATGTTTTTGTGTGAGAATATGGTGCCACCTATGACCAGTTTATTGAAGGCACATAGGTTTGCAAATCTCTCACCATTTTCGTTCCTTCCTCCCAGTCCATGTTGTCCCATGACGTCTTCATATTCAGTGTTGTCCATTCCAACCTTAGCATTGAGATCTCCCATCAGAATTGTCAGGTCCTTGGTTGGGCACTTCTCGACGATCGAATGCAATCTGTCGTAGAATTGGTCTTTAGCGTCTTCATCGTAGTCGTTGGTAGGCGCATAGCATTGGAAGACGTTCATTGTAATGCCTTCTCTCTTTGTTTTGAAGGAGGCTTTGATGATCCTTGGTCCATGAGATTCCCATCCAATAAGTGCATTTTGTGCTTTTCTGGACAGCATCAATGCAACTCCTTGTGTATGTGGGGCATTTTCTTCTTCATGACCGGAGTATAACAGAAGTTCTCCTGAAGACAGTCGTTGTTGTCCAAGCTGGGTCCAATGTGTTCCGCTGATTCCAAGAACCTCCAGGTTGTATTTTCTCATTTCTGCAGCAATTTGGAAGACTCTTCCGGTCTCCCACATTGTCCGGACATTCCATGTACCTATAAAAATTTTCGCTCTGGTTGTAAGAAGGTGCATCGGCCTCATGACTTCCGAGGGAGCTCGGCTTTCATCATGAGACGTCATAATTATTCCTTCTACTCCCAGGGCAGAGTTTGAAAGGTTTGAATGATTTTTTCTGGTTAGTGTTTTTTTAGCGAGTTGATTTTCTACGGGATGGGGTCGCTAACCCCATGCCCAACCCTCCTCCTTTACCCGGGCTTGGGACCGGCAGTAACCCCCAGAGGAGCTACAGGCGGAGTTTTTATTCCCTGAGTTCATGTAATATTATTTTATTTGTTTATTTAAACACATAAATATTGGTACAATGAAGCACCAGTTAAATATGCGCCTCACAAATCTCATTCGATTTGTTTGAGGGCTGTGATACTGCCCAGGTGCCCGAACTGAAGCAGGTGGTTTTCTTAGGGGGCCACACCCGGAGCCTTTGACCTAAAGATCTGATCCACAAGGCAGTGGAGCATCGTGAGGAGATGCAGTCCCATGGTAGCCGGTGATTAACGATTGATTCGTACGCCATTAGTTCCATCAGGATACTGGAGCCCATGTGCACCATTGGTTTGGAATCAGGGTTTTCCAACTCCCCTAGGTGGATCCTCCGTGTCCACCAACCCGGTTAAAGCGCCTGACATTCGCTTTTCGTCCTCTCACTTTCGTAAACAACACCCGTGGCACGAGAAGGCAGTGAGTAGGACTTCCCTGGCAGAGGCTATATATTCGCTGGCCATATGAGAGTATTTCGAGAGGGAGAGGTGACTCTCCCCACTCTCGGCCGTACCAGGGCATTTGGGGGCTCATGTAATATTCACAGCATCAAATTAAATAATAAGACAGTACGTATTATTGTCTGTTTTCAGGTCCTTCATGATCACCTTTTAAATTACACGTAATAGTGATTGCAGATAAGCTTAGTACATGTGGCACACTTTTTTATTCATGCCACTTATAGGTATCAGAATTTCTCATTAAATATCAGTTAAGCGAAAGACCAAAGACTATAGTGAGCAACATGCTCCAATTCATCAATGTTCAGCAACACCATATATATATATATATATATATATATATATATATATATATATATATAAAGTGAGAGCCTTAGGCATTTTGCTTTTTAACTTAATAGGTGTTAACGCGTAAAATCTTGGTTCCCCAATGATCAGTAGTATGTGGTCTTATTTTATAATACCTTATTCAGCACTATGTCGTTCAGTATTTTTCTAAACCTTTCTTTGTCAAGTGATGTTCCATGCCTATATTGTACTTTTATTGGTTTGGCTATTAGAGATAGCCCATCTAGTTCAGTCAGTCAACTTTTATCCATCTTGATGCATTTTTCATACCTAGGTTTCGTATGTAGGTTATGCACTTCTCTCATAGGATTGTTTTTTTTTTATTAATATGACTCTCCAACACTGATTTAGACGAACAGATTGATGAAATGAAAAGTCAAAGAGATTCAGTGGATTTCGGGACTGCCGCAGCTGAAGAAAAGGCTCGACGACATGACGTTATGGCGCATGTATATACTTTTGCTTTAGCTTGTCCAAAAGCTGCACCAATCATTCACCTCGGCAAGTTTACCTGTTAAATACTATTTTTAGTTAATTGGTTATGATATTTCTAATATATTTTATTTATTTGAACACATGAACACCGGTACAAGAGGGCACCAAATATATATGCGCCACACAATAGCAATGAGGCCAGCAGTAGTTACTATTGGTTTCTATGAGGGCTGTGTTACTACCTGGTTGCCCATCTGAAGCAGGATTTATAAATCAACTTGTTAGTTTTCTTTTTAGTAAAACCTGGCAATATAATTAGAATCCAAGCCATACACTCGGACATAAGGCTTACCTCTTTTGCGCAAAATAAGCTCACAATTGGTTGGTGCAAAATAAAAACATAATCCATGACTTTATTATATACACAGTTTAAAATAAAATTATGTGCGAATCCCGTTGCAAGTCGTGTTTATTACTGATATTTTTAAGTAGTAATGTGTTTTTGCCCCCAAATGCCCTGGTACGGCCGAGAGTGGGGAGAGTCTGCTCTCCCTCTCGAAATGCTCTCACATGGCCAGCGAATATATAGCCTCTGCCAGGGAAGTCCTACTCACTGCCTTCTCGTGGCGGGGGTGTTGTTCATAAAAGTGAGAGGACGAAAAGCGAATGTCAGGCGCTTTAACCGGGTTGGTGGACACGGAGGATCCACCTAGGGGAGTTGGAAAACCCTGATTCCAAACCAATGGTGCACATGGGCTCCAGTATCCTGATGGAACTAATGGCGTACGAATCAATCGTTAATCACCGGCTACCATGGGACTGCATCTCCTCACGATGCTCCACTGCCTTGTGGATCAGATCTTTAGGTCAAAGGCTCCGGGTGTGGCCCCCTAAGAAAACCACCTGCTTCAGTTCGGGCACCTGGGCAGTATCACAGCCCTCAAACAAATCGAATGAGATTTGTGAGGCGCATATTTAACTGGTGCTTCATTGTACCAATATTTATGTGTTTAAATAAGTAAATGAAATAAAGTTAGGATAATTCCTGTCATCTAGTTTCTATAATCACATACTAGTTCGTTCTTTAAATGATAACATTGGTAACATTGTTCTGATTCATACTCCCACAATAACTTTTACTATCATCTGATTGGGTGTCATCATTTTTAGACTGCCAACTTGAAATCTTAAAGTCACTGGACTTTACTATGTAGATAGGGTTGCTCCATTTCCATTTTTGACTTCTTTTGGGAATATAAAGCCATCCTGAAAGCATATGCATTATTAACGTAGAAGTATTGTGTCAGATATCCAATTCCTTCGAATTCCCATTCGTTTGCGTTCGTACTAATATAGTCCTAATTTTTGGTAATCATAATTTACCGTTAGGCCGTACTACAGACTCAATTCTTAGTAGTCTCTTGTTAACGTTTAACAACCATTCGCAGTTTGATTTCGAACTATTAACCAGATTGCAATCGACCTCCTAATTTTCTGTTGGTTACCAAGATCGAGTCAGTGATTATACGCTGACTCTTGTTAAATATAGTTGGTTTTATGATCGTAGTACTTCACACGTTTCTGTTCGTTCGATAGGGATATTTCTGGCAGTTAGTAGCCTACTAACAGTATTCCACTTTTTTTCATTGAACAAGCTTCATGTTGCGATGAAATAAGAGAATTTTACTACTACAGGACGTTCGTTAGAATATTTGTAATTTAGGACTGTTGGAGAGGCTAGATCCCCAGAACACACTTGGTAAATGCCCTATTTTTGTAGTTCTATTTTAAAAATCTGAATTTCTCGTTTTCGCGCCGAAAGCATCCATTTCCACCTTCATGTCGTATTTCCCACTTGAGAGGATTTTAATCGCTATCGGTTCGTTGTATCTTTTATTATGCTATTTTGTAACGCTTCCCAGTGACATTCTTATGCTGTATATATACGCTTGAGTTGTGCTTGTTGTTATTGTTCGTACTCCTGGCTCCTTGTGGAATATATTTCCTCCTTCATAACTTGAACCTCCCTCTCTAGTTATCGGTGCTGGGACGCATCGGAATAGTTAGCTGATTTAGTCATCGTTTAACTGAGTCTTCGTCCGTTCTCAGATTAGGTGAACTTGTAACCTCTTCAAACATAGCAAGGACCTGAAAAAGAAACATCAGTTTCGAAAAGTAATGAAAACCTGTGTCAAGCAGGATCTCAGGTTACAAGAATGAAAGCTCATTACTAAATACTAGTCAACCTGTCTTTCTGGCTGGTAATACCTGCATGCACGCAGTACGTAGTGATAATCACATATTCGAAAGACTTCTGCTCAACTATTTGTACAATTTTAAGACCTAAATACACTTGGAATGAAAGTTAGTATTGTTTGTCTTCAAATATTAGTGTGATCCCTAACAACTTACTTGTGAGCTCATTACCATAAATATGCTGTAAAAGCTTAAACTAATAAAGTTGGTTATAGGAAAAATAAGTCAATGAGGATACATTAGTTCTAAACCAGTACCTCATGTGATTGTTACTACTTCTGTAAATATTGATGCTTGGACCCACCCTTTAAATTTTTAAATCTCAAATTTATTCTTAATGCTAAAAATTAATCTAAATTTACTATCAATTGTTCAAAGGACTGAAATACAACTCTACGTCCGAGGGTGCGGATAGTCCGCTCTCCCTCCTAAAATGCTCTCACATGGCCACGTGTATACAGCCACTGCTAGAGAAGTCCTACTCACTGCCTTTTTTGTGTACGGGATCGAGAGGACAAAAAGTGAATATCCGGCGCTGTAACGAGGTTTGTGGGCACGGAGGATCCACATAGGGAAGTTGGAAAACCTTGATTTCAAGCCCATGATGTACATGAGCTCCAGGATCCTGAGGAAGCAAATGGTGTATGGACGTATTGTTGATCACCGGCTGCCATGAGATTGCATCTCCTAATGTTGCCCCACTGTCTCGTAGACTGGACCTCTAAGTCGAAAGCTCGGGATGTGACTTCCTGTGAAAACCACCTGTCTCGATTTGGGTGCTCGGGCAGCATTCTAACCCTCACATAGATCGAATGATGAAGTGTGGCGCCTATCTATTTGTTGCCCCCTTGTACCAGTGTTTATGCGTTTAACTAATAATAATGATGCGAAGAAGAAGAATGTAACAACCCACATGAAATGCCCTAATACTGCAATTCTTTGTGTGCTGTACCATGTTTCTGTTTAATGAACACAGTAGTTGCTAATTTCAGAAAGTTTCATAATGGATAATACACTACATCACTTTTTTATTTGGTGAATGTATGATTGTCAATTAAATCCAAGATTTGCAATATATTATATGATGATGAACGAATTAGAAGTATGTAATGGTTATCTAATCAATAATAACGCTGTTTCACTGCATGCAATCGAATCATACGTGTTTAGTTCTATTCGTCTATTCATAAGATCCATTTTTGAACAAAATAAATTAAGCGAAATTTCTGAATCATCAAAATATTGAAGTTCAGTTTCTTCTCTCTAAGTTTTCAGGTGGTCGTGTACCTGAGAAATGCTATCCTTTGAGATTTTTTTCTACTATATGCAGATTTAAGTTCTTTATCTTCTTTTCGAAACATAAACATTATTTTTAGCAAAGTACGCTTTAAGTAATAAAAATGCACATATTTATTTGTATCATTGATTTTGTTTGATCTGGTTTTGATATATATATACAGGTGCAACATCTTGTTTTGTTGGTGATAATGCCGATTTAATTATGCTTAAGGATGGTTTAAATATACTTTTACCGAAGGTTGCTAGGTGTATTGACCGGTTAGCTAAAAAAGCTATGTTGCACAAAAGTTTAATATGTCTCGCTCGCACCCATTTGCAACCCGCTCAACCTACTACAATGGGCCGTAGAATATGTATGTGGATACAAGATTTGTTATTAGATTTAGAAAATCTAGAAAGGTTGAAGAACCACACAATCCGTTTTCGTGGTGCTAAGGGTGCAGTGGGAACTCAAGCATCTTTTATGGATTTATTCCAAGGTGATCATCAAAAGGTTAGTTTTCTTACTTTTGTGTCTTTTTATTGTATCATGATTATTCGTTCAAATAAAAAACATAGTGTTTCTGAAGGATCCACATACTTGGCTCTGGGTTATTCTGAATTACCTCCAAATTATTTTGCCTTAAGTACCTAAGAGGACAATCAATACACTTCTTGAGTTACGGTCATTCTTCAGGGTTATCGTATAAATAATGGCAAAAGATAAAGTGTAATGTTATTTAACTAGATATGTTTTATAATGATCCCATCGTTTTCTTTGGTAAATGAAAGTCCTTAAAGTTTTTAGAATATATCTCGTTACGAATAAACGGCTCAACACGAGGAAAAAGCAGAAAAACTACATATGAAGATTTATTGTGCCGAAACAGACCAATAACCATGTCCGAATATACCGAGTTTTATATGTTTTGCCTATACTAGTCAATATCTGAGTTCGAATAAATCGAATCGGGTAGTACTAGACATTGATTATTCGGTAACTTAATATCCAGATACAATTTACATCATTAAGTTGAATTGTTATTATTAAGAAACATATCTATCTTACCAAGTGACATTATCACCCCATCCTAACACCTTTTCATTTTCACTTGAATTTGTATACATAAATTGATTTTGTTTTAAACTTTTTGTGATGTCCTGGATATGAATTATGTTAGCGTCATGTAACAGCTATTTATAGTGAATTGTTTTACAGGTTATCAAGTTGGACGAAATCTTAACCAAAAAGTCTGGATTCCAACGTTCTTGGTGTGTAACTGGTCAAACTTATCCAAGAAAAGTAGACATTGAGATCACTAACGCATTGTCGAATATAGGTGCAACTGTCCATAAAATATGCACCGACATACGACTACTGAGTAGTTTTCACGAAGTTGAGGAACCTTTTGAAACCAAACAGGTAATATCTTCTAATAACTTGCTTAATGTCCGAACATATTTAAAAATGATTTGAAAAGCTTTGACTTAAGCGTTATGAGTTATGGATTTCCCAGTGTCGTTGTTGTTATGACTTTATAAAAGAAAGAAGGTCATATTCAATTCGTTAGGATTTTATGTCCGGCTTTTATCACGTGAATTATCCACTAATTGAAATACGACTTTTCCAATCTTAACACTGTGTCAAATCAATGGCGTTCAACTGGTATGAGCAGTCTAGCGTGCTTGTTGGTCCCTTGTCCGCCTAGCCCTTCCAACTGAATCCAGAACACCAATTACAGCTTCTGCTATGCGAATCATTTATTTCAAGCATACTAGACAGACAGACGGCATCACACCATAAAATAGAAAATAATATTTGTACAAGATCAGGCCAAGTGTGGCTGTGAACGTGGGATATAGTAATCCCTAAACTGAATATAATTTAGGGACAGTAATTCGTATAATAATTTATAGGTCGAAATGAGGCTTATAGTAAGATAAATATAGATATACACAATCTAGTTACTCAGTAGTCAAACAATAAGAATATATATATATATATATATATATATATATATATAGAGAGAGAGAGAGAGATAATAATCGTCCATTAATAGGTCCCGGAAGTTACCCGTACTTATGTCTTCACTAGGATATAACAGTTGCTAGTACTACGCCTAGTAATACTTGTATCCTGATACAGATCTCAATTATCATAATATGCTCTTAACTGACTGAATGATCAAGAACGGTTTTAATTCGAACAAAATTGATATGTCTTTATGCCAAAAGAAGGGCACTGTTAGAAGATGAAGTTTTATTTCACCATCCAAACAACATATAGCATTCCGTTTACAAATACATTCATTTATATACAGATCTACTTGAATTAATTATCCATTGCCGAATGGATGCAAAACTTACTGGTACATCTAATTGACACAACAAATTTTATAGAAACAGGTGTTAATGCCGAACGAAATATCAAACGATCTCACACTCCACCTTATTCAAGAAACAACATATCGCGAATGACTTAGGTTTACTCATCACAAAGATATAGATAAATATATATAAAAATGCTTTCATTTAATAGTTTATCCAAGATCATTACGATAAAAAATATCCATTAGAATATCTTATCATTTGCAAATTCGCTGACTTAGTGAATAAAGGATCAAGTTGTTGGTTTGGACTTTACTTCACCTACTTCGTTTCAACAGCTATGTGATATCGTACGTCCTCAAACAAAACTCCTAGCTCAACACCAAGGACGCAGATCCATACTTGGCTACTGAGCTGCATTATACTGTTCCATTGTAATATTTTAACTCCGCGTGTAGCTCTTCTCGAGTTACTGATGGTCCCGAGCCCAGGTAAAGAAGGAGAGCTGGGCATGGGGTCTTTAGCCTCATTCCGTAGAAAAAAAGTCTTGTTAAAAAAACGCCAACCAGATTACATAGATTAAACCATATACACTCTGCCCTCATAGTTGAAGGAAGAATTATGACGCCTCAGGATGAAAGCCGAGATTTTTCGGAAGCCACGAAGACGATGCCCCTTTTAACAACCAGAGAAACACTTTTTATAAGTATATGGAAAGTCCGGACAATGTGGGAGACCGGGAAGAACAGTTAAATAGCAACGGAAATGAGGAGATACACATTGGCAGTACGTGGAATCAGCGAAGCTCATTGAACCCAAGCTGGACAGAAAAGGCTAGATGTGGCAGAGATGTTTCTCAACTCCGGTCACGAAGAGGAAAGTGCTCCACACACTCAGGAAATTGCTTTAATGCTGTCCAGAGAAGCACGAAATGCACTTGTAGGATAGGAATCTCATGGATCTAGAATCATCAAAGCATCATTCAAAACAAAGAAGGAGGGTATCATAACGAATGTTATGCACTCACCAATTATAACAACGACAAAGATCAGTTCTATAAGAGGTTGCAATCAATCACAGCGAAATGCCCGAGAAAGGACCTGACCATCACGATGGGAGACTTAAACTCCAAAATCGGAATGGACAACACCGGATATGAAGATATCACGGGACGATATGTACTGACTGGAATATTGAGACGAGGATTGCGACAGATTTGCAAATTTGTGTGCATTCAACAAAGTGGTTATAGGCGGCAAAATATTCCCACACAAACATACACATAAAGCCGCTTGGATCTCGCTGGACCACACCAATGAGAAGCATAGCGATTATATTTGTATCAACAAACAATTCCGAAGGACAATGGAAGATGTGAGGACCAGGAGAGAAGCCGACATAATTACAGATCACCATCTACCTGGTTGTGGCCAGGATGAAACTGAAGCTAAAGAAACACTGGACAACTGGGGAAACAGCATTACAAAGGTTCAATACAACCTTCATTCGAGTTGTTGACAAACTCAACCGATTCAAGTTAACTCTCAACAACAGGTTCCAAGCTGTATAGGATCTACCGAAAGAGGAAACTAGAAAGGAGGACAATTGGAAAGGGATCAAAGCACTAACTCCAACGTGTCAGGAGGTTCTGGGTCGCGCGAAGCATCCTCACAACGAATGGATTTCTATCGGAATCCTGGACAAGATTGAAGACAGCAGTTAAAAACAGTCGAACACGAGCAGAGGAAGTCAAGGTGCAAGCAGAGTATGCAGAAGCGAACAAGCAAGTGAAGAGGAGCATTCGATTTGATAAAAAGAAATACGTGGAAGACTTGGCAACGACAGTGGACGAAGTTGCAACCGAAAGATATATCAGATAACTATATGATAAAACGAAGAGACTTTTAGGGAAATATGGTAAACCAGAGAGACCGGTGAAGGACAAAGAAGGCAAGACAGTCACTGAGATTCAAGAACAGAGGAAAAGGTGGGCAGAATACTTCGAGGAACTGTTGAATAGACCAGCCCATTTGAATGCACCGGACATCGATGCAGCACACACTGTCCTTCCTATAGATGTCACCCCACCAAGGATCGAAGAAATAAAGATGACCATCAGACAAATCAAGAATGGGAGAGCGGCAGGACGTGACAATATACCAGCTAAAGCACTGAAGTCAGACATTCAAGTAACTGCAAACATGATTCACCTTCTATTTAAAAAGACTTGGGAAGAGGAACAAGTGCTGACGGACAAATACAGACGAAGACAACTAATGTAGTAGCAGCCTCTGAATCAATAGGTCTCAATATACACAAAGGAAAAAGCAAGATTCTCGAATACAACACGGAGAACACCAACCGAATCACACTTGATGGCGAAACTCTGGAAGAGATGAGAACATTCACGTACCCGGGAAGCATCATTGATAAACAAGAAGGATCTGGTGCAAATGTAAAGGGAAGGATTGGCAAAGCAAGGACCGCATTTCTACAATTGAACAACTTTCAACTAACTTCAAAGTAAGAATCTTCAATACGAACGTCATGACAGTCCTACTGTACGGAGCTGAAACGTGGAGAACTACTACGTCCATCGTCAAGAACGTACAAGTATTTATAAAGAGTTGTTTGCGCAAAATACGCAACATTCACTGGCCGGATACTATCAGTAATAGCGTTTTATTGGATAGGACAAACCAGCTTGCAGCTGAAGAGGAAATTAGGAAAAGACGTTGGAAGTGGATTGGACATATATTAAGGAAACCACAAACTGCATCACGAGGCAAGCGCTAACTTGAAATCGTGAAGGGAAGCAAAAAAGAGGAAGGCCGAAGAACACATTACTCTGGGAAATAGAAGCAGTTATGAAAAGGATGGATGGCAACTGGAAAGGATTGGCCAGGACATGGTTAGATGGAGAGTGCTGGTGTGCGGCCTATGCTCCTCCACGATGGGTATCAGGCGTAAGTAGCAAATAATTATAACATTTTATAAATTAATTTAGGTACCAAGCATAATACACACCTATCACTCTCTCACATATTGTTGATATGGTTTCCAGATACAATTGAGTGTTATGGTTTGATCAATAAGTGTTCCTCACTGACCCTCAACTATTTGTTGGCAACATAGTGAGGAAACTTTTGATCAATTTCATTGGACTTAATGAGCTCTTCCACCATAGAATAGTTTCATTTCATTTTACATTTCTGGGGAGAGTTGTAAACATGGCTTGTGTTTTACAGGTGAGTTCTCAAACATTTCGGAAGAATTAAATCTTATTGTCTGTTACAATAATGTTATCAGCACATTCTTCTTGCATTGTTTGTACACAATCAGATTTATCAGTGTTAGGACCCACCAAGGTAGTATCATGTGGGTCGATTTCACCGACGGAAGATCTGATTATCTTTTGTTTTAATAAAAAGCCCCAATAGAGATTTCGGAAACGTTGACAAACTCCCTTAAATCATCAATATTATCTTATCGACCAAACAAATGAAATAATTCTAATGCAAAATCATAACATTCTTATAGGATAAGGGACATAAAGCAAAACATGGTACAGACTCATACACTGTACTTTAAACTTTCTATTCGATAAGAAGGCGAACAATACCAACTGATTTAGAAAATTCATGTAACTGAAGTAGTATAACTAAATTTCTTACAAGTTCATCAAAAATCACTTATTAGTTTTTCGTACTTTTGTCAGCATATGTGAATACTTGAATCAAGATCAAGTTGAAGCATGCTGATTGATCCATTTTCAACCGATCAGCCCTTTTAAACTGACTTAGATAATACTAGAAGATTTCTGTGTACCACTATATCTTTCAATGTTCGAATTTTCGGAATATAGTTTCGTTCGCTTCCGATTCGTGTTCTGATTTGGGATTAATCGAGTAAAGTATTTTATCTAAGGCATACCAAACGGTAAAAATTATAATAAGCCTTCTGTTTTCCCCCGGTAATAAACTGGTTATAATTCAATTTTGATCTAAAAATCAACTCTAATTTACTGACAGCTCAAACTAGTATCATTTTTACACTCTATAATGAGAAACACTACAGTTTTCTCTCTGAAACTGCTTCGTTATTCAATAGTTTATCTACACTGGTACATACCACTCCATTAAGCTCACATCTTGTAGCCTGCACGTTTGCTTTGTTTTATGCTAAGTGGTTTGTCGAAATCCAATGTATCCATTTTTTTAATATGAAAAAAAATTATTTTAAGGTTAGACTTTTTCATTGCCAGATAATTTATACAAAAGAAATGATTATGTGCCATAACTGATATGAAAATTTATAAGAACTTTCGACTAAATTAGAGCGAATAGTTTCACAGTATTTGAGCGCCGAGTTGATGTAAGACATTAAATAGGAATAATATATTTGTAAAATCTCAGCGAGTGAATTTGAAGTAAATCCAACGTTTCGCCTGGCAATCTGGTCCAAGCTTTTTCAAGAAAATATAATCAAATATCAAAATTATCGAATATAAATAGGTACATGGTTCTCCGGTTCATTGTATACTGAATCGGTCATCCAATCAACGTTAAAAATGTCTAAACTAGGTATATGTATTAATGTGTAAGAGATTTATGATGTGAAATGGTAAGTTAATAAGAATGTAATTGTTGTCACTCAGATAATACGATATAGATAAAACGGTAAGGAGTGCAGGTTTTTATTTATTAATGATTAGCTGCCATCGTAGAGCTAATTGTATTCCATCCCTCCTATTAATATTGTTTGAATTAGCCCATATGTATAGAGCTTCGGCTGTTTGTCTTTCTTTGTAAGAATTGAATGCTTTTTGAAGGATTCTTGTGCCATCGAAATCAGTTGTATGACCCAATTCTATCGAGTGTAATGCTATCGCTGACTTGTTCTCAAGTTTCCTTACATCATCTGAGGACTTAGTGTTATGTCGGCTTCCCGCGAACTCCAACAGAGCCCCCAGAGGCTCAAAAAGAGTCCCAACCAATCAGAGTACGACAGAACATTCTGGAGTTCCAACGTGGCACGCTACCATTGGTCAGTAGCAATATATGTCGTTTATTGGATTGGCTGAATTAGGATGTTGATTTAACTTAAGCAAACATCTATAAATACTTACGATTTTCTGTACAAAACTGATCCTTCCAGTAAAGGTTTTCTCTGCTACTCGTGTCTTCTCTCTGGTCTTCAAGTTGCTGAGTAGTGCTAGCCTGAGGTTATCCGTATAGCTTAGGATCTGAATAAGCGTTCAACCTACAAGACTTATCACTTAGGAATGTGCTTTAAGCATTGTTTGTGTTCCTTCACACTCAGTTGCTTTGATGTTTCCGCTACATACGTTGCATTACAGTCACTACATCTGATTTCATAGACACAATTCTGTTCTTCTTTGTGTATTGGATCTTTAGTTCAAGTGTGGATGTGCCGATTTAAAATCTAGAAATTTCCCCGAGTATGTCGGCTTTCGGAAAATACTAATTTTTAAACTATCATAATCTTTCCTTTCAACTAAACAGTCTAGAAAAGGTAGTTTGTGTTCAGGAGATTCCAACTCCTTGGTGAACTTGATTTTTTCATTAAAGTTGTTGACATGTCTAAAAAGTTCGTCTAAACGATGCCGTTTTATAATAACAAAAGTGTCATCAACATACCCTAACCAAACTTTTGGTGTATGAGAACACATTAATATAAATTTTTTAGTAACGTTCTATGTCAAACTGACAAGTTCATCGTCTGTTCAAATAAATTTGTTTTTAATAATATTGGCAATATTGGAATTACCTCCATTTTTTCTCGCCAATATGAACTTTGTTTCATTTTAAATGGGTCAAATCATCATTCATTCATATGATGATAATATTATATATTACTTTATGTGCACTTTGCCAATGCTTCATTCATTCCCTTTTCATCATTTGAAATGTATTGTATATTATTATTAACATTAAGTTCATAACATTTAAATTGTTTATCATTTTGTGTATCATATGGTATCTTATACTTTATTCATATACTTATAAAATTTGTCTTTACTCCTCTAATTCATTTTAATAATTTCATTGTATCTGTTTCATGTTTGATTGTACAAATCTAGATCGGTTCAAGTGCAATGCCATATAAACGTAATCCTATTCGATCAGAAAGAGCATGTTCTTTAGCACGTTATCTAATGCATATATCGACTTCCATGGTTTCTACAGTATCTGTTCAGTGGCTTGAACGTTCACTAGATGACTCAGCTATTCGTAGAATTGTCCTCCCAGAAGCTTTTCTTGCAGCCGATGCATGTCTTACTTTACTACAAAATATAGCTGAAGGATTAATAGTATACCCAATGGTATGTCCAGTCTTTACCGATTTGTTTATTCGTTATCAAACAGTTCTCTATAGATGCTTTTGAAATGTCAATATCTTAATTGTATTAATTTTTAAAAATCATTTTTGACAGTCTTATATGGTATACAGTTCTTTTTAACCAATAAATTGTAATTATACATGAAAGCCTCACTTACCTAATAATTAAACTTGGAATTTACTATTGTTCTCCTCTGTAGTGTTATATCTCATTAAACTCATATTAAGATAATTAATTTAATTGCTGCTCAACAAAACAGCTGATCATATTATTGAAATCATCACTTAAACGTACTTCCATGTTATGGAGCTAAAACTAAGTCAATACTTTCAGTAAAGTCCTCAAAAACTCTAATGCAATTAGTTAATGTTTATTCCAAAATAAATTCCAGAAGTAAATGAGAAATATTGTCACACAAACACAAATTCAAGTAAAACAATAAAATGACAACCTTTAACTGCGACACTTTTCACCAGGAAATTCATCAGATCTACAAAAAGATAATCTGGAAAAAGCATATACTTAGCCCACAATGAAGCAATCAAGCTAACTTTATCACTATCTAAGTTATTTATAGACGGTTAGAGGAAAAAAACAAGTTACGTTAAAATGGGATAAGAAAACTTGATTGTGATATCTGACTGATAACCGTGAAAGAATATATATTACTTAGTTGCGCCTGTCATCTCTTGGGGAGGAGTATGGACTACCCACCTAGATTCTCCATCAAACTCTGTCTTGAGCAATCCTTTACATTTGCTATTCATTCTTTTGATGACTGTTTGCAGTTCCTAACGCAATGTGTTCCTTGGTCTTCCTCTTTTCATTGCTTTCCTTTCTTTCAGGATTCTAATTTAGGACATGCATCGTGATGCAGTTTGTTGATTTCCGCAATCTATGTCCTATCTATCTCCAGGGTTTTTTCCAATCCCCTCTTTAGCCAGAAGCTGGCTTGTTCTCTGCCATGGTAGGTTGTTGCTGACGGTATCTGGCCAGCGGATCTGAAGTATCTTGCGTAGACAATTGTTTATAAATAAATTTACTTTTTGGAAGATGGTTATAGTAGTTTATCAAGTTTCAGTTCCATAAAACAGAACTATCTTGACGTTCATGTTGAAGATTCTGAATTTGATATTGCTTGACAGTTGCTTTGAGTTCCATGTGTTCTTCACTTGTAGGAATATTGTCCTTGTCTTGCCAATCCTCGTCTTCACGTTTGCATCAGATCCTCCTTGTTCATTGATGATGCCCCGCGAATAGGTGAAAGTTTCCAAATTTTCCGGAGCTTCTCCATTAAGTTCTTCGAAGTGTTCTATCCACCTGTTCAGCTATTCTTAAATCTCAGTGACTGTCTTGCCTTCTTTGTCCTTCACCGGTCTCTCTGGTTTACCATATTTCCCTAAAAGTCTCTTCGTTTTATCATATAGTTATCTGATATATCTTTCGGTTGCAACTTCGTCCACTGTCGTTGCCAAGTTTTCCACGTATTTCTTTTTATCAAATCGAATGCTCCTCTTCACTTGCTTGTTCGCTTCTGCATACTCTGCTTGCACCTTGACTTCCTCTGCTCGTGTTCGACTGTTTTTAACTGCTGTCTTCAATCTTGTCCAGGATTCCGATAGAAATCCATTCGTTGTGAGGATGCTTCGCGCGACCCAGAACCTCCTGACACGTTGGAGTTAGTGCTTTGATCCCTTTCCAATTGTCCTCCTTTCTAGTTTCCTCTTTCGGTAGATCCTATACAGCTTGGAACCTGTTGTTGAGAGTTAACTTGAATCGGTTGAGTTTGTCAACAACTCGAATGAAGGTTGTATTGAACCTTTGTAATGCTGTTTCCCCAGTTGTCCAGTGTTTCTTTAGCTTCAGTTTCATCCTGGCCACAACCAGGTAGATGGTGATCTGTAATTATGTCGGCTTCTCTCCTGGTCCTCACATCTTCCATTGTCCTTCGGAATTGTTTGTTGATACAAATATAATCGCTATGCTTCTCATTGGTGTGGACCAGCGAGATCCAAGCGGCTTTAAGTGTATGTTTGTGTGGGAATATTTTGCCGCCTATAACCACTTTGTTGAATGCACACAAATTTGCAAATCTGTCGCAATCCTCGTCTCAATATTCCAGTCAGTACATATCGTCCCGTGATATCTTCATATCCGGTGTTGTCCATTCCGATTTTGGAGTTTAAGTCTCCCATCGTGATGGTCAGGTCCTTTCTCGGGCATTTCGCTGTGATTGATTGCAACCTCTCATAGAACTGATCTTCGTCGTTGTCATTGCTATCATTGGTAGGTGCATAACATTAGATAATATTCATTGTGATCCCCTCAAGCTTTGTTTGAGAGATAATTTGGTGATTCTCAGTCAGTCAGTCAGTCAGCTACAACGTAGGACCAGGCACATATATGCATCGGTCCAAGTTGCCATACGTCTTTAGCACAACAAGATGAACACCGGATTCATAGAAGTAATTAATTTAGTGGTGGTAGTATATAAGGAAAGCTTGTATATAAGGATATAGTAGGAAGGAAGAGAGATATGAAGCAATTTTAATATCAAGGTTTAAGGGAAGATAAAGAGTGTATACACCTACGCCATTGTGATCGATTCTGAGCCATGTCACCTAGAGTCTCCAACCATTTATTACGATAGTCACGCGGACCCCAACCAGGTAGTCTGCATCTGCCAACATGGCTCAGGCTAGAAGTTAGTGACTTCAAGCACTGATGCCATGTTTTGGTTTGGCCACCCCTAACTCTCTTCCAACCGTCCCCAATACTAGTCATCATAGCGCGTCGTGGTAATCGGTGTTCAGGCATACGTAACACATGGCCCAACCATCTCAGTCGATGAAGATTTATCACCTCATCAACAGATTTACCATCGGTACCTAATACCCTGCGTTTAACCTCACTATTACTTACTCGGTGATCCCAGCAGATGCGAGCAATATTTCTAAGGCATCTGTGGTCAAATACTAGTAACCTACGAGTATCTTCTACGCTTAATGGCCATGTTTCACAGCCGTAAAGTAGAACAGAACGAACTGATGCGCAGTATACTCGTCCCTTAATTGATAGACGGATATCTCGTCTTCGCCATAGGTGACGTAAGTTGGCAAAAGCCAAACGAGCTTTTTGAATCCGTGCTGAGATTTCGTCAGACACCAACCCATTAGGGCTGATCAGACTTCCAAGATAAGTGAAGTTGTCGATGCGTTCGACTACTTCCTATCCTTATTTCAGGTGTTGACGTAGGCCAGTCCTGGAGTAACAATTTACATTTGGATGGGGAGAAACGCATCCCAAACATCCTGGCATTATTACTCAGTTCCAACAGAAGACTCTGCATTTTGTCAGCGTCTTCACCAAACAGGACTATGTCATCTGCGTATTCTAAGTCGCTTAGTGGTCCCCCTGGTAGGAGATCAATTCCTGTAAACTCAGTCGAAGAGAGTGTTATTTCCAGCAACAGGTCTATAATGAAGTTAAACAAAAATGGGGATAGTGGACAGCCTTGACGGACACCACTTGAGGTTGTAAAATCATATGACAGTTCGCCATAAGCTCTCACTCGACTGATAGTGTTCGAGTAAAGAGCCTTCACAAGGTTTATGTACTTCTCAGGTACACCTTTCAATGACAGACACTGCCACAGAACCTCTCGGTCTACAGAGTCAAATGCTGCTTTCAAGTCAAGAAAAACTATCATTGTCGGACGCCGATAAGCATGTCTGTGCTCTAAAACTTGACGAATGGTGAATATGTGGTCGATACAGCCACGACCAGGTCTGAAGCCATCCTGATTTTCTCGTGTTTGCAGTTCACGAGTTTTAGTTAGGCGCCTGATAATTATTGAGGCTAGTATTTTAGATACTATGTTAGTCAGACTAATCCCTCTATGGTTATCGCAGGATGATTTTGACCCCTTTTTATATATTGGGACAATCAGTGATTGTGACCAGTCGGATGGGATTACATCCGTCTCCCAGATTTTAGCCAGAATATTAGTCAACCTAATCGCTAAAATTGGACCACCATATTTAAAGACCTCTGGAACCAATCCATCAGGACCAGCTGCTCTTCCTCGTTTCAGATTACTTATAGCTTTTTGAACTTCAAGTAGGGTCGGGGGGCCTACTTCAATGTTCCATTCAGGTTTTCTAGGAGTAGTGGGTAGTTGTGCAGTAGCTGAAGGCCAGCTAAACTGCTCCTTAAAGTGTTCCGCCCATCGTTCTAAACGTTTGGGTTGAGAGCAGATAAGGGTTCTGTCTTTTTCCGAGATTGTCTCACTTACACTTGACTTCTTAATTCCGGTTTCTTTTATTAGTCTGAATAGTTGCCTGGTGTTGCCTACAACCGCTGCCTTTTCCATCTCTTTTGCTTTCGTTGCCCACCACTGCTCACGATCGTTCCTTAGACTTTTAGTTAACCTAGATCTAATTTGTTTACGCTCTTCGTCATGTTCAGAGCCTGATGGGATGAGTTTACGCGAATCCATCAGTGAAATAGACTTAGAGGAAATCCACTGGTTTTTTGGAGCCCTATGGTTTAAATGACTAATAGATGTTACTGCCGTTTCCACAGCTGTTCGTGTGTCTTTCCAAGCAGCATCTGGGTCAGTCTCGTTTACAGAACTGCCTAGATGTGAACTCAGTTGTCTCTGGAATTCGCATTTGGCTTTCTCGTCCTCCAGTTCAATCCTAACGGGTCTTCTTAGTTTACTTTTCCTGCGTCCATTGAGGCGCAGACAAATGCGTGCTCGTATTAAAGCGTGATCAGAGTCTAAACAAGTATTCCAATACGAGCGACAATCTTCTATTGAGCCTCTCCAACGATGACTGATGACAATATGGTCTATTTGAGTCCATCGTTGGTTTGGTGCAGGTGGTCGCCATGTTAGACGATGTCTCTCCTTATGTTTAAAATTAGTGCTTGCCAAAAATAAACGATTGTCTGAGCATAGTTGCATCAGACGATCACCATTATCGGTTCGTTGAGCCGGAATACTAAAACACCCACCTAGATGTCTTTCTGTTTGATTTAAGCTGCCTACCTGGGCATTAAAGTCACCCGCTACGACTACTATGTCTGAGCGCTTAGCTTTCTGAAGAAGCTCAGAGAGCTTTCTGTAAAAGTCATCTTTCACCTCATCATGGCTGCAGTCAGTGGGAGCGTAGCAGAAACGACGAAAAGGCAACGACGTGTGTCCCTATCCTTCCGAGTTCTTACGGAGCCATTTAGCCGGACAGCACACAGGCGACTGTTAACGGGGATCCATTCTAATAGTGCCTGTTCTGCCCTTGTACTTAGTGCTATACCTACACCTGCAAGTCCACGAGAACTAGCCATCGGGTCGCCAGATACACGGGGGGTGTATTTCGTTGGCTGTCCATTTTGGCGAGGTGAGGTCAGGTGAATGACCACACTAGGATCCTGTATGCGTGTTTCGGAGACACAGCATACATCAATGGTACGAGATTCTAGGGTTTTAGCAAAGGAGGCCTGTTGACCGATTTGACTTAAAGTACGTACTTCGAAGGCTCCAATGTGTAGTTTGGAGCGAGGTTTTAGTAGACCTGGGATAGCGTTTCGCGCACTAGAATCGTTGGCCATGGTGACACTTGAGGAGGAAACCGAGAGAGGAAGTTTAGTGTTGAAAGTCAAGGTAGTAGGAATTGAAGAAGGAGATTGATTATGAATACAGTGGTCTTGAGTGCTGTTAGAGGTATGAGGGCAGTTATCACTTCCCGGTTGCCCACACCGTGGAAGGATTCTTCTAGAGGTATCTGAAAAGGAAATTGGGTTAGGAGTGGTCTTAATGACCTGAGAGCGTGACCGCAGTGCCCAAGGGACAACTGCTTGAGGTCGGTCACACACGACCTTTTTGTGGGTAGTTTTTGTGTTAGCTCCTTACTTGTTGGACTTACCGCCGGAGACAGATATCCGTGGGATAAGGCGAGATATGCATTTTTAGGGTCGACCTTTTCTAACCCCACCCCTCCTTGTGGGAAGGCAGCATCGCTGTCATGCTGGTTGTCTGAAGGAAACACCTTACTGCTGTCACACCTCTGTACAGTCAGCAGTACGACTTCGCCTTCGGACTTTGGATTTGCTGCTTTTAGTCTCACCGCTCTTTAACCGACCTGTGTGGCATGGTAGGACCTCGAGGAACGATTGTCCAGCCAGCATAGCTCGATTGGTTCATCACGATAGACAAGCCCGACCACCACGTCAAAGTAACAGCAACGGTCGGGTTGGTGATTCTAGATCCATGAGATTCTCATCCCACAAAAGCTTTCCCAACTTCTTTTGACAGTACAACTCCTTGTGTGTGCAAAGTATTCCTTCATGATAACCCACATACAGTGGTACCTCTTCCGAATCTAGTCTTTTCTATCCAGCTTGGGTTCAATGGATTCCACTTTCCTGGGAACCGCAAATTTGTATCTCCGTAGCTATTTGGATAGTCCTTCCAGTCTTTCACATCGTTCGGAAATTCCATGTACCGATATTAATTGTTGCTTTCGTTATTAGATGGAACATCGGCTTCGTGACTTCCAAAGTATCTCAGCTTTTACCAAAGCATGATACTTCTTAATATTTTTCAACTTCTATAACGAAGTTCAAATGGTTTAAATTGTTTGTTATGGTTAGTGTTTTGTTATTAAGGTTGTTAACTACGGGATGGTGTTGCTGACTTCATCTCCAACCCCCTCGTTTATCCGGCCTCGGACCCGTAACAACTCTAGAAGAAGTACGGGAGGTGTTATATACATATATATAACCATAGTATACATAATATATCAGTTTCGGTAAAAGTGATAATGTGGCAACAAATTAAATTCTAGATTTCACTTCTTTTCCTTTACAAAGCACGTTAGTTAACAGGTGGATTTTTTTTTAATTTTTATTTAAACACATATATATTGGTACAAAAGGGCACCAGGTACATATGCGCCACACAAAATAATGAAAGTAGGAAGAGAACGAATGAAAAGATAAGGCGGACTAAAATGTACAACCAGAAGACTCTTTCAGTTAAGAAAGTTAGAACCACTCTTTATGTAGAAAGTAAAAGAAGGTTGCAGCAGGATCGCCACTGGCTTCTATTCTGAGCCATATCTGATAACGTCTCTAGTCACTGTGTTGCACCATCTCTCGGACCCCAGCCAGGGAGTCGTGAAGGACCAACAGAAGCTAGCCCTTTGCAGCTCTCTTTCATGCCACGACACCATGTCATACACTGACCTCCTCTCCGCTTTTTCCAACCAGTCCCAGGGTCGGCAAATAATGCACGACGCGGAAGTCTCTGGGACGACATTCGTAAAACATGTCCAAGCCACCGAAGTCGGTGTTTCAGGATGATGACACCAATTGAATTATCATCTCTGTGCCCGAACACACGATGCCGAACCTCTGCATTACTAACATGGTGTTGCCACTAGATGTCAGCAATCCTTCGGAGACAACGATGATCGAACACAGAGAGTCGTCTAACATCCTCAACTCGGAGAGGCCAGGTTTCACAAGCATAGAGCAAAACTGCTCTAACCGACACGTTGTAGATCCGACCTTTTACAGCCAGACTAACATCACGAAGGCGCCAAAGATGGCCCAGATTGGCATAAGCCGCTCTGTTTTCCTTATACGTGCATCAATCTCATCACTCACGCCACCACCAGCACTTATATAGCTACCTAGATACACGAACTTCTCAACTACTTCAATCTGCTCACCATCCAGGGTGAGTTCAGGATGAGAATCCTGCCAGTCTTGTAGGAGTACTTTGCACTTGGAGGGTGCAAAGCACATGCCGTACCTGCGGACACTGATTGCCAACTGAATAAGTGCGGATTGCATGCCGGGTGCCCAAACCGAAGCAGGTGGTTTTCTTAGGGGGCCACACCCCGAGCCTTTGACCAAAAGGTCTGATCCACAAGGCAGTGGAGCATCGTAAGGAGATGCAGTCCCATGGTAGCCGTTGACCAATGACAGGTTCGTCCGCCATTCGTCCCATCAGGATACTGGAGCCCATGTGCACCATTGGTTTGGAATCAGGGTTTTCCAACTCCCCTAGGTGAATCCTCCGTGTCCATTAACCCGATTAAAGCGCCGGACATTCGCTTTTCGTCCTCTCACTTTCGTAAACAACAACCCCGCCACGAGAAGGCAGTGAGTAGGACTTCCCTGGCAGAGGCTATATATTCGCTGGCCATATGAGAGTATTTCGAGAGGGAGAGGTGACTCTCCCCACTCTCGGCCGTACCAGGGCATTTGGGGGCTAACAGGTGGATAGAGTGTTTTTTGTGCTTAACTTCAGGTGCAAACATTTTGTACCCTCAAACCAAACATAAATATAATTAGAGTCTTATTAAATAGCATTACCAATTTAATTGTTGAAATAGGTTGTATCGTGTTGTCTGATTATGTGTATAATTTTTATTGGACATCATCTTCAATGTATGTTTCAAATACCAATATAATTTTGTCAATAGTTTTTATGTACGAGTGCGCACTTATCACGCTTTCATATTTGTATTTTACTACCTCATTTTGTCTTGTGACAAGAAAAGGGATGTGTTTATATCTTTATTCGTATTGATTCTTTTCATTTTTCTACAGGTAATGGAAGCTAATTTAAATTCTGAACTTCCTTTCCTCGTTGTTGAACGTATTTTAGTCAAAATGGTATCTGAAGGTGCAGCCAACCGTCAAGAATGCCATGAACGCCTTCGTAAGCATAGTCATGAAGCTGCTGCAGAAATTAAACTAAAGGGTTTAAAAAATAGTCTCATGGATAAGTTACTCAACGATGATTATTTTGCCCCGATACATTCGTTACTTCCAACTGTATTAGATCCATCTTATATGATCGGTCGTGCAATTGAACAGGTAATGGTTTTTATCACACCTACTTTACTGTTAAATATCTATAACAGCTTTGTAAAATTTGATTACACTCTCTGATACCCGATTGTTGTAGTGGTATCGTTCATGATATTCTGATAAGAAAGATGTTAATGTACGTAGGATCTATAAGATGAAAAAAATTTAAACATTTTAATTTACTGAAAGAGGTATTATGTTAAAAAAAAATGCATTTTCATGGCACGGAGTACCATTTAGAATATAAATCCTTAATTTTCGAAATATCATAGCTTTACCCTATATTCAGTTATATCGAATGACATTTTTTGTAAAGTCTCATGCAGATTATTCAATATGGAGATATTTTTCGTAATTTCGACCATTAAATGTACATTTATTTACTACTGTTGTACATTTTACGTTTTTTTTTTTCATGAACTAATATCGACTGAAAAGTGCTGAAAACAAGGAATCATTGGACAACTAGCTTTAAACTTATTAACAACGCACACTTAGGAACTTTTGATTTCTTGTTAAGTATGATACCCCTAGTCTACTGAGTCGAAATCCAGTATGTCATAATTCCAACTGCAGTCGCTTTGCTGTTTGATGTGATCATCATTTAACGTCATCCGTGATATCTCTTTCACTCTTGATATGACCGAATTCCGTATGTCGGACTCTCACTACAACCCTTTGAGCATATGACTGTCATCAAGATAAACAGTTTTGTGTAAATTGTTAAATTTGAAGTTATCTGTCATTGGTGACTGATATCTGTAGGTACATTTCACTGGTCACAGAATTTCAGTGTACGTCTAACTGATTGAATATTTAATAACACGTCGTGTGTATAACTTTTCGTTTGACACAGAGACAGACCAAAATAGAAGGACATACAATTCACACTTTTCATTACATTTTCTACATGCCATTATTTTATCACTAGTCTTTTCTAGGTTAATATAACTTAATAAATGAAATATCGTCTCACCAGCCAATAATTTCTTAGTTCACATTTAGAATAATGACAAAATAGAAGTTTAACTGTCTATACTTTATTAGCTAACTATTTAATTTCTTCATTTCTTTAATATTTAGGTGGAAGTATTCCTAAACACTGAAGTTGATCCAGCAATTCACTCATACAAAGATTGTTTAGCGTTGAACAGTAATATAAAAATTTGATATGATAACTTTATAGATAATCAAATCGTAGTTAACTTTTACTTCAGTCGATTTCTCTTGATATGTTTGAATAGTTAACTTTTGTTATGGGGTTGTACTGCAATTTTTCAGTTCTTTTAATTTTAATATTGCTATGATTTTCCCTTTTCTTCTATAATATCTTTTAATCTGATCTAATCTTTATGTGATATCTATAAAATTAATTTTTAACGTTCCGTGATATGATTGTTGAGTGTTGATTAATCAAATCATGGTATGTTACAATGCTATGGTCAAATTGTATAAATCATAAAATACAGCTCCGTTAATTGCATTAGTTATAGTTAGTTAGAAGTAACGTAAAACTTGGCACCTATCTACATCGGTTCAAGTTGCAACATGATACCAAAACGATGAGACCCCGGAGTAATATAAACAGTAACATCATCAACATCGATAACCAGGTCGTATGACAGGAATCGATCTCATTATCTATGTTCTCAAAATGGTAAAATAATCTACCGAGGTGCCAAATGCTAAAAAGGATTTTTTTCTGCTTGGTGTTATATCCTCCCTCTGATTATTGAGCAACTAGATTTTAGATCAACTTACGTTTTACTGGAAGCAAAGTCTAGAATTCAAAAAACCTTATAGTATCGAGTTTAAGTTGGAAAAATGTTCCTGAAATACTATTCTTTAAAATTTGACGCGCAACTGTGGCTCGTAATGAGTAAACCAGACTGGTTTCATACCGAGACTTTGATGTACTAACCAAATATTCACTCTCCATCAGGATTCAGAACACGGGAACACTTGCCGACACCCAACTATAGCTGTATTTCTCAACGTTAGGGCTCCATTTCACTCTGCTAACCGATAGGTCCTGTGGTAATGTTTGTCATTGAAAAGCGTACTACAGAAGTACACAAATCTTGTGGATGCTTTCTACTTGGATACTAGTGGTCGAATCAGAGCTTATTAGTGAACTATTTTCAAAATTCCCAATGTTTAATTGTGTTCATCATGGTTACCTACTATCCATCTAACTTCATTCTAGATGTACTGGTAGGAATTATGCTTCCTTCACTTGACTTTTCAGGGATTAGTTTACCAGAAGGTCCACCTGTAGAATTAGAATACGTAGATAACATAGTTATGAAAACGCTGACAAGATGCAGTCTTCTGATCATTCTGAGAAAAAGTCCAGGTATGTTTGGAATGCAGTATTCCTCCATAAATATATTCCCACTCCGATTTTTCCAAACATATCTTCAACTATCAATCTTTATCATTATTGCTACAACATTATTTCAATCTCTTTCGATATTCACCTCGTTATTTTTATCTCGTCATCCCAATGTGATTCGCCAATGCACATCTGCATCAGACTCCATGTGTTGTTTGCGTCTCCTTTTTGGGAAACATGTGTATTTATGGGTCAATACCAGTTTCACTACTATGAGCTCACTTTCGTCGTTAATGATTGCATCGAAATTTATGTATTAAACTGATTAATACTTATTGTCCGAAGGTAGACACGATTACTTAATCAATGAAATGGCCGTTACATTTTAATTAAGATCAGGTTGGTTTATTAGAGATCTTCTTCCTTAAGCGGTTAGACGATTTAGTTCCGATAAACCTTTAGATACTGGTGAACGAATCTAATTTACCGAATATGGTCAGGTAGAATTCTTGATTATATATATCTGATCAATTATGTTGACGCTGATGCTAACCAGTAATTTTCCTTTAATTTACTAAAACATACACTTTCTTTACACATTTTCCTCAATGTAATGTATCTGTAATTCGCATTTGAAACTCGAAATTCACCGAAGGGATCTCTGTTCAACAAATGTATTATCAGGCTGTATATATCTAACGTTTTAGGGATTGATTCCGTGAATACTGAGTGAGCATGTTAAAGTAATAGGAAGACTTTAATACTAGGCTATTTAATGCAAATAATAACAATAAACGGTTGTATAAATTCTGTTAACAACACGATTAGACTGAAATTTGTGATCCCGATCGATAGTCAGCTTTGTACAGTTCACAACAAAGGGGCATAAATCTGCATAAACAAACCAAAATAGTAACTAAATAAGTCTAGTACAATTAAATTGCAAAGCGGTATGTACAGTGGTAGTTCAGAGAAAGTTGCATTAAAAGTTGGGGGATAGTGAGTGCTAGTATCTTAAAACTCTGCTGATTGGTTCGCTTTTATAATTTGAAACCAGATGATCTAGTTAAATTGTGGTCTAATGTAGGTTCATGTACTCCACTTCAAGAAACCCAATCCGTTCCTACTGATTATTCTGTGTTATCTATTGAAGACTCGCTAATCAATAACATGTACCAAGTCACTAATCAGGAGCCTAATTTTGATCCTTTATTTCCTCTATAGCATAGTGTCTCTGATTTGACCAATTGCACACCCGCCCAGCACTATGAACCTTGATTCGGCAGCTAGGTTCCTACAGACCCATTATTTGTTAGCCCCTCTCTATGCCCAGCCTTGAGTTTAGAAGTAGCAACCACTTTCTACTGTAATTGTATTTCAGACCTAAGTGGTTTATATACAGAAATCTTAGACTGCATTACATCACAAAATAACAATTATATATAAACAGGTCAAAATTGGCTGGATAGGGGAGACTTAATAATAAATAAGCAATAAAATAAGAATAGTAAGTCGTATGTTAGTAGTTTACGGACTAACTGGAAGCTTATAATAAAAGAAATACATATGCATAGCAATCTAGTTGTTCGGTAATTACACAACAAAATTATCATTAATAATAATTCGGCAAGCCAGTCCCAACCACTATAATATTCGTTTAGTTATAACACTATCCATTTGTCCAAAACCGAAGTGATAGTAAACTTGTGATCCACTAGGTAGAAGTCAAGTGTTTTAACCACTAAGCTACTGTTCTACGGCTATAATTATTTTTTAAGAATACAAAATTACGATTAACGAAGTGAGGCGTTTAGTTTTCCTACGTTTTTTTAATATCTCAACTGTCTATTACAATAAGAAATGATAATAGACGTCATGCGCTGGATCAAATTTAATTGTAGCTGTTAACAAAAAAAATAATATAAATTACATCATTCCAATAATTATTTTAACAGAAAAACATGTCTTTACTATTTACATAGTTCATTTAATGTCACGTAAAAAATTGTTATTTGATGCTAATAACATTTTAGCATCTTGTTCCCTAAAGTGAACACTGTCTCCATTGTTTAGAAATGCTTCTTGCATTTCGCGTAGATTCATCTCCAGTTGATGGCGTAATTTTCGTTTATTTTCTCTGAGAACCTAGAAAATCAGTAAATAAATAAAAGTCTTTTTTGAAAGTTTGTTATAAAAAAAACTACCATCATCGAAATATAACAGAATTATTTGAGTTACCACTATCGAAAATGTCGAATTGGTTTGTAAATAGCGATCGATTATAATCAGTTTTTCATTGTTAATTACAAGAAACTGAAAAGAACGACAATAGTGTGAAAGATTTTGCATTCTGTAGGCTTGATAGTTTAATGATGAAGACTTTTGACTGTTGTACTATCAATTCAATTCGGTTATTTATTTACTTATAAGGATTGGTTTACATTAAGTCATGAAACGTCAGAAATATAATATTTCTATTCATCGGGATATAACAAAAATAATATTATTAATTCTCTACCCAATGCTCAATTTATTAGGAACCATTATATCCAACCTTGGTATTGATACCTATAATGGCTTAAGCGACTGAAATATTTTTAATTAAAGCTCAATAAACTAAAATCATCTCATACAAATGAAAGTGTTTCATCACCTAATATACAGAGAAATGAAGTCAACTTGTCATCAATGCAGTAATAACGAATTTTTCAATCAGTCAGTCAGCTACAACGTAGGACCAGGCACATTTATGCATCGGTCCAAGTTGCCATACCTCGTTAGCACAACAAGATGAACACCAGATTCATAGAAGTAATTAATTTAGTGGTGGTAGTAGTATATAAATTATAGGTTGTATATAAGGATATAGTACAGGAAGGAAGAGAGATATGAAGCAATTTTAGTCTCAAGGTTTAAAGGAAGATAAAGAGTGTATGCAACTACGCCATTGTGATTGATTCTGAGCCATGTCACCCAGAGTCTCCAACCATTGGTTACGATAGTCACGCGGACCCCAACCAGGTAGTCTGCATCCGCTAACATGGCTCAGACTAGAAGTTAGTGACTTCAAACACTGATGCCATGTTTTGGTTTGGCCACCCCTAACTCTCTTCCAACAATCCCCAGTACTAGTCAGCATAGCGCGTTGTGGTAATCGGTGTTCAGGCATACGTAACACATGGCCCAACCATCTCAGTCGATGAAGATTCATCACCTCATCAACTGATTTACCATCGGTACCTAATACCCTGCGTCTAACCTCACTATTACTTACCCGGTGATCCCAGCAAATGCGAGCAATATTTCTAAGGCATCTATGGTCAAATAATAGTAACCTACGAGTATCTTCTACTCTTAATGGCCATGTTTCACAACCGTAAAGTAGAAACAGAGCGAACTGCTGCGCAGTATACTCGTCTTTTAATTGACAGACGAATATCTCGTCTTCGTCATAGGTGACGGAAGTTGGCAAAAGCCAAACGAGCTTTTTGAATCCGTGCTGAGATTTCGTCAGACACCAACCCATTAGGGCTGATCAGACTTCCAAGATAAGTGAAGTTGTCGATGCGTTCGACTACTTCCTATCCTTAGTTCGGGTGTTGACGCAGGCCAGTCCTGGACTAACAATTTACATTTGGATGGGGAGAAACGCATCCCAAACATCCTGGCGCTGATTCGTTATGACCTTACGAATTTAACAAGGACGTAATTCTCGTAAATGATCCACCAATAGAATACGCCTTCTACGACCTTCACACTGTGACAATGACGTTCGATTAATATGAGTAATCTAGCGTCCTATTGGTCCTTATCCGCCTACCCGTCCACTTGAGTCCAGAACACCAATAGCAGCTGCTGTAATGCGAATCGTTTATTTCAAGCATACTTTATCTATATACCAGACAGGCAGACCACACCACACCATAAAATAGAAAATAATATTTGTACAAAACCAGGCCAAATGAAGCTGTAAGCGTGGGAGACAATAATCAATAAAACTGAGCATAACGTAGGGACAGTAAATCATATAGTAATAATCAATAGGTCAAAATGTGGCTAGTAATAAGATGAATATAGATATAGATAATCCAGTTACTGAATAGTTATACCATAGGAATATAAATAGTCTAATAAGAGGTCCCGTAAGTTATCAGTACTTACTTTTTCCTAGTATATAACACCTCCCCTTTTTTGAAGCATCATGGATAATAGCGATCCTTGGGATTTATTTTTATGCAATTAGGTTTCCGCCTGATGCGCTGCGACCGCCTTGGGAGTGTTGTACACGTCTTCTTTCTATTCGGGTCCTTTTTAATTTCATTATCCGACTCGGTTAATATATTTAATGGTATATCATGCTTTCTATCACTTTCTATCTCCCACTCCTGTCTGGTCGGCTGTATCTGGTTTGCATGTCGTACCCATATCTTTTGTCCAACTTTCACTTCATAAATAACTTTCCCTTTTCTTCGGACTATGATGCCAAATTTCCAGGTTGGCTTTACTCCCTGGAAATCTCTTGCCATTACTGCTTGTCCCACATTAAACCTTCTGGGTAAGGCACCATGCCTTTTATTGAACTGCCGTTCCATTCGTTTATTCTTGCGGACTGATTTCAGGCTTTGGCTTTATTTGTTCCATAGGTATTCTAATCTTTCTCCCAAAAATTACTTCTGCCGAGCTTTCCTGATTATTTGTTGCTGGGTTGGGAGTTGCGCGGTAGCTTAGTAAAAATCGTTGAATTATATCTTCTATTCCTCCTTCCCCTTCGGCTTTAAGCAATGCTCTTTTAAAAGTGTCCACGAACCTTTCGACTAAGCCGTTAGACTGTGGATGGTATGGGGGTGTCTTGATATGCCTAATGGCATTGGCAATGCAGAACCTCGAAAATTCAGCAGAGGTAAACTGTGGTCCATTGTCTGACACCAATATATCTGGACACCCAAAACAACTGAATACTTGCCTCAGTTTCTTCACCGTAGCTTGTGTTGAGACATATTTCATATAGTGGACTTCTGGCCACTTAGAGAAAGCATCAATGATTATCAAGAACTGTTTACCGTTTATAGGACCAGCAAAATCTACATGAACTCTTGACCACGGATTTGATGGTGTTCCCCAACTCTGCATTTCCGTCTTGCGAGGGGCTTTCATGGCTTTCGCACATGCTGAACATTTCGCAACATATTCTTCAATCTCCGCATCAATATTCGGCCAATATACATAACCGCGTGCAAGTGCTTTCATCCGCGCTACCCCTGGGTGTGCAGCGTGCAGTTCTAACATCACCTTTCGGCGTAGGCTTGTGGGTACAATAACTCGATTTCCAAACATTAGGCACCCGTCCACGAGCGATAAAGAATTTCGTCGGTGAGCATACTGTTCAATATTTTTGTTGTCTATATGAGAAGGCCAACCATGTTCAAGGTAACTTATAATCCGTTTCAGCTCGCCATCTTCTTGAGTGTAGCGTCTAATATCTTCAGCGGATAATGGTGTTGCTTTTATAGCAACTTGTAGTATTTGGTGGATATCTTCTTCCAATGATATCGTTGCAATAATAGAATCTTCGCTTTCCTGCTTCTGATTCGCAATTAATCGAGATAAAACATCAGCTTGTCCAAACTTTCCAGTCGATTTATATAGAATTCGGAAATCATAAGCAAGTAGTGTAACAGCCCAGCGTTGTAATCGATTAGCTGTATATGCAGGAATACCTGACTTCGATCCAAATATAGATAAAAGCGGCTTGTGACCTGTTAGAAGAGTAAATCGACGTCCATAAATCATTTTATGAAATTTCTTTACTGCAAAAACTATAGCTAATCCTTCTTTTTCAATTTGACTATATTTTCGTTCAGCTGGGTTAAGTGTTCGGGATACATGAGCAATCGGCTTTTCTTTACCATCAGGAAAACGATGGCTGATAACAGCCCCAATTCCATAGTTGGAAGCATCAGCGGCAACCATTATTTCAAGCTTAGGATTGTAATGAGTCAACAATAATTTACAAGATAAAATCCTTTTTATTTCGTCGAAAGAATATTGGCATTCTTTTGTCCAGTACCATTTTGCATTAGCCATCAAAAGTTGATTTAACGGGTGTCTCAATTTATACATCTGGGGTACGAACATACTATAATATCCAACCATCCCCAAGAATGAACGGAGAGTTGTAACATCAGTTGGTGTGGGCATATTTTTGATGGCATTTATATTATCTGGATCTGGCCGGCGACCATCTTTATCAAATATATATCCAAGATATTTAACAGAATCTAGCATAAATTGACACTTTTCTTTTTGTAATTGAAACCCGGCTTGCGATATTCTATTGAGCACTACGTCTAACCGACTCATTAGTTCGTGAGCAGAAGAGGCAACAACTATAATATCGTCCAAATAAACTGCTACACCTTCAAGGTTAGGCAACATGGTATCCATAATCTGTTGGAAAATTGCTGGAGCTGGTTTTACGCCAAAAGGTAATCGGCTAAACTGGTAAAGTCCACGGTGGGTATTAATGGTTAATAACTCCCTCGAATCTTCGTCAACTTCTACTTGTAAGTAAGCTTCAGATAGATCGAGTTTGGAAAAGTAACGTCCACCGTTTAGTTTAATAAATAAATCTTCTGGCAAGGGAAGTGGATATGAGTGATTTTGTAAAGCATCGTTTAATCCTGTTGAAAAGTCTGCACACAAGCGAATAGTTCCGTTTGCTTTCTGCACTACTACTATTGGTGCTGCCCATGCTGAATAATTAACCGGTTGTATTACACCCAGTTTCTCTAATCGATCTAACTCCTTGTCAACTTTATCGGTGGCTGCATACGGGACTTGGCGTTTTGGACAAAAAACAGGTTTTACATCCTGTCGTAAATATAACTTTGCCTTTCCAATGGTACAGCATCCCAATTTGTTCTGGAACAACTTCTTGTGTTTCTGTAAGAGGTCTTCTATCGTTATGGCTTTCTTAGTTACATGAACCATGGGTAGATCTCTAGGACTATTTGTGCACTTCATCATGCATATTTCACTCAATGGTACATCCCATAGGTTTAGTTTATCTATCCAATCTATTCCAATAAGGTCTAAGTCATGTCTGTTCGTTAAATAGCAGTTCCCTGTGAAGTAGTTATCTCGAAATTTAACAGAGCATTTTATAATTCCAACAAGCTTTAAAATATCTCCGGATGCGTTTCGTGCAGTATGCTCAGTAGGTAATACTTGTGGACAACCAATTAAATTCCATGTTCGTTTAGAGATCAATGTGATATCTGACGCTGTATCCAATTGTAATCGGACATGAACACCATTAACCAATAATTCCACATACCTTCTTTTATCTGCCATACTTAGAGCTCGTGTAGAATATATACTGTTAATATATTTGTTTTGAAACTGGTTAGGACGCTTCGTAGGCTTTGATCTCAAATTTTCTCTAGTCCGGCAAACTGATTCTTTATGACCAAGTTTATTGCACACCGTGCATCTATGATTTCTAAATCTGCAAAATCTTGAAAAATGCCACGCGCCGCAATACCAACATTTCGTTGAAGGTTTAGGAATTTTTGTGTGATGTTTATAACTTTTGGCACTTTTTTGTCGTTGACTTGTCTTAACAGCATGGACAGAATGATTAGATGGTGCAGCACTTTTGGTTTCTAACATAGCCGAATCCTGTTTCAAGTTTATTAATCGTTGACACTCACCAGTAATGGTTTGTAGCGTCATTTCTTCGTCATGTTCCATACGAGATAATAACTTCATGCGAACATCAGCATCGCTGGGAGAATTCAGACCAGAAATAAATAATAAGCATTTAAATTGATCACTGGTTAACACATTTAATTTAAATCGTTCCGCTTGTAAATTTACTCTTCCGGCATACGTAGTATAATCCTCATCAGCTTCTCTAGTCAGTTGTAGGCAATTATACCGGATACGAAATAGAGACATCTGTTCAGAAAACATTTTATTTAAAATGTTAACAGTTTCATCGAAACTAATCTCTCGTGGATGTTTGGGCAGGATATGGTTTTTATACTTCTGATGCTCGTTAGGACCAAGTTTCTGTAAGAGCAACCGGACTTTCTTTGTGTCCTCCATAGCAGCAAATTCGACTCGAAAAATATCTTCAATTCTGCCAAACCATGCTTCAAAAGTGTGACCGCTGTCTGCATCGAAAATAAATTCTGGAATTGGATTAAGATATGACTCTATGCTTTTATGTTCTGGAATATCTTGCTGAATAGACATTTTCCCCAAAAGTGCTTCCAGGAGTTGTTGTTGACAAGCTAACATCTGTTGCTGCTGCAATATTAACTGTAGCTGTTCTGGAGAAATTGACATTTTTTTAAAAAAAATGAGAATAATAATAAATCCAAAAAAACACCGGCAAATATTATGGATTATTTAATTCCAAAATGACGTCACCGACTGCTGTATTTTTTTTTGCCAGAATTACGTCCCAATTCTTGTATTTTTTTTTTACCGAAATCCCCGTCGCCAATTTGTTATGTTTTTGACCTAGACTGTAGCCAATTGTTATGACTTGATCAAGGTCGTCGCTGATTCGTTATGACCTTACGAATTTAACAAGGACGTAATTCTCGTAAATGATCCACCAATAGAATACGCCTTCTACGACCTTCACACTGTGACAATGACGTTCGATTAATATGAGTAATCTAGCGTCCTATTGGTCCTTATCCGCCTACCCGTCCACTTGAGTCCAGAACACCAATAGCAGCTGCTGTAATGCGAATCGTTTATTTCAAGCATACTTTATCTATATACCAGACAGGCAGACCACACCACACCATAAAATAGAAAATAATATTTGTACAAAACCAGGCCAAATGAAGCTGTAAGCGTGGGAGACAATAATCAATAAAACTGAGCATAACGTAGGGACAGTAAATCATATAGTAATAATCAATAGGTCAAAATGAAGCTAGTAATAAGATGAATATAGATATAGATAATCCAGTTACTGAATAGTTATACCATAGGAATATAAATAGTCTAATAAGAGGTCCCGTAAGTTATCAGCACTTACTTTTTCCTAGTATATAACAGACACCACTTGAGGTTGTAAAATCATATGACAGTTCGCCATAAGCTCTCACTCGACTAATAGTGTTCGAGTAAAGAGCCTTCACAAGGTTTATGTACTTCTCAGGTACACCTTTCAATGACAGACACTGCCACAGAACATCTCGGTCTACAGAGTCAAATGCTGCTTTCAAGTCAAGAAAAACTATCATTGTCGGACGCCGATAAGCGTGTCTGTGCTCTAAAACTTGACGAATGGTGAATATGTGGTCGATACAGCCATGACCAGGTCTGAAGCCAGCCTGATTTTCTCGTGTTTGCAGTTCACGAGTTTTAGTTAGGCGCCTGATAATTATTGAGGCTAGTATTTTAGATGCTATGTTGGTCAGACTAATCCCTCTATGGTTATCGCAGGATGATTTTGACCCCTTTTTATATATTGGGACAATCACTGGTTGTGACCAGTCGGATGGGATTACAACCGTCTCCCAGATTTTAGCCAGAATATTAGTCAACCTAATCGCTAAAATTGGACAACCATATTTAAAGACCTCTGGAACCAATCCATCAGGACCAGCTGCTCTTCCTCGTTTCAGATTACTTATAGCTTTTTGAACTTCAAGTAGGGTCGGGGGGCCTACTTCAATGTTCCATTCAGGTTTTCTAGGAGTAGTGGGTAGTTGTGCAGTAGCTGAAGGCCAGCTAAACTGCTCCTTAAAGTGTTCCGCCCATCGTTCTAAACGTTTGGGTTGAGAGCAGATAAGGGTTCTGTCTTTTTCCGAGATTGTCTCACTTACACTTGACTTCTTAATTCCGGTTTCTTTTATTAGTCTGAACAGTTGCCTGGTGTTGCCTACAGCCGCTGCCTTTTCCATCTCTTTTGCTTTCGTTGCCCACCACTGCTCACGATCGTTCCTTAAACTTTTAGTTAACCTAGATCTAATTTGTTTACGCTCTTCGTCATGTTCAGAGCCTGATGGGATGAATTTACGCGGATCCATCAGTGAAATAGACTTAGAAAAAATCCACTGGTTTTTTGGAGCCCTATGGTTTAAATGACTAGTAGATGTAACTGCTGTTTCCACAGCTGTTCGTATGTCTTTCCAAGCAGCTAAAACACCCACCTAAATGTCTTTCTGTTTGATTCAAGCTGCCTACCTGGGCATTAAAGTCACCCGCTACGACTACTATGTCTGAGCGCTTAGCTTTCTGAAGAAGCTCATAGAGATTTCTGTAAAAGTCATCTTTCACTTCATCATGGCTGCAGTCAGTGGGAGCGTAGGCAGAAACGACGAAAAGGCAACGACGTGTGTCCTTGTCCTTCCGAGTTCTTACGGAGCCATTTAGCCGGACAGCACACAGGCGACTGTTAACGGGGATCCATTCTAATAGTGCCTGTTCTGCCCTTGTACTTAGTGCTATACCTACACCTGCAAGTCCACGAGAACTAGCCATAGAGTCGCCAGATACACGGAGGGTGTATTTCGTTGGCTGTCCATTTTGGCGAGGTGAGGTCAAGTGAATGACCACACTGGGATCCTGTATGCGTGTTTCGGAGTCACAGCATACATCAATGGTACGAGATTCTAGGGTCTTAGCCAAGAAGCCTGTTGACCGATTTGACTTAGGGTACGTATGTTGAAGGCTCCAATGTGTAGTTTGGAGCGAGGTTTTAGTAGACCTGGGACAGTGTTTCGCGCACTAGAATTGTTGGCCTTGGTGACACTTGAGGAGGAAACCGAAAGAGGAAGTTTAGTGTTGAAAGTCAAGGTAGAAGGAATAGTAGGAATTGAAGAAGGAGATTGATTATGAATACAGTGGTCTTGAGTACTGTTAGAGGTATGAGGGCAGTTATCACTTCCCGGTTGCCCACACCGTGGAAGGGTTCTTTTGGGGGTACCTGAAAAGGAAATTGGTTTAGAAGTGGTCTTAATGACCTGAGAGCGTGACCGCATTGCCCAAGGGACAACTGCTTGAGGTCGGTCACACACAACCTTTTTGTGGGTAGTTTTTGTGTTAGCTCCGTTCTTTAAAGGACCTTACCACTGGAGACGGATATCCGTGGGATAAAGCGAGGTGTGCACTTTTAGGGTCGACCTTTTCTAACCCCACCCCTCCTTGTGGGAAGGCAGCATCGCTGTCATGCTGGTTGTCTGAAGGAAACACCTTACTGCTGTCACACCTCTGTACAGTCGACAGTACGACTTCGCCTTCGGACTTTGGATTTGCTGCTTTTAGTCTCACCGCTCTTTAACCGACCTGTCTGGCATGGTAGGACCTCGAGGAACGATTGTTCCAGCCAGCATAGCTCGATTGGTTCATCACGATAGACAAGCCCGACCACCACGTCAAGGTAACAGCAACGGTCGGGGTTTTTTTACAATCATAAGAATATTGATTGTAAACGGGATCTACGATTAATTAAAACAAAACAATCGGAACATGGAACACAATGAACATTGTCTCACTATAGCTTATGAAAATAAGCATAATATTATATTCTTTTAAAAATTAGGTTTCGGTCAAAATGTTTAGAAACAATTCAGAAAGCTTATACAGTAAGAAATAGTATGAGGATATGGATTTTTTATAAAAGCATTATACCTCTTACAGTCGGTTATATCATGCATGTTAAATTACATGATACACTAAGAATATATTTGAATTCGGACGTACTTTTTGTTCTTCACGCACACGAATCGATTGTTCTTCTCTTTCTTTCTTTATCTTTTCATTCATTAATTCTAAGCGAATACGATGTCTATGGTTTTCAGACAGACATAAAATTGTCAAAAGAAAACGTTAAATCAGAATAATCAAGTCCATGATCAAAAGTGATAGAAACCTTTAAAGCAAATAAATAAATCCTCAATTATACCCATGAAAACAAATCTCCATAAAATAGTCAACCTAGTGGTTAGATGCTCATAGAAAGATCTGAGTTAGATCCTTGGTGGCCAGGTCGTGGATATGCATTGCCAATCAGCCTCATAATAGGATGAAAACTTTATCGTGTTTCTTGGTTTTCAATGGTTATCTAATTAAGATCATTTTCTGATATCACCTATGAAATTTGTTTTATTATCAGAGTCTAACATAATCATTACCATCAAAGCAACATATCCTCTTGTTCTACAGTGCAGAAAAGAGATAGTGACTACCATCCATCGTACATGTTAATTCTTCATAAACATTTGATACTTTAGCTATTTATGTTCAATGCATTGAAAAAATATCTCTAGTTTACTAAATATTCCTATGAATGCATTCAAAATAGAAGTTGTGTGAAGTAACTGTTATGACTTCGCCCTGTTAATTATCATATGATATGACCCCCAACGGAACACCGACTTATATTACTTTGGCCTAGAGTATTAGCTTATCGCCTAACTCAGATAGTTCAGTCCAGAACATGAATATCAGCTTCCGAGATATGAATCATGTATTTCAGACACTCAGTTTTCATACGAGAAAATCAGTCCTCATCATAACATAAAATAGAAACTAACAATCATACAAGATCAGGCGAAAGGTGGCTGTGGTTGTGAGAGACTGTAACTAATAAATTTGGGATTAACATAAGAATAGTAAACCGTATAATAGTAGTCAATAGGTTAAATGAAAGTTTATAATAAAAGGAATATGAACATACGAATAATATTGTTAATTTATAGATATACAATAGGAATACCTATATCATAACAGTCCATAAACAAATCCTAGCAGTGGCCATTCACTTATTCTTCGTTTGGATATAACAGTAACATTTCCTTCAAATTAGTACTTTGATATCAGCTCTACACTGGTGGTGTGTGGTAGTGAAAGTAAAGTATAATTGGTCGTTGAGTGTGCACAAACGTCCACATTTCATGGACTATTAAATATGCGATTTTCCTTCTTATCATTGATTTTCACTCTGGACTCACTGTGTGTGACTGCTTGTGATTGTACTGAATAAAGTATTCTCTAGTGTTAATCTCGTTCTCTATTTTGGGTTGCGAATCCTGGTTCTGGTATAACGTGATTAGTCTTATTAACGTATGATCGTAATAAACGTGTGAGAGAGGGAAATAATGCAAACCGCCCCGTCAAATCAAAAGATATGCATGTTTATTAATTAAGTATAAAATATATGCCTAATAAATGGTGGTATATCAATTCTGAAATATATATCACAGTATTTCCTCTAAGGATAGTAGTCACAGTCACGTATTCAATGGATGTGAAATTAATATTTTTTTTAAATCACATAAATACTCAACAAATAATGCGGGTTCATTTTGTCATTAAGTTTATGTTTGTTGAGCACCAAGCTATTTTTTACCTTTAAAGAAAATATTGAGATAAACTTTTAAAATAAGTATGTATATATTGGAGGTTGGATTCGAACCCACGACCATGTCGTGGAACAGAACATCCAGAAGAACACTATTGAGTCTGGCGCCTTAGACCGCCCAGCCACTCCGAAACCAACATATTAGTGTACAGCTAGGATGAGGAACTAATTGGAAAGAAATATTTCTTTGATCAGCTTGAGCTTCGAAATAAATGAGCATAAATGTCTTAGCAATCAACCTTGAAATATGACTAACAACTAATATCATAAACTTTAAACGGAGTTGGAAATGAAAATATGCTAGTACTCGTGTTCTAATGATTCCATAATTTTCTTTTTTTGTTCTTCCTTCTGGAGATTTTCTTCACGTTCTAGTTTTTTCACTTCCAGAAAATATTCTTTTTGTTTTTGAATTAGTTGCTGAAAAAACCGACGAAATATCTGAAATAAAAATTGAAAATCAATATAAATTAACATGAAAAGAAGTAGAGTGGTGTATGCTACTTAAGTCAACATCCATAAGTAGTATGTGACAGCAATTGGAAATGGAAAACCTGGCAGCAGAAGGCCAAGAAGATCAAGTTGAAGAAAATAGAAAGGAATTGCGAACTAAAAAATCATACAAAATGTGAAGGACAAATGATGGAAATTTACAAATGAGGTATTCAATGTATGGTTCGCACATATTATCAAGAAATTCTGTAATTTCGTATTTGGATGGGACTGTTTGTCCCCGCCTGTGTTCTTGCTCACTACAGTAGAATATAAAATATTGGTTCTATTGCTAAACAGTAAAAAATATAGCATATTTTATAAGTTTTTCAGTGTGAGTGGACTTTATAATTCGCAAGACGTTGCTTCGTGGAAAAAGCCAAATACGTGTATGGCAGGCTGATTTAACAGAAATACCCGATGTTATTTACTTGTATTACAAAATAACTGTGCAGCATAAGTTTATTTTACTGTTAATAAAACTACTGATGTAGCGATTAAGTTAGTTATTGAAAGAGGGTTGGTTGACTATTTAAAGTACTTGATAGTCAACTAAATAGGTGAAGACTCAAATCACATTCCCATTAATTTAATTTGGTAGTATTGTGGTGTGGGCTACTTATATCGATATAAGTAGTATATATCGTGAGTGAGGAATAGAATATATAGCAGAACATTGGGAAGATCGAGAAGAGAAGAATAGAAATAGAGAGCGATTGGAGTGGAAATCCAGGGACAATGAAGCCTGAGACAATTAATGAACAATTGGCAAATAGAGTAACAGAGTATCGTTTTTGTATCTTATCAAGCAACTTTGTAATTTGTGTTAAATACATAATTATAGAAGGGGTTTTGTGGAGATTTAGTATTTATCATTGTTGAAAGCGTGAGTCAATTGAAGCTAGACCACCATGGAAAACCTGGAAACACTGGACGGCCGTTTCGTCCTATTATGGGACTCCTCAGCAGTGCGCATCCACGAACCTGCTCTCGCGAGCGAGATTCGAACCCAGGACCTACCAGTCTCGAGCCGAAGCCCTTAACCGATAGACCACTGAGCTGGCATCCAACGGTGTTAATGTCTAACTTCAACTGATCCACGAAGTTGAGCAACCATTCACCAATTGTCTTCAGTGAGTTCCTATCTCACAACAGACGTGGTTTTGAACTCCACTGGTCACTGCTTCTCACTAGAGCTCCTAGATATACTTCTCGAAATCACTAGTGAGCATATTATTATATTAATTATAGAAGGGGTTTTGTGGAGATTTAGTATTTATCATTGTTGAAAGCGTGAGTCAATTGAAGCTAGACCACCATGGAAAACCTGGAAACACTGGACGGCCGTTTCGTCCTATTATGGGACTCCTCAGCAGTGCGCATCCACGAACCTGCTCTCGCGAGCGAGATTCGAACCCAGGACCTACCAGTCTCGAGCCGAAGCCCTTAACCGATAGACCACTGAGCTGGCATCCAACGGTGTTAATGTCTAACTTCAACTGATCCACGAAGTTGAGCAACCATTCACCAATTGTCTTCAGTGAGTTCCTATCTCACAACAGACGTGGTTTTGAACTCCACTGGTCACTGCTTCTCACTAGAGCTCCTAGATATACTTCTCGAAATCACTAGTGAGCATATTATTATATTAATTATAGAAGGGGTTTTGTGGAGATTTAGTATTTATCATTGTTGAAAGCGTGAGTCAATTGAAGCTAGACCACCATGGAAAACCTGGAAACACTGGACGGCCGTTTCGTCCTATTATGGGACTCCTCAGCAGTGCGCATCCACGAACCTGCTCTCGCGAGCGAGATTCGAACCCAGGACCTACCAGTCTCGAGCCGAAGCCCTTAACCGATAGACCACTGAGCTGGCATCCAACGGTGTTAATGTCTAACTTCAACTGATCCACGAAGTTGAGCAACCATTCACCAATTGTCTTCAGTGAGTTCCTATCTCACAACAGACGTGGTTTTGAACTCCACTGGTCACTGCTTCTCACTAGAGCTCCTAGATATACTTCTCGAAATCACTAGTGAGCATATTATTATATTAATTATAGAAGGGGTTTTGTGGAGATTTAGTATTTATCATTGTTGAAAGCGTGAGTCAATTGAAGCTAGACCACCATGGAAAACCTGGAAACACTGGACGGCCGTTTCGTCCTATTATGGGACTCCTCAGCAGTGCGCATCCACGAACCTGCTCTCGCGAGCGAGATTCGAACCCAGGACCTACCAGTCTCGAGCCGAAGCCCTTAACCGATAGACCACTGAGCTGGCATCCAACGGTGTTAATGTCTAACTTCAACTGATCCACGAAGTTGAGCAACCATTCACCAATTGTCTTCAGTGAGTTCCTATCTCACAACAGACGTGGTTTTGAACTCCACTGGTCACTGCTTCTCACTAGAGCTCCTAGATATACTTCTCGAAATCACTAGTGAGCATATTATTATATTAATTATAGAAGGGGTTTTGTGGAGATTTAGTATTTATCATTGTTGAAAGCGTGAGTCAATTGAAGCTAGACCACCATGGAAAACCTGGAAACACTGGACGGCCGTTTCGTCCTATTATGGGACTCCTCAGCAGTGCGCATCCACGAACCTGCTCTCGCGAGCGGGATTCGAACCCAGGACCTACCAGTCTCGAGCCGAAGCCCTTAACCGATAGACCACTGAGCTGGCATCCAACGGTGTTAATGTCTAACTTCAACTGATCCACGAAGTTGAGCAACCATTCACCAATTGTCTTCAGTGAGTTCCTATCTCACAACAGACGTGGTTTTGAACTCCACTGGTCACTGCTTCTCACTAGAGCTCCTAGATATACTTCTCGAAATCACTAGTGAGCATATTATTATATTAATTATAGAAGGGGTTTTGTGGAGATTTAGTATTTATCATTGTTGAAAGCGTGAGTCAATTGAAGCTAGACCACCATGGAAAACCTGGAAACACTGGACGGCCGTTTCGTCCTATTATGGGACTCCTCAGCAGTGCGCATCCACGAACCTGCTCTCGCGAGCGAGATTCGAACCCAGGACCTACCAGTCTCGAGCCGAAGCCCTTAACCGATAGACCACTGAGCTGGCATCCAACGGTGTTAATGTCTAACTTCAACTGATCCACGAAGTTGAGCAACCATTCACCAATTGTCTTCAGTGAGTTCCTATCTCACAACAGACGTGGTTTTGAACTCCACTGGTCACTGCTTCTCACTAGAGCTCCTAGATATACTTCTCGAAATCACTAGTGAGCATATTATTATATTAATTATAGAAGGGGTTTTGTGGAGATTTAGTATTTATCATTGTTGAAAGCGTGAGTCAATTGAAGCTAGACCACCATGGAAAACCTGGAAACACTGGACGGCCGTTTCGTCCTATTATGGGACTCCTCAGCAGTGCGCATCCACGAACCTGCTCTCGCGAGCGAGATTCGAACCCAGGACCTACCAGTCTCGAGCCGAAGCCCTTAACCGATAGACCACTGAGCTGGCATCCAACGGTGTTAATGTCTAACTTCAACTGATCCACGAAGTTGAGCAACCATTCACCAATTGTCTTCAGTGAGTTCCTATCTCACAACAGACGTGGTTTTGAACTCCACTGGTCACTGCTTCTCACTAGAGCTCCTAGATATACTTCTCGAAATCACTAGTGAGCATATTATTATATTAATTATAGAAGGGGTTTTGTGGAGATTTAGTATTTATCATTGTTGAAAGCGTGAGTCAATTTCGAGAAGTATATCTAGGAGCTCTAGTGAGAAGCAGTGACCAGTGGAGTTCAAAACCACGTCTGTTGTGAGATAGGAACTCACTGAAGACAATTGGTGAATGGTTGCTCAACTTCGTGGATCAGTTGAAGTTAGACATTAACACCGTTGGATGCCAGCTCAGTGGTCTATCGGTTAAGGGCTTCGGCTCGAGACTGGTAGGTCCTGGGTTCGAATCTCGCTCGCGAGAGCAGGTTCGTGGATGCGCACTGCTGAGGAGTCCCATAATAGGACGAAACGGCCGTCCAGTGTTTCCAGGTTTTCCATGGTGGTCTAGCTTCAATTGACTCACGCTTTCAACAATGATAAATACTAAATCTCCACAAAACCCCTTCTATAATTAATATAATAATATGCTCACTAGTGATTTCGAGAAGTATATCTAGGAGCTCTAGTGAGAAGCAGTGACCAGTGGAGTTCAAAACCACGTCTGTTGTGAGATAGGAACTCACTGAAGACAATTGGTGAATGGTTGCTCAACTTCGTGGATCAGTTGAAGTTAGACATTAACACCGTTGGATGCCAGCTCAGTGGTCTATCGGTTAAGGGCTTCGGCTCGAGACTGGTAGGTCCTGGGTTCGAATCTCGCTCGCGAGAGCAGGTTCGTGGATGCGCACTGCTGAGGAGTCCCATAATAGGACGAAAAGGCCGTCCAGTGTTTCCAGGTTTTCCATGGTGGTCTAGCTTCAATTGACTCACGCTTTCAACAATGATAAATACTAAATCTCCACAAAACCCCTTCTATAATTAATATAATAATATGCTCACTAGTGATTTCGAGAAGTATATCTAGGAGCTCTAGTGAGAAGCAGTGACCAGTGGAGTTCAAAACCACGTCTGTTGTGAGATAGGAACTCACTGAAGACAATTGGTGAATGGTTGCTCAACTTCGTGGATCAGTTGAAGTTAGACATTAACACCGTTGGATGCCAGCTCAGTGGTCTATCGGTTAAGGGCTTCGGCTCGAGACTGGTAGGTCCTGGGTTCGAATCTCGCTCGCGAGAGCAGGTTCGTGGATGCGCACTGCTGAGGAGTCCCATAATAGGACGAAACGGCCGTCCAGTGTTTCCAGGTTTTCCATGGTGGTCTAGCTTCAATTGACTCACGCTTTCAACAATGATAAATACTAAATCTCCACAAAATCCCTTCTATAATTAATATAATAATATGCTCACTAGTGATTTCGAGAAGTATATCTAGGAGCTCTAGTGAGAAGCAGTGACCAGTGGAGTTCAAAACCACGTCTGTTGTGAGATAGGAACTCACTGAAGACAATTGGTGAATGGTTGCTCAACTTCGTGGATCAGTTGAAGTTAGACATTAACACCGTTGGATGCCAGCTCAGTGGTCTATCGGTTAAGGGCTTCGGCTCGAGACTGGTAGGTCCTGGGTTCGAATCTCGCTCGCGAGAGCAGGTTCGTGGATGCGCACTGCTGAGGAGTCCCATAATAGGACGAAACGGCCGTCCAGTGTTTCCAGGTTTTCCATGGTGGTCTAGCTTCAATTGACTCACGCTTTCAACAATGATAAATACTAAATCTCCACAAAACCCCTTCTATAATTAATATAATAATATGCTCACTAGTGATTTCGAGAAGTATATCTAGGAGCTCTAGTGAGAAGCAGTGACCAGTGGAGTTCAAAACCACGTCTGTTGTGAGATAGGAACTCACTGAAGACAATTGGTGAATGGTTGCTCAACTTCGTGGATCAGTTGAAGTTAGACATTAACACCGTTGGATGCCAGCTCAGTGGTCTATCGGTTAAGGGCTTCGGCTCGAGACTGGTAGGTCCTGGGTTCGAATCTCGCTCGCGAGAGCAGGTTCGTGGATGCGCACTGCTGAGGAGTCCCATAATAGGACGAAACGGCCGTCCAGTGTTTCCAGGTTTTCCATGGTGGTCTAGCTTCAATCGACTCACGCTTTCAACAATGATAAATACTAAATCTCCACAAAACCCCTTCTATAATTAATATAATAATATGCTCACTAGTGATTTCGAGAAGTATATCTAGGAGCTCTAGTGAGAAGCAGTGACCAGTGGAGTTCAAAACCACGTCTGTTGTGAGATAGGAACTCACTGAAGACAATTGGTGAATGGTTGCTCAACTTCGTGGATCAGTTGAAGTTAGACATTAACACCGTTGGATGCCAGCTCAGTGGTCTATCGGTTAAGGGCTTCGGCTCGAGACTGGTAGGTCCTGGGTTCGAATCTCGCTCGCGAGAGCAGGTTCGTGGATGCGCACTGCTGAGGAGTCCCATAATAGGACGAAACGGCCGTCCAGTGTTTCCAGGTTTTCCATGGTGGTCTAGCTTCAATTGACTCACGCTTTCAACAATGATAAATACTAAATCTCCACAAAACCCCTTCTATAATTAATATAATAATATGCTCACTAGTGATTTCGAGAAGTATATCTAGGAGCTCTAGTGAGAAGCAGTGACCAGTGGAGTTCAAAACCACGTCTGTTGTGAGATAGGAACTCACTGAAGACAATTGGTGAATGGTTGCTCAACTTCGTGGATCAGTTGAAGTTAGACATTAACACCGTTGGATGCCAGCTCAGTGGTCTATCGGTTAAGGGCTTCGGCTCGAGACTGGTAGGTCCTGGGTTCGAATCTCGCTCGCGAGAGCAGGTTCGTGGATGCGCACTGCTGAGGAGTCCCATAATAGGACGAAACGGCCGTCCAGTGTTTCCAGGTTTTCCATGGTGGTCTAGCTTCAATTGACTCACGCTTTCAACAATGATAAATACATAATTGGTTGTCCTCACCTGTGTTTTCATTTACTACAGTATCACTACATCTAACAGAATTAAACTGTCCCTCAAAGACGGGTACATGAACTTGTACTCGGTAATTGTATTATAACATGAATTTATTACTGGTTCAGAGTAACCGAAACTGTATAAACTTAATTTGAAACTTATATCAACTATTGAAATGTGTTAAGTTACTACTACTATTTAGTATTTATAGACTACTTAGTTCCTGGATCCCGAAATTTTATATATTTTCTTTCAATACTAAAGATTTTTTTAGTGCTACTAACACTGCTATAGCTTTAACTACTCTGGGATTTGGCTTGATAATTTCATATCTCTGTGTTAACATGGTATAGTAACTCAAACAAATGCATTTATGCGCCAGGGGTTTAAGGAACATATGACTAACTAAATGAGTAAGGCGGTAGAGATTTAATATGGAAAGCCAATTAGAAGTAGCCTAATAAGTAGGTCGATCGATAGTAATCAGCAGTGACCTAAAGGACATTGCATTTCATTAGCTAAGAAATGGATCGATTTCCTAAGGATTAGAGTGATATATATATATATATATATATATATATATATATATATATATATATATATATATATATATATGAGTATTTGTGCATTCTATTCGGTAGTCCAATACACTTTCCCGCTCGCACTTGTATTCTCGCTCGAGTAGTCAGTTGGGAGGTTAGTGCGTAGCACACCATGTATCACTATCAGATTTCGCATACCGAACGTCAAAAATGCATCTATTATTCTTTAAGATTATCCGGTACAGTGCGTTAGGACCGTACATTTGGTGCGTTGAAGTGTTAATTTATAAACGGATGGTGGATGAATATCAACGAAATACTTCATAGTGTTCTATTCATGTTTATATTTGCTCACGTTGATTTTACGTTAATCCTTCACTACTCTCAATACCAGTTTTGCAAATCGTTTTTCTAAAACTAACTTCTGTGATAATTTTAAATATTTGAAACCGTTATTGTTATTCTCCTTTTCTCCCACCACTCACCCACTATAAGTCATATCTATTGTACACAGTCTTAGTCAATCGGTTTTTAATATTGCTTCAATATACATATTTGACCGACACAGAGATAGAAAAGTGAGAAAACGACGATAACACCTCTCTGTAAGATTTAACTTGACAAATACAAATGAATCTACTCATCTGATAAATCTCAGAACTTGAAGAATGATTTTAAATAAATTTTAGTTGACTTGGAATTATTACTAAGATAGTGTATGAGACTAAACTGTAGGAATACTACGTTTTATTGACTTCCATACCTACCTTTTCATCAGTATTAACCTTAGCAATTTTTTTCAGACGAAATTCACGGACAAATTCGTCGAAATATTTCCGAGCTCTAATTAACTGGAATTTTTTCTCTCTCGCTTCTCCCCGAATACGCCTCTCCACGGTTTCATTTGCTCTTTGTTGTCTGAGGTTTTCAATTTGACGGTCATAATGAACTAACTGTGCAAGGCGACGTCTCTGTCTTTCCTCAATACATTGTGAATGAGATTCAGGAACATGTGTGGGAGATAGACCAGAAGAGGGATTGCTTGAAAGCTGTCTCATTAGGCTTACTTTGTGTTTGAAAAGGAAATAATTTAAACAATTGTAAGTTCAAAATCACCAAAATACTGTAGTGGTAGTAGTAATAGTAGTAGTAGGAAAACATAGATTTTTGCTGCACTTAAAACTTAACATTATAGAAATCAAATAGCAATGTGGTGTGATCTACTTATATCCATATAAGTACTATATGGTGTGGGTCAGACATAGAATGTATTTTCGCAGAAGACCGATGACGAAAGAACTGAAATGAAGCGCAATCGGTAGGAAAATGCACGAACAATGGAATTAGAGAAGAAACAGTGAAGATCGAGACTATTGGTTGTTAATTTGCAAACTGACTGTACATTGTATGGTTTTCAGAATTTACTGAGATAGTCTGTAATCTTTGCTTAAATACATTCGATTGTCCCCCAGTCGTGTTCTGTTCACTACAGCAATACTGAAACAAATACAAACCAAGCGAATATGTTAAGGGGAGCTTTTACTATCTAGAAGTGACGTAATTGCTTGATAAACACGAGTGAAAAATTATTATCTAAATAACCATAACTTGCAAATTATAAAACAATTTATCACAGACATTAAAAGAATTTCAGTGACCAATTTACGAAAGAAAGTTGAAAATGAGCGAGGTTGGTATTTTTAAAGCACGATTTCGAATAGTTAGGGAACGTAATAAACTAAGTAGTAATTACAATTCTTAGAATGACATTAATACACTTGAAATATAAAATTTTGGTAAGAACTAATGTATTATTAACTATTCTTTTGAATATCTGCATTTAGATTTTAATGGCTTTGCTTCGTTAATCAGTCACTTTTGTAACCGCTATTATATAAATCTCGTAGTGTTTGATATCAGAAGGTAATAAGAAGTAGTAACTACTGCGACATTTGCATGAACTAACGATTCCTATGTACCTGATGACTGCTTGATTTTGAATTCCAAATGCAATACGTTCGTTCGTGCTCATCTAGTACTTCTTGGTTAAACTGCGTTATTCCTGGGATTCCTAGTTTGTACTGTAATTCAAATACTTCTAATTATCACATTGGCATCGCAATGGAGCCTGTGATGGGACGGTTGGATACACATTTAAATTTTAATGTTTTTGAGGATTACATGGAGAGGTTCGAAATCTGGGATACGACCAAGGAAGATGTTGAGGATTTTAATATTGTGACCCATTTCCCTACATTCATCGGAAAAGAAGCATATAGCTTAATAAGGACTGGCATTTCCAGAAAACTGATTTCACTCCCTTATGCAACTCTCAAGCAACTACAAATGGACCATGTAAAGTATACAAATTTCGAATGCGGTAAAAGAGAAAAACTCAATGAAACCACTCGCCAGGACATCAAGAATTCCACTACTTTACTACGTCACTGCAGTCCAATATGTAATCAAAGTTATTCAGATAACAATTCATTAAAATGTGAAACAGTTCACGAAGATGAACACAAGTTTGATAAATGCTTGTTCTGTGGCATGTTTCACCCATGTAATTCATGTGTATTTCCTAATTCGATATGCTTTAAATGTGGTAAAACTGGACATATTCACTCCGTTTCTAGTAGCATGGTTCATTTCGCTGAAACTAATGCTAAAATTTGTGATCGTGATCCTACTAAGTTGGATGTTTTTAATGATAAATTATCTTTATCCAAGACTTTGAGAAGCCGTATAGCGTCACATAGCGGTCCATAGTCAAATGAAACCCAGAATCATTGTGAGACAAATGTTTTTAACCAACTAACTGCTTACCAGATTTCTCGTGTTGTTGTACCAGATGTGGTTTACCATAATGATTCACATACTTCTGATGACATTTCTTACAACTCTGAGAATAACATGTTGAGTGAGTCAAATCATGATCAAACACCGGATTCACTTTCGGTAGATGCTGATTTTTCTAATGATCCATTATTCTCTAATGAAATTCTTAGTAAATTTGAGAGAAACATTTCCGAAAACTCAAATTCTGATATCATATCAAATGTGATTTGTCCTCACAATGGACTTATCTCTAGTGATATTCCTAATGAGTGTGACAAATATGTTCCAAATGAGTCGAATTCCAGTCATATTTCTGATGTTATTGTATCAGATGTTGGATACTCTCACAACCAATGTATGTTGAGTAGAATCTCTAGTCAGTGGTATGATGAGTCAGAGGGAATAGCAAGTTTTACCGAAGTAATCAGAAAACCAATTTACCCAGATATGAAGTTTGCACAGGCAGAAAATTCAAATCGAAAACAAGATAATCCTAACGGGTATGAGGCAGATGCATATTTTCCACTTGATTGTCTTGCAGTTGACTCAAGCCTAGGTTAATCACATGTGCTAATTACACATATTAAGGTATATCTATCTGTGTATTCTAATATGAAAAGCAAAAGGAATATGTGTCATATTTTTTATGCAAGTCAAATTCACATGATGGAATGTCTCAAATTATATGTCAGTGTATATCCACAAATACATATATTAATCGAAGCATGAGATATGAGATATTACAAATGGGGAACGTCAAATTGGTTATAACACTGCGACTTAAGGACCCATGTTATATAGGAAGATGTTCTAGGAATTTGTATACTCGGGCTCGTGAGCACCTCCCAGTGTGGTTAAGCAAAGGTGTAGTCAAAACGGTTAACAGCTTCATTTTAGCCCATTTAGTTCAGACGGGACATAGAGCCAACATGGAACAATCTTTCACAATGATATATCGTGCTAACAGCAGTCTACCTAATTCCGTCAGACTGAAAATACTGCAGACGGCTGAGGCAATTGCTATCCGGATCAAAAAGCCAGAGCCTTGCATCCAAAAGAAATATGTCCAGCCGCTCATTTTACTCTGGCCAACTAACTTGTTAATAATCAATTTTTTTAATATGGTGACATTAATTTGATTATTGTTCACTTTTATATCTTAAACTTATTTTATCTACACATCTTACCAGTCATGATTATTATTATTATTATTTAAAAATTCATTCGCTGAGATTTTACAAATATATTATTCCTATTTAATGTATTATTATTATTATTACACTTGCTAACCTTTTAGAGAAATTTATTCAGCATCCATCCCTATTTACTATATCTGACCTATTTCATATTATTCTACATATTACGTAATTTCTGATTTGTAATCCCATTGTTCTATCTCACCACCATGTCAACTATATATATTCCGATCATTTATCTTACGATTTTATTTCATTATAAACTGACTCAAGTTAACACTACATATTAATCATCCCAACATTAACAATTCGATTTTATTTTATATCACAAACACTCCTTGATTCACATGTAACAGTTTCTTAAATGATGTACCCTGCCCTAAACTTGGCCAATTTTATATGGATTATTAATTTATAATTGTAGGACCTGATGAGAAATTATTGAAAAAAATATTATCAGAAGGGGATTTGTGGAGATTTCAGTATTTTTCAAAGTTGAAATCATGAGTCAATTGAAGCTAGACCACCATCGAAAACCTGGAAGCACTGGACGGCCGTTTCGTCCTATTATGGGACTCCTCAGCAGTGCGCATCCACGATCCCGCACTCGCGAGATTCGAACCCAGGATCTACCGGTCTCGAGCCAGAGCCCTTAACCGATAGAAAATTGATTTCAACTTTGAAAAATACTGAAATCTCCACAAATCCCCTTCTGATTATAATCATATGCTGACTAGTGACTGACTTCAAGATACATGTCCTGGAGTTTTAGTGGGAAGCAGTGACCAGTGGAGTTCAACCACGTCTGTTGTGAGATAGGAACTCACTGATGACATTGGTGAATGGTTGCTCAACTTCGTGGATCAGTTGAAGTTAGACATTAACACCGTTGGATGCCAGCTCAGTGGTCTATCGGTTAAGGGCTTCGGCTCGAGACTGGTATGTCCTGGGTTCGAATCTCGCAAGAGCGGGTTCGTGGATGCGCACTGCTGAGGAGTCCCATAATAAGACGAAACGGCCGTCCAGTGCTTCCAGGTTTCCCTTGGTGGTCTAGCTTCAATTGACTCGTGATTTCAACTTTGAAAAGAATATTCTTCGTTCATATAATTGTATTTTAATAGGATGTGGATTCTTCGGCGATCAACATTTTAGCTAGAGTCTGTCATGTGATCAAACGTACATGTCTATATAGATATAGTAGTAATCATAGCAATACAAAGAAATATACGAATTGTTACTGTTCGAATTTTGTTTATTTTATTCACAATGGGAATCTTTAATAATATAAATATTGGTACAAAGGGGCACCAGATATACATGCGCCACACAAATCTCATTTGATTCGTGTGAGGGCTGTGATAGTGCCCGGGCGTTCAAACCGAAACAGGCGATTTTCTTAGGGGATCACACCCGGAGCCTTTGACCACAAGACAGTGGAGCATCGTAAGGAGATGCGGTCCCATGGTAGCCCGTGACCAACCAAAATTCCATACACCATTTGTTCCCTCAGGAAACTGGAGCCCATGTACACCATCGGTTTGGAATCAGGGTTTTCCAACTCCCCTAGGTTGACTCTCTGAGCCCACCAACCCCGTTAAAGAGCTGGACATCAGCTTTTTGCCCTCTCAATTTCGTAAACACCCCCGCCACGAGAAGGCAGTAAGTAGAATTTCCCTGGCAGAGACTATATACGCGTGGCCATGTGAGAGCAAGTCGAGAAGGAGAGTGGACTCTCCCCACTCTCGGCCGTACCACGGCATTTGGGGGCTACCATTCGAATAATATTGTCTGTTAAGTAAGTTAATAAAAAGGGCTTAACTAAAATTAACCATAATCAAAATTGATTTTAGGATAGTTGCTACAATATCAATCGGAAATCTATCATTCTCCCTCAAGTCAAACAGGTCATTTCTAATCTCTGTCAAAGTCTAAAGATTTTGCTAACCAGTATTATATATACATATTTGTATTTCACTAAAAACTATACTGAAATCAATAAGTTTGGTAATTCCTGACTGAGCATATGGAAATCTTCGGAGAATTATAAGGACTATTTAACTACAGACATGCAAATTTCATCTGTGAAATCACCATCCTAAGGTACTTATCTATTGAATTAAGGACAAATGAGATATTTCACTCAGCTGTTGATTTTTCTTAGTGTTGAAGAGGTTCGAACTACAGTTCAACTCGATTAAAATAATTCCAGTCAGATTCATCGGAACCTCATAAACAAAATAGGAATTATATTCTTTTGAATTGAATAGAACCGATGATCTTTATACCTTGGGAGAATCTTTCAGGAGACCAAATCTAATTACCTAGAGATTATTAAATTTGTGGTAAAAGCACTAATCTGACAGATTATTTATTCACTTATTTATATCACATAAATAAAGAGCCAAAAATAAGAGCACGGGAAGTGAATTGATGATGTTGCGAAGGGACAGAAAGATTACACAATCAACTAGCTAATAAGAACATTATTTATTAAAAGAAAATAACCAAAGTTAATTTCGTCCAGGTATACGATTCATTTTACCTTCACAAAGAATCTAAGTAAATTATTAAGCCACCAAGTTCCATGGCATGCACGACTCCAGCCAGAAATTCGTGATGGGAAAAAAACACCAATGCTATATACGTTCAATTCCACTGTGTTATATTGTGAACAAATTTATCCTATGAATTTCGTGCCTAGTTATATAATCAGCAAATAATGAGCAGTTTAAAACCCACTATAATGACGTACAGGATGTCTAAACAGTAGAAGCAAGTGTTTCAAGATAGTAACATCATCTGGACTGCCATTACTGTACCATACCTCGAATGTGAGACGTCTCTGGAAGACTACGATGACCAAACACAAGCAGTTACCGAAAATTCCCAACTTGAAGAATCCAGGATTCATAGGTATATTTTATTTGCGTACTCTATCTCCGTGAGAGTAGTCTTAGGTAATAGCTGAAGTGGTCATCATTAGGAGCGCATCTATGACGAAATTAAACTAAAATGGGAAGAATGTGCAGTCTTGGTGAATGCCACTTGGCGTGAACGATTACAATGACAATGCTGTAAATTGTTATTGAATCAACAGTGATCAAACAATGACTCTGTTGGGTTGATCTTGAAAATTCCTCGCAATAGACATGACAAGCTCAGGAAACATTAAGAAGCATTTTATCCAATCAGCGTTTGATTAGAAGTTTTGCTAGGAGCAACGCGAAAATGAGAAGTCATCTGTAGAGGTTCTGATTGGCTGATCACTACACTGCTGCTATGTTTAGTAGTATTCTAGAATTTTCAGGAAAACCCAAAAACTTCTAGAATACTATAAAAACCCTATATTTTCTGTACATAAATGAGCCTTTGGAGTAAAGTGCTTCTTGTATATTTTGCGCGTTTTCTCTCGTGTTCAAGTCGCTGTGCAGTTCTAGCTTGGGGTTACGAGACTAGCTTAGGATCCGAGTATAGCGTTCAATCAACATGACTTATCAGACTCTCTTGTAAGTTTATTTAATTCTTCAGTATCCCTTACAAAAATAAACTATCAAAAACCTGTAAATCAGTAAGGTCAGATGACGAAAAATGACTACCATTGTGTGTCGTCAAGTATGATTAGGCTTCGAGACCTGAGACAAATGAGAATTCCACCTGAACACTGCTTGACATTTTTATTTTCGCTTTTTTCCGAGCTCCACTTGCGCCTTTAATGACTATGAAAGCTTATATTTTAGGGATTATATTAGTATGAGATTGATAAATATATCAGATAGATAGTGAGAAAACTCAAATAATAGTCATCGGCTAAGTATTAGCCTGTTTGGAGCATATAAACCTCCTGATTATAATCAATAAGCTATACACGATAAGATGACGAATCCTTATGCATATTATCTTATATCAGTCCTCAGTAAATGTGAATGCATCAAACATACAACACCTTAAAATAAATTGTGGCTTAATAATACAAAAAATAAAGTTGCGATACTAAGGCCAACTAGTGAAGTAATACCAGTTATCTGGACTCATTGGTACACAGAAATGCTTAGTGACGTACGTTCAACTTACCTCTCCCTATGACAGTAATTAGTAAGTTTCGTTCGAATAGTTATCCATTAAAAATTCGGATGGAATCCCGACCCGATCGTTGCTGATACCTTGACGTAGTTACCGGGCTTGCCTATCGTGATGAACCAATCGAGCTATGCTGGCTGGAACAATCGTTCCTCGAGGTCCTACCATGCCAGACAGGTCGGTTGAAGAGCGGTAAGACCAAAAGCAGCAATCCAAAGGTCCGAAGGCGAAGTCATACTGCTGACTGTACAGAGGAGTGACAGCAGTAAGGTGTTTCCTTCAGACAACCAGCATAGCAGCGATGCTGTCTTCCCACAAGGAGGGGTGGGGTTAGAAAAGGTCGACCCTAAAAATGCAAACCTCGCCTAATCCCACGGGTATCCGTCTCCGGCGGTAAGTCCAACAAGTAAGGAGCTAACACAAAAACTACCCACAAAAAGGTCGTGTGTGACCGACCTCCAGCAGCTGTACCTTGAGCACTGCGGTCACGCTCTCAGGTCATTAAGACCACTCCTAAACCAATTTCCTTTTCAGGTACCCCCAAAAGAACCCTTCCACGGTGTGGGCAACCGGGAAGTGATAACTGCCCTCATACCTCTAACAGTACTCAAGACCACTGTATTCATAATCAATCTCCTTCTTCAATTCCTACTATTCCTTCTACCTTGACTTTCAACACTAAACTTCCTGTTCCGGTTTCCTCCTCAAGTGCCACCATGGCCAACGATTCTAGTGCGCGAAACGCTGTCCCAGGTCTACTAAAACCTCGCTTCAAACTACACATTGGAGCCTTCAACGTACGTACCCTATGCCAAATCGGTCAACAGGCCTCCTTTGCTAAAACCCTAGAATCTCGTACCATTGATGTATGCTGTGTCTCCGAAACACGCATACAGGATCCCAGTGTGGTCATTCACTTGACCTCACCTCGCCAAAATGGACACCAAACGAAATACACCCTCCGTGTATCTGGCGATCCGTTGGCTAGTTCTCGCGGACTTGCAGGTGTAGGCATAGGACGAGAAGGCTAAATGTAAATTTGAGGAACAACTGAGTTCACATCTAGGCAATTCTGTAAACGAGACTGACCCAGGTGCTGCTTGGAAAGATATACGAACAGCTGTGGAAACAGCAGTAAATCTATTAGTAATTTAAACCATAGGGTTCCGAAAAACCAATGGATTTCTTCTAAGTCTATTTCAATGATGGATTCGCGTAAATTAATTCCATCAGGCTCTGAATACGACGAAGACCGTAAACAAATCAGATCCAGGTTAACCAAAAGCCTAAGGGACGATCGTCAGTAGTGGTGGGCAACGAAAGCAACAGAGATGGAAGAGGAAGCGGCTGTAAGCAACACCAGGCAACTATTCAGACTAATAAAAGAAACCGGAATTAAGAAGTCAAGTGTAAGTGAGACAATTTCGGAAAAATACGGAACCCTTATCTGCTCTCAGCACAGACGTTTAGAACGATGGGCGAATCACTTATAGGAGCAGTTCAAATGGCCTTCTGGTACTCTACAACTACCCACCATATCCAAACATCGTGAGTGGAACAATACAGAAGGTCCCTCGACTCTGACTGAAGGTCAAAAAGCTGTAGCTAATCTGAAATGAGGAAGATCAGCTGGTCTATATGGATTGGCTACAGAGGTCTTTAGGATTGTGGTCTAGTTTTAGCGAATAGGTTGACTAACATTTTAATTAAAATCTGCTAACTGAATTTAATTTCATCTGATCGGTCGTAATCACTGGTTGTCTCGATACATAAGAAGGGGTCAAAACATCCTGTGATAACCATAAAGGGATTAGTTTAACTAATATAGCGTCTAAAATACTAGCCTTAATAATTATGGAATGCCTAACAAAGACTCGTGAACTGTGAACACCAGAAAATCAGGCTGGTTTCACACCTGGTCGTGGATGCACCGATCACATATTTTCTATTCGTCAGGTCTTAGGACACAGGTATACTTATCGGCTTCCGACAATCGTGGTCTTTCTTGACTTAAAAGCAGTATTTGGCTCTGTATATTGAGAGGTTCTGTGACAGTGTTTGTCATTGGAAGGCGTACATCAGAAGTACATAAACCTTGTGAAGGCTCTTTACTCGAACACTATTAGTCGAGTGAGAGCTTATGGCGAACTGTCATATGATTTTACAACCTCAAGTGGTGTCCGTCAAGGCTGTCCACTATCCGCATTTTTGTTTAACTTCATTATAGACCTGTTGCTGGAAATAACACTCTCGTCGACTGAATTTACAGGAACTGATCTCCTACCAGGGGGACCACTAACCGACTTAGAATACGCAGATGACATAGTCCTGTTTGGTGAAGACGCTGGGAAAATGCAGAGTCTTCTGTTGGAACTCAGTAATAATGCCAGGATGTTTGGGATGCGATTCTCCCCATCCAAATGTAAATTGTTAGTCCAGGACTGGGCTGCGCCAACACCTGAACTAAGGGTAGAGAGTGAAGTAGTCGAACGCATCGACAACTTCACTTATCTTGGAAGTCTGATCAGCCCTAATGGGTTGGTGTCTGACGAAATCTCAGCACGGATTCAAAAAGCTCGTTTGGCTTTTGCCAACTTCCGTCACCTATGACGAAGACGAGATATCCGTCTATCAATTGAGGGACGAGTATACTGTGCAGTAGTTCGCTCTGTTCTACTTTACGGTTGTGAAACATGGCCATTAAGAGTAGAAGATACTCGTAGGTTACTATTATTTGACCATAGATGCCTTAGAAATATTGCTCGCATTTGCTGGGATCACCGGATAAGTAATAGTGAGGTTAGACAAAGGGTATTACGGAGTGATGGTAAATCAGTTGATGAGGTCATGAATCTTCATCGACTGAGACGGTTGGGCCACGTGTTACGTATGCCTGAACACCGATTACCACAACGCGCTATGCTGACTAGTACTGGGGATTGTTGGAAGAGAGTTAGGGGTGGCCAAACCAAAACATGGCATCAGAGCATGAAGTCACTAACTTCTAGTCTGAGCCATGTTGGCAGATGCAGACTACTTGGTTGGGGTCCGCATGACTATCGTAACCAATGGTTGGAGACTCTGGGTGACATGGCTCAGAATCGATCACAATGGCGCAGATGTATACACTACTTATCTTCCCTCAAACCTTGAGATTAAAATTGCTTCATAACCTTCTTCCTTCCTATACTATATTCTTATATACAATCTATCTTTTATATATTGTCACCACTAAATTAATTACTTCTATGAATCCGGTGTTCATCTTGTTGTGCTAACGAGGTATGGCAACTTGGACCGATGCATATATGTGCCTGGTCCTACGTTGTAACTGACTGATGGAATCCTGATACTTACTACAAAAACTATTGAATGAACAGTTAACAAGACGCTGTTTTATCACGACTAAGTGAGAATTTACTGTAATCAATACATGGGAATTTCAGCAATGAAAACCTGTCTTCAAAAAATGCAACTTACATGCCTTTTTGCGCAAAACCCGCTCTTCGTGTTCATCTAAATCCAATTTAGGGAATCCATTTAATAATTTATAAAACGATTGATTGGACAGAACTTCATTTTCTTCAGTAGAACTGATAGGGCAGGGTATAGTTGAATGCTTATTGGAATAAATATGCAATGGATCCACTAAAGGTTTGGCATGTAATTTAACTACACTTTTGCAATCGCAGTGACAATTGTCAGAGGGACGCTTTAACTGAGATCACATTTTAGGAAGGAATGAAATAAACTCTGGTAATAGATTTAAATAAATTTATGGTGAATAAAGCTTTAAACAAATATTAATGTTGCACAGATTATCTCATATTATCAGCTAGAATGATATACTTATCTTTGTCCCCCAAGTTTTTAAACAATTAGTGTAAACCTTTTGACTTTCAACTACGAGATTAAATGTGAGCAGGTATTAATTTGGATCTCTTGAATACAACTTTCTCGGAACTTAGAACTCATTACCATATATTGCTTTTATTTAAATGTAAGCATAAAAAGTGATGGACAACTAAGCTGGTGCATTTTTACTTTTTCTATTTAGTTTGACTGAAGGCATCAGTATCTAAACTACAGTGTCGATTAGATTGACAAATGAGTGTTCCGATCTTGAGTCAGTTGTATATGTAAGAGAAAGCTTGTTTATTTTATTGTCATGTTTGTGATCAATTTTTAAGTCTCAAAGTCATCAGAAGTCTATGCTTATCCATATCATAACAGAAAGCTTATTAAAAATTTAATAGTCCAGATTGTTAAAGACTGGTTATATTTTAAAAATCGATTTCTACTTACACTCAGTGGCAGGTTGTGGAGTGTATATAGTTGCCAGAGCGCATTATATGTGTCGAAGATAAAGCGGAAATTTAGTATCAGTTATGTGTATTGAAAACCACTTATGTCACTTGCCTGACAAAAAGTTGGTAAATCTTAATAGGTTTCAGGTTAAGTGATACAGCATCGATTCATGAAATTATAAACTGAAAGTGACACCAATTGATCATCATTGAAATGTATATTTTCTCAGATTACAACACTCACATTCCACATAGTGGTTATACGGTTGAAATTATTTTAAATAGTATATAAATGGACTGAAAGTACTAACCATGATTATATGAAGAAATTAATCTTTAAATAATCACCTTTAGATCGATAAAAACCTAACACCGCAAAAATTATTCCGAATTTTTTTGAATGACTTGTGGAAACAAGTCTAATTTAAAGGTGTATTCAGCCACAAACTGACGTATACCAAACAGCAGCTGAAAACTAGAGAGGACCAAATAAGTTCTCATGCTCTGTTTGGACCTTTTTAGCCGTACCCATAACCTCACCAGGGATAGCACGTAACATTCAAGCCAGTGATTCACCTTTTGAACTTCGATTAATTCATGATTTAACATAACAGTCATTTGATACTATCGGTAAACAACCGCCTCACTTCAGACCTAGATGAGTCCCACCAACCATTTCTTTTGTAACAAGTTACCAGTAAATACAATTGCTAATTAATCTGGTGAATTGTAGAGATTATTTTGATTTGAGGACGAGTTCTGTTCTTAGCGAAGTTAAGGGTGCTAGGTTCAAAGAGAATTGTTTGCTATATGCATGCAAGTCCGCCCCGTTATTGTTCCTATTTGCCCCCAAATGCCCTGGTACGGCCGAGAGTGGGGACAGTCTACTCTCCCTCCCGAAATGCTCTCATATGGCCAGCGAATATATAGCCTCTGCCAGGGAAGTCCTACTCACTGCCTTCTCGTGCCACGGGTGTTGTTTACGAAAGTGAGAGGACGAAAAGCGAATGTCCGGCGCTATAACCGGATTGGTGGACACAGAGGATCCACCTAGGGGAGTTGGAAAACCCTGATTCCAAACTAATGGTGCACATGGGCTCCAGTATCCTGATGGAACGAATGGCGGACGAACCTGTCATTGGTCAACGGTTACCATGGGACTGCATCTCCTCACGATGCTCCACTGCCTTGTGGATCAGACCTTTAGGTCAAAGGCTCGGGGTGTGGTCCCCTAAGAAAACCACCTGCTTCGGTTTGGGCACCCGGGCAGTATCACAGCCCACACACAAATGAATGAAATTATGAACTCTATTGACGATAATATCCCTGGTCATACTAAAAGCAAGACAATTAACATTATTATTTACATTAACATTAACATTATTATTTACCATATCGCTAACTCACCCCCTTTTATCCCCAATTTGTGTAACCTTACTTTTCAACTTATGCAGCAGCTCGCCCATGGTGGAAAATTTGTCCTATCTAAACGATCTCCAGTCACTGTCTGGTTGAAAGTGAATGCTTCCACCGATAATGAATACTGAAGCAGTTTTTCTGAAACCACGTACGCCGTTCAAGCTGGCTTCCTTTTGAGGTCAGTGTATGACATGGTGTCGTGGCATGAAAGAGAGCTGCAAAGGGCTAGCTTCTGTTGGTCCTTCACGACTCCCTGGTTGGGGTCCGAGAGATAGTGCAACACAGTGGCTAGAGACGTTATCAGATATGGCTCAGAATAGAAGCCAGTGGCGATCCTGCTGCAACCTTCTTTTACTTTCTACATAAAGAATGGTTCTAACTTTCCTAACTGAAAGAGTCTTCTGGTTGTACATTTTAGCCCGCCTTATCTTTTCATCCGTTCTCTTCCTACTTTCATTATTTTGTGTGGCGTATATGTACCTGGTGCCCTTTTGTACCAATATATATGTGTTTAAATAAATAAACAAATAATAAAGGGTGCACACTGATAATAGGTGACTGACTAGGGAAAAACAACTTTTCAGTGTGCTTTAGTTCCCAAGTTCACTTTATTTCATAACTGAAACTATTTCAAACTGTTTATTAGTTTTTAATAAACTAGTGGTCAGTAGTTAGTGATCTAAAACAATAAATAAAGACTGTATATTCAGCGGCTAAATTTTTATGTGGTGTTCTAGTGAGCTCTTTCGATTTTGAGACCAACATAATATGCATGATAGTAGCTAGAATATGAAAAACCTGGTTGACTTAATATTTTATTCCTACATATATTTATTGCGAAATCGTACAACATATTGACTGAAATCCAAAAACATCTAGCGAATCTACCTGTTCAGTACGAAATGAGTTTGACCGAGTTAGTATAAACACACCATCACTTTTTGAATTATTTCCGTCAATCGGGATACTAGGTAAGAATGTTTTGAGTTTTTCTTGAAGATAAGCCAACCTAGTAACACTACTTTCTGTAGTTCTATCCATATTTTGTAATTTAGACTCCATATTATCGTGTGGTTGTGTTTCAAAGTTATTTTGTGATTCATGAAGTAGAATCGGCAAGGAATTTTGTTGAGAGTATGAGTTACGATTGTTTTCAAGTTTATATGACACGTTTCCACACAATTCATCTGGGTTTCTGAATAAATCAAGATGAAAATAATGACTAATAAATGGTCAGGTTAGTATATGTCACCAAATAACAAACACCGGTTAATGAAAGATTATATTATTTAAAAAAAGCTTCATACACTGCCTGCACTATAGTAACTAAATCCCTCTTGCATTCGCAAGCACAGACAAAAGAAAAGGTTTAGGAGTACAGTTACCAACCCAACGTCGTAAAAAATAACCACGACAAAAATCTCCAATCAGAAAAATAATCAAATCCTATCCTGTGAGTTGAATAGTCTTCATATGTAAGAATTGTCATCTATTTGGTGTACCAAATAGAGATCTTCATCGACTGGTTTCTGACGATATACCCAATACTTCCCTTTTAAAGAGCCTATAGATAAATCATAACTTCAGCAAGATATAAAACTGATCCACTGTAAAGTATTCTAACTTAGACCATCAACTTGGATTAACCACAAGAAATAACAGAAAAATATGGTGCGTCGATGTCACTACATTATGACAAAGACTCAACTAGTTGGTTTTAAAACATAGTAGCTGCTATTTCGTAGGCTATCACAACAAGCGACCAAGCGCGAAGATAGATCACGGGAGATTATTTCTACATTAATGCACATTCAATACTAATTAATCAGTTTTTCACACACCATTATTCCCTTAAGGTTGAAATATAAAAGTAGCAAGATTGGATTTATACAGAAAGTTCATAGTCAGTCAGTTACAACGTAGAACTTCGTACGTACATACATCAGTTTGAGCTGCCATACCACATTAGCACAGAGATGAAGTTGTCGATTCAAATCCCATAGTGGTAGAAGTAGTAAGAGTATAAGCATTATGTGAAAAATAAGGGTTTGAAGATGTTATTGAAGGAGTATAATACAGTGAAATAAATTTGGAAAGAGAAAAAGGATAGGGACATGAAGAATTCAGAAGATTAGAATTTGGTAGAACACAAAGAGTGAATGCGCCTTCGAAATTGCAAACGATTTTGAGCCATGTCATTCAAGGTCTCTAACCATCGGTTACTATCATCTCGCGAATCCCAACCAGGTAGTCTACACCTACCAACATGGCCCAGTCCACTTGTCAGTGACTTCATGGATTTATGCCATGTTTTGATCTGGCCGCTCCTAGCTTTCTTCCAACCTGCTCCTACACCATGAAACATTGCACGTTGGGGCAGTCGGTGGTTGGGCATACGTAACACATGTCCCAGCCATCTCAACTGATGAAGTTTCACTACTTCATCAATCGATTTGCCATCCCTACCTAGTACCCGTTTCCTAACGACTGCATTACTTACCCGGTGGTCCCAGGATAGACGAGAAATGCTTCGAAGACACCTATGATCGAACACTAGTAGCCTACGAATATCCTCTACTCTTATCGGCCATGTTTCACTGCCATAAAGTAGGACGGAGCGAACTGCTGCACAGTAAACCCGTCCTTTGGTTGCTAGACAGATATGTCGCCTACACCATAAATGGCGCAAGTTGGCAAAAGCTAGACGAGCCTTCTGTATCCGTGCTGAGGTTTCGTCACACACCAGACCACAAGGGCTGATGAGACTCCCAAGATAAGTGAAGCTGTCAACACGCTCAACTACTTCACTCCCTATCATTAGTTCAGGCGTCGATGCAACCCAATCCTGAAGTAACATTTTGCACTTCGAGGGAGAGAATCGCATCCCGAACATGCCTGCATTGTTGCTTATAGTGGTCAGAAGACTCTGCATGTTGTCAGCGTCTTCACCGAGTAAAACTATGTCGTCCGCGTATTCTAAGTCAACAAGTGAGCCTCCTGGTAAAAGTTCAACTCCTGGAGGTTTAGCTGATGAAAGTGCTATCTCTAAAAGTATGTCAATGACAAAGTTAAACAAGAATGGGGAGAGTGGACAGCCCTGACGAACACCACTTGAGGTAACCAATTCTGATGACAGTTCGCCATAGGCTCTAACTCGACCAGTTGTGTTCGAGTAGAGAGCCTTTATGAGGTTAATGTACTTCTTTGGTACTTTTTTCAGTAACAAACACTGCCATAGAACCTCACGATCAACGGAGTCAAATGCCGCCTTAAGGTCAAGAAATACTACTATTGTGGGGCGTCTGAATGTATGTCTATGTTCTAGGACCTGACGTAGAGTGAATATCTGGTCTATAAAACCACGTCCAGGTCGGAAACCAGCCTGGTTTTCTCTAGTCTGCTCTTCACGAGCTTTGGTTAGGCGACCTAGTACTATTGAAGCTAATATTTTAGACACTATATTAGTCAAACTGATCCCTCTGTGATTGTCACAGGAGGACTTTTGTCCTTTCTTATAGACTGGCACAATCAGTGATTGGGACCAGTCAGATGGAATTACGTTCAGATCCCAAATACTACCTAAGACCACAATCAATCTCGTTGCTAGTACTGGACCACCATCCTTAAAAATCTCAGAGGTAAACCTTTCAGGGCCTGCGGCTCTCCCTCGCTTTAGATTTCCTATAGCTTTTTCAACCTCGTAGAGAGTTGGAGGACTTACCTCAATTTTCCATTCAGGACGACTGGGGATCGTCCTGAAAGTTCATAGTAGAGGGATTTGGGTCAATAAGTGAAAATAAGAATCCTGACAACCTAGGATGGCTTGTTTTGTGTTATCCATTACAAATTACAATTAACTTTACTCAATATATGACACCAAATGAAACATAGTCAGCTTGAAACATCTGCGGGCGGATAAAGCTTGGCATAACACCATTACAACTGAGATTAAACGTGTTGAGTAATTTATGGATAATATTGATTAGAGTGATATATGTGCGCTTAATCTTTTCATATATTTATAATTTCATTTCCCTTAGTCTTTTTCATTTATTTTGACATACTTCTATTTCATAACCATTCCTAGTGTATTGGAACAGGTGACAAATAAAACCTATAAACGTTTGTCATTATACTAGTGTATTTAAAGTTTTTGGAGATAAATATCTAAGTACTCATGATCGTTTAAAACCAACACTGACAAATTTTCACCTTATAAGATGGTTAAATGAGGTCGATAATTGGGAATGGATTCAAGAAACCCGTAAATATAAGTGACTAAAAAAGGATAACATTTGAAAGTAATTCAACCAAGTTATTGATTCCGACAAAACAGCACATTAAGACCACCTATATAGCTTTCTGAATTTCTGAAACACTATCAGTTCCAACTTTTTGTACTGATCGTCTTTTTTAGAAGTCAAATTACTCATTTTCAAGTGACAAATCTAACTTATAAGTAAACAGACGTTCATATGCTGGCAAACGGGGTGAAATACGTGGCCTAGAAAGTCCTTTAAAGTTAACATCATGAAGTAGGTAGGAACTAAGTAAACCTATAAAAATATCTAAAATTCGAACGTTTTGTTATTTTGAAGATACTTCATAAGTATTTTTTATTGTGAAGTAAAATGAAGTATTCTGCCATAGAATTTACTACTCTCGGAAGCAGTGTTGAGTATATGAGATAGTACTGGATGTTTATTACCAAGAAACACGAGTTATCTCTAAATGAACTGTACACATACGTAGAATTAATTAAATCTAAAAATTATATGTGGTAATAAAAATTGGGAAAACAATATATTTCTGAAAACCCGTCAACTTGTGGACGCATTCCTTAGGTAAAAAAAAAAGTGTCATCGCCCCAAGCTTCTTTATCCCTATTTGATTTATACAATTACAAAATGAAACATTAAGCAACGTGCTGTATCATCATAAGATAAACAAATCTAAAAAGCGATGGAAATATGTCACAGCCTTGGGTGCAGTAAACATTTTGTTAAATTGAGAGTATGAATCATGTTGACACTAAATTAACAGGCATATCTGCATACGCCAGTTTGTCCAAAGTAATGTGAAGCATGGAATATATATGCGTAAGTCCAAGCTACCACACCAGTACCTTACGGGTAATGTCTTACCAGAACAGTAAGACGTAAGTGACTGTATAGGATCACTTTAAAATGGAAAGATATTATACAGCTGGGTTTAAAACGTTTATTATCACGATCTCCTGACACACTATACAAAAACTGAGATAGAAACAATTTTTAGATAAAATCCACTTGTATTATACTGAATTATTTCCTAATTGTAGATATTGAATTGGACGTTCGAACTTCAAATCCGTCGTGTAAAGTTATTAAAGTACCTAAATTTCCACTTCGTGTAGGAAAAGGTGCTATCCCAAATAAGGAAGTGTATTGGCATGTTCTCTGACTATTCTACCGAGTGAGTAGCAAACAAAACTCCTTTTCATGATTATTCATGTCATAGATACCAGTAAGCATATTTTGAGGACAGACCAGATTTTGAATGTTTGGCTGTTACATCTGATAACCTTCGCATCTCCCTATTTCAAGGAAATTTTAAAGACTTTCCTCAGACCTGAGAAACATTTGGAGGAATGGCAAAAAAAATCTCCCAAAGTTTCCCCCTAATATGGATATTGTGCTATGCATTTTTACAATGGAAAAATGACCTTGAATTTGGAGAAATTTATGCGTTTTTATCATGAATTAGACCTACAGTCGTTTATTATGGATATGTTCTGCTGTCCTAAAGTTTTCCTGAATAATAGTATTTTGTGCCAATAAATTAATTATTTCAAGAAGACTATATAAAATATTGGGATCGAATTTGCATAAATGTCTGGTGGATATATAACCAAGCGAACTGCCTATCAATCTAGATAGTGATTGCAGCAGGAAATTCCATCGATGTTTATGATCTGAAGTAGCTATAAGTCAATATATAAATAGTGAATCACCCTTGCCATCGTGTTTGAAGTCACTAATCTTCTCCAGTATAGATTCGAAAAACTCTATGTTGACGTCAGATATAATGTTTGGTGCACTTAGTCCAACAGTTGATGCCACTTGAGTGGCAAAAGATAGTACATCACCAACAGCCCTCCCCCTCCTCATCGACATGCGAAAACAAACTTGAAATGCCTCAATATGAGATCAATAACTACTGGTTGATCCAAACAAATACACAATGAATACGTAATAATGGTATCTGATGTTGAGTCAAAGACAGAAATTAGGTGAATAATCTTGCTTCTACCTTTTCTTCTCAGGAAATGTCATCAGATTTGTGCAGCGATTACTACTCCAACTAACGATTTGTTTTAAGCATATATGAATCATATTTTTGCATTGAAGATAGAAGGCCTACTGTGTGTGTCATTCGACTTTTTAGTAACCCCAAAAAATGTCTTTTATTGACTTGAGTGAATTGATCGATGGTGCGAAGATCTCTTTTTCGAAGTTATATTTGAAATGTTAATAATAACTCGTGAAGTATTTGATCTTAGCTGGCTAACGTATGTAGGAGATGCTTAGCACGGCGTACCTACCAGTGATCGGGTGCGAGCGAGTGACAGGTTGCCTTTGGTTAAATGTGTTCAGCAAAACCAATGCAGTTAGCATCAAACGTCTAAGACTTATAGAGTTATTCACATTGGAGACTTAATTTCCGCTACACTTCAGTTCCCTCCTACTGAGGTAGTGATGACTCCAAAGACGTGGCCTGCCAGAAGTTTAAACTCTACGGGCTTGTTGTTAGTAAACACTCTACCGACAGCTTGCCATTTTCAGAGACATCTAGTCGTCGTACGCTAGTAGAAGGGGCCATGTGGTACACAATAGCAATGAAAAAATTACGATGAAAATTTCTATTCATCGACAAAGTCGTCGGTTTGTTTATCATTCCCGGTCGTCCTGGAAAAGAAAAAAAGAGATCGCAAGTGCATGTTGAATTACACTTGAGCGTGAGTAAAGACACAAAACGGGTGAAAAAGAAAGTAAACTTACATACACATGTTACGTAAACATACGATAGTATAAAAATGATTTTTAAAGAAATAAAAATATACACATATAAGCGAACATATTAGCAACGTAAACATTTTGTTTCTCTGGAATAAATGTGTGCATAAGTATACTAAGACTAGTTTGTTTTTCGTTATGATACAAAGAAAAATCGCGACGAAACAATATTTTATGTGGTGTCTTACTTGCAGCAACAGTTTAGGCATTCTAGAAACTTTGCTCTTCCCCCATAACGCGTCGTTTTAAGTCTGTTGTCAGATACCACTAAAGTGTCATCGTGATTGCTGTTTATGCGGTGAGGTATCTTAGATGTAGGACTCGTGTCTTTCGATATCACCAAAACAAAATCTATGTGAATAGGGTTTCCTTCTAAATACGCGGCTTCGATGGGATCGATGCTGATGCTATCGTTAGTGCCGTTCTTATCGATTATATAGTACTTAACTTAGTGCTGAGGAACTTTGAAGTGTCCTTCGTATGTTGATTCGCAGGTCGTTGAGGCGAGTCACGAAGTACAAATTCGTGTGTACTATATCGTACTATATCGGGCAGGTTGGACGAAAACATCAGTTGACTGCGGTCGAGTGGAAACAGGTTCAACTAGACGCATTGTATTTGTAAGCCCGTTCGTGTAGGAGTTTAGATCCATATTCATTGGAAAAGATGAAGGATCCACAAATTCTCCTGGAAGGCGGAGTTTCGTTCTGTAAACGAGTTGAGCTGCAGTGTATCCAATGTCAGCTTTCACTTCATTGTGAGTACCGAGTAATCTAGTGGAAGAGTGTCTGTACACTGATGGTGAAGCTTTAAGCTGTCAGTGAATGCCTTCTACCAACCCGTTTGCTTGTGGGTGGTAGGCGGTCGTTCGGGAGTCTTGTGACTCCTAACAGTGCAGTTAGACAACGGAGAATTTCATATTTGAACCGGCGTTCAGAGTCTGTAGTGATAGTTGAAGACCAGCCAAAGTTATCTACCCACTGTTCGATGAAGTCTTGGGTCACTGTTTCACCAGTGTTCTCCTTGATGGGTACTGCTTCTGGCCATCGGGTTAAATGGTCTACGCAAGATAAGAGATGAAAGTATCCATTCGAATCTGCTAAGACTATTATCAAATCAAGATGAACATGGTCGAAGCGAGCATCAGGAGTTATTATTATTATTATTATTATTATTCACGAACACCTTGTGGGTACATAAGTGTTGTGAAGAAACCATTTCCGGCTTCTTTAAAAATGCAATGATAAACAAGTTTCAATAATGTCAGTATTATATTTGCCATATTTGAAAAAGAGAAAAGACAGAAAAACATAAAAATAATAATAATAGAATAATAATAAACCAGGTTATGAACGAACCCAGCTGAGTAATTTTCAACAGTGAAAATTTGCAGAGAAGGTGAGAGGTTTGTAATCAGTAAAAAGAGTGGATTTTCGACCTTCAACAGAGCGTTGAACGTTCCGTACAGCACAACAAATGGCTAGGAGTTCCCGTCCGAGAGTGCTATATCTCGATTTGGTGTCTAGCAACTGCCTCAAAAATAATGTCAAAAGTTGCTGGGTGTGAAAAAACCCATTGTTGTTAGACTCCTCTGATTGCCGAGTAGGATGCATATATTGCAGTATTAATGGGTGCCTCAGTGCCTAAGCGTACGAGAGATTTTGCTCTGGTGATACATTCCGTAACTGTGAAGAAAGCTTCTTTCGAATTATTGTCCAAATTTTTGCATTTCCAAAGATTTTGCATTTCCAGGAAGTTGAGCGATTAGAGGCTTCGTAAATGACGCGGAGTTTGAAATGAACCGTCTATAAAAACTTACTAGTCTGTTAAATGTGCGTAATTGGTTGATTGTGGTCGGTTCTGGGTAATCAAGAATGGCCACCACTTTGCCTCTTAGAGGTCGGATGCCTTAGGCATCAATAGTGTGTCCGAGGAAATCTAGGGGGTCAGATCTGATGTCTGAATGTTTACAGTAATGCCACGCTTTTGCAGTCATTCGAAGACAACAATCAGATAGTGGAGACATAATTCTCTGCCCAGGATTGTAATCGAACAGTCATCAACGTACGCGTGTACGAAATTGAGACCTCGAAAAACGTCATGGATAGATTTTCAGAATGCTTGTGCGTCATTTCCTAAACCGAGAGGCATTCCCAAAAACTGATAGTGACCGAAAGAAGTGATGGTAGCGGTTTTGAAAATGTCGTTAGCAGCCATAAGAATTTGGTTATATGCTCTAACCAAGTTGATTTACGAAAAGATAGTTCTACATTTTCAGGTAGCTGACAAATGATGAATGTGAGACAACGGATAACGATCAGGGAATGTTTCCGTATTCAGTCACTGATAGTCATCAGTTGGACGCCAGTCGTTTGTATCCTTTTTGGGGATTATGTACAAGAGAGATGCCCATAAGCTGTTTGATGGTCGAACGGTTTCTAAGTTCATCATGTAATCGAATTCTTTTTTGGCCAACCTAAGCTTTTCAGGAGCCAGTCGGCGTGCTTTCGATAATACAAATAGTCTTGTAGTCGTGATGTGATGTGTAACATTGTCAGCTTCATATGGCCATTTCGGTTGCTTTCAGCATATCTCAGGGTACTTATCGAGTATTTGTTGGTTGTATGGATAAATTGTGTGTCTAAATGTGACTGAGGATAATCTACAACCGGAAAAAGCCGTCACACAACCTCTACTTGCGCGTGTGGACTAGTAAATTATGTTTTAGCAGGTCTATTATAATGACTTGCATAAGACAATCTGCAACAACGAAGAACCAGTGGGTAGATTTGCATAAACCCACGTTAAGATAAACGTATCTTTAACCATATGCGGAAATTAGTTTTCCGTTTTCTGCCAGTACGTTTCAAACCAGTTCGTGCAGCCGATCGTAAAAACTCTTTGGAAGGACGCTATTAACTCGACTAGTGTTGACAAGGTAGCGAACGTTCATAATCACATCATTGACGTATAACAAACTGTTATATTCGCCGTTTAAGGCTACCGTTAACGCTTGCCGGCTGGGAAGTTTCCCAAAAAGTTTTTCATGTCGGTCGGTTTTGATTTCGGAAAATTGCACGTTTTTCTGCAATTTCAAGATTTCCCCTACCGATTATGATATCAACACCAATCGGGGTTATCTGTTTCTCGTGATCTAGAGACGGATCGTTTTTGTGAAGAAATCCTTCGAGTGGTTTGTGATGGTTTACGGTCAAGACGAGTACGAATGTAGCGCATCAGACTATGATGGAGTTCCTTTAAGTCATTTCGTGCCGTTTGAGGCTTTTCTTCGACTGAAAAAACCTCAGCATTAGAAGTTTTGGTAATCTCAAGAATCCGCTCGGCAGATGCAGCCTTCTTGTCTACAGCGATGTTTTGAAACGAGACAAGCTTTACCTGCACCTACTGAGGAAGTTTAAACAAGTAACCTGTTTAAAGAGGTCATCGTTAAAAGTTCCTTGACCAATTACCTATCTCATCCATGACAACGTGTCTGTAACTGTGCCATGTTGTAGTTCGATATTATTAAGTAGTGGATCTGACCATTGTCGATTGGTTAAACCTACTAGCTTAAGAATAGACCATTTAAGAATTTCGTAAGTTTCCGAGACATCATTAGTAAATGCAATATGTGTGGCGTACGTTGTAGAATTCGTGCAGTAGTGTCTTTACTACTGAGAGGAATTAGACGCATGGATCAGTTACACCGTGTTCGTGGAAGTCAGCTTCTGAATGGCAGAAACAGGCTCCGATGTTTTCGGGCCAGAATGGCACTAGCTAGAGCGACGGTGGTGTAAGAGTCTTGGTCCTAAGTAACCTAGTAATCTGCTGAGTCATGACGAATATCAAGTATAGGAATGAATGAAGGGAAGAAAAATATCCAGGACACGGGAAAAATCACGATACGTAAAAATTAAGGCAAAGAAATTATACAAATGGTTCCGAATAAGAAGACTCACAGTTCACGAGTTGATGTACCAGATCACGTCGTGCTCAATAATGAAGATGACAACACTTTAACTTCTATAGTCGAAACGTACGAACCTACTGAAATCAAAAGCGAAAAGTTTCGAAGATTTATTTGATAATCTTTTGATATTACGAGAAGTGACTGGTCTAATATGTCCAGCGGTTGTTAGAGGAGTTGAGCACAACATTCCCACTCGTAATCTGGTAAGGATGCGTGACCGAGCACCTTCAGCTAGGTGAGTTCATTAATACCGGTGTGGCCAACATCCAGTGTCGTAGACTTACAGAGCTATTGATTCTGTGGATTTATTGACTGCTACCAATTGTTACTTTCTTTATTATGGTGTAATGTGGTCTGATTTGTTCATGTACAAACACATTATGTCTGAAATAAAATTCGTATAACCGAAGCAGATATTTGTGTCCTGGACTCAACAAGCCGGGATAGGCAGCAAAAGGACCAGTGACATCTGTGAACTGCTCGTACACGTTTATACGTCATTCGTCCGGTCTATAAGTCACTGTTCTCTAATTGGTGATTGTGAGGATGGTCCACAGGTGAAGTCGAGGAGGCTCTAGGAAGCCCAGAAAGAGCCCAACATGCTTCATCCAATCAGCTTTTGGAAGAATATTCCAGAATTGCCACGTGTAGCTCCCCTATTGGACAATGCTGATAACTCCCTGTCTGCGGATTGGATAACTATAATGATGATTTTGTTTCTACTAAAAACTATAAATACCTGATAATTTTGTACCATATTCGACACTGTCTGGAATAACATTCCTTCTACTTGTCTTCTGATTTGTGACTTGGGTGGGTTCCAGCGTTCGACTGCTCAAGTATTGTGCGATAGACTAAGAATTCTAAGTTCCAGATACAACAACTGGCGACGGGGTGAGCCTATCAAGATGTCATTTACCTTTGAACAATTTGAAGCCATGCTGGAGCATCAAGAGAAACGATTTGAGCAGTTCCAGGTTCGTATCATAGAGACTTTAACGCAGAAATTGAACCTAAGTCAAATTGGTGCAACAGATGATGCCTCCAAATCTAATGTCGACCATATTATTAATTCTATCCATGAGTTTAATTTCGATGGTTTGGCTGGTATTACTTTCGAAACCTGGTTCAAGAAATACGAAGATTTATTCAAGGTCGACCTCATAAAACTTGATGACGCCGCCAAAGTCAGAATACTCTTAATTGTTAAAAAGCCCAATGGAAGTATTCGATTATGTGCAGACTATTCCACTGGATTAAATGACGCACTTGAAGCTCATCAGAACCCCTTAACATTACCAGAAGACTTATTTGCGAAACTTAACGGGGTAAGTATTTTGCAAAACTAGACCTATCAGAAGCAAACGGAAGAAAACCTGATCCTGAAAACGTCGAGGCTATCAATTCCATGCCTCCACCAACTGATGTGTCAACTTTACGCTCTTTCTTGGGAATGGTTAGTCATTATGGAGTTTTTCTTCCAGAACTGCATCGCCTTCGTGCTCCTCTTAATGGGTTGTCGAAAAAAGATACCAAATGGTTCTGGTCATCTGAGTGCCAAGAAGCTATCGTAAAACTAAAACATCTGTCATCAAACCTTCTACTCACACACTATGATCCAGATCTTCCCATTATAGTCGCAGCAGATGCGTCCAACTACGGAATCGGCGCAGTGATCTCACATATCTACCCAGATAGGTCTGAGAAGGCAATCGCTCACGCTGCACAGTCGCTGACTATGATAGAAACTATAGTCAGATAGAAAAAGAGGCCCTCTCTATTATAATCGCTGTAAAGAAGTTTCACAAGATGCTATTTGGCAGACAATTTACATTACTAACAGACCATAAACCGCTGCTGACAATGTTTGGATAGAAAAAAGGTATAGCTGTATATACAGCAAACCGTCTACAGAGATGGGCAACTACACTGCTGAGCTATGATTTCAAAATAAAGTACCAACCAACAACGGATTTCGGACAGGCAGAGGCCCTTTCAAGACTAATTAGTTCCCGTACAAAACAAGAAGAGGAGGTGCTTGTGGCTGCCGTAGATGTTGAGGCCGAGGTTCACACAGTATTAGCAGACGCAGTTTCCGGATCCCCAGTCACATTTGAAGCTATTAAAGGAGCTAGTGAGAAAGATAACATGTTGAAGTTTGTTCGCCGCTGCTTACTCAACAAGTGGCCTTCGTCTAGACTACAAGGAGAACTCTTGCAATTTTTCCGTCGACGAGATTCATTGACATTTGTAGATTCCTGCATCATGTTTAGCCACCGTATCGTTATCCCCAGAAATCTTCGAAACCAAGTCCTTAAGCAGTTCCACAGCGGACACCCTGAGATAAGTAAAATGAAGTCGTTAGCTCGAAGCTACGCATACTGACCATCAATGGACCATGATATAGAGCAAAAGTGTCGCAGTTGTTCGTCCTGTTTAGAGGCCGCAAAGAACCCAAATAAAGCTGAACCGCAACGATGGCCAAAACCAGACGGTCCCTGGCAAAGAATACACGCTGATTTTGCTGGCCCAATACGAGGCAGAAATTACTTGATCGTTGTCGACGCCTTCACGAAATGGCCAGAAGTATACGCCATGCCGAAAATGACGTCAGAGAGTACTATAAGAAAATTGACGGGTTTGTTTTGGGGTTCCCGAGATCTTAGTGACTGACAACGGCACACAGTTCATGTCATCTGTCTTTAAATTTTGGTTTGAAAGATAATCCTTTCCTGAAACTCTTTTGTTCATTGTTTAACAAGTTGTCAGTTTCTACTATGTCATTATGGTTTTCTCGATTATCATTCACATTATTGTAACCACAGAACCGATGAGAACGACAGATCTGAGGTTTGATACGAGACATCCTGACTATATATTAAGAATTAGAGTGACAATTGCGTCATTCTAGTTCTGTTCTCTGAACTTGATGGTTTGACCGTGAACCCTTCATCATTATTCCTAACGATATCATCGTCAAACTTTATGCAGAAGTGTAGTTTTCGAACTCCTCTGTACTTTGCTTGCAGTCTGTCCTGTAGACTTAAACGTCGGTTGGTTATTTTCGACCTTCAAGCTCTTGTTGCTTACTTTGTTTTGACTGTCTCCCATTGATTTGATTTTCGGTTCTTTTTTTGTTCATAACTTTCTCCTACTGGTATACTTGCATATCTATATCATCTACTGATTTTATATTATCTATCGATTTCTCTCTCGCCATCAGGATTTTTCTGGAAGATATTTTTTTGATGTCATGTTGTTCACTGTTTCACAAGTTGTATCAAAACAGTCTATGGTAACTTTGCTGCGCTAACCTAGATAACCACTATAACATAAATCTCAACGGTGTGCATGAAGTCAGAAGGCAAAACGAAGCGGCAAATGCAGTTTATTACCGGTTACCGCAAATTATAGGTACATCATTTTGGAGCATAACTTTGATTCATCGCGCTTCGAGATTCCAAAAAGTGTAAACCCTCAAACATAGGTTTACTACCCATTTTTATCTACTTCTGCAGGTCGTCCTTTAACGCAGTCTCTCATGCCGACATGCGCACGGCTAACTCTTGTATTTTTTTCCAGCAGTATCTTCCTTATGGAAGACTTCGCATAACTTATATCGCGTAGTCTTTTGTTCCCATTCTGAATATTTTAATGACGTTATTCAGATTTAAAGATGAACTCATGATTATGCTTATTGTGTGCAAAAGATCTGAGGGCGAAGTCGTACTGCTGATTATAGAGAGGTGTTCCCCTAGGACAGTCAGTACGTGCAGCGACGCCGTCGAAACAGCTTCACGAAGCAAACCTTGACGTGGAATGTTGAGGGCAAGGAAGATCAAAGGACATAATGCACCAGGAATCAGGTGAGCTTCAAAAGAGTCACGGTTGAAAACATGGTTTGGGATGGCGGTTTATGCGGCACAAGGGCTGAAGTCTACATATGATAACATACTAGAAATCCAAGCATCAACTACAGATCTTACTGTAGATCCAACTTTCAGATCAACAGTCTAGATTCTGTAAGGACCGATATATATCGAGACACTACAAGTCACTGTAAAATACTTATCCGACTAAAACCCATCATAATACACAAGCTCTTTGATTGCGAGAATACATTAAACGTGGCGTGAGTCTTATAGAATATACTAAACAATCAAAATGTTTTAGGTCTATCGAAGTTTTCGAAATAATCTATACTTTGGCCTGCTCGTGCAGGTTTCATGCGTCACTGATCTGAACGACAAATCACTGCTCCCTAATTGGCAGTATCATTACGTCGTATATATTAATAAGGGCACGAGTTATAACAACTGTATAAACAACACAGAATTTAAAACCGTTTGAAAATTTAAAAGATATATGACTCACAATACTTGATTGATGAAACACTTAAGAACACTAAGTTTTTGAAACACAATCTTAGATGAACTCATATAATAAAAGAACTTAGAAAAGTTTAAAATGTACAATATTGTTATTACAAGTGGTATACGATAATGAAGATCACAAAGTAAATGGTATCGACATATACAATAGAATAAAGTACAACGCAACACTTAGTTGAATACAAAATTGGAAGAAATACAGTAGTGTAGGATGTGTAGATGTTTTCCCCTTAATTCTACTATTTATATTTAGTAGAGATAACTCCGAACCAGATTTCGGTTGGGAGAATAATAGTGCCCTAATCCCTGATTCCCTTAAATTTTCAATAATACCCAAAGGAAAGCCTTAATTGTTAATCTACTTGACTACTATAACCCTTAATCCCCTATCCCAACTAAACCTAATCATCCCCGAGTCTTAGCCCTATCTGAACATGCAAACTAGTACTCCCGGAAGTAAAAAAAATTAAGAGTTATAAGACAAAAAAAGAAGATGAATAGACTTGGAACCGTATGAAATTAAAAAGATAGTTTGGTAGAGAAAACCGTAGAAATACCTTAAAATAAAAGATAAAACATGTTGTGTTCAAAACGCTCTTTGACATACCAAAAACATGTCAAATATCTAAAAAAAAACTCAGAAAAACATGTGCAAGTGAAAAATAAGGAAAACGGAGAACTGACAGCGATATTTCCAACGGATGGCGTTATATACGGCAGTGATTGGACCAACGGTGAAACATACAGACTGGAGAATTATTAAAGCGACATACGATCTTCTAATTTCATCTAAAAAAGGGTGGATATTACGGTAATGAAATGGAGAATCATAACTAAAAATCGAGAAACAATAGATATACTGAAAGATGAGATAGTAAGTAACGTGTGGTAATTAAGTACTTGCACTGGTTCGTACCACCAGAAGGGCAATATACCTTTCCGGTACATTGAATAACAAACTCATCAATATAACGGGTTATTGGGAAATTGCATGGAACTTCTAGTTTAATTACACATCTATAAACTGGTGGTCGATACTTCATAATGCCACTGAGACAAATGATTTAAAGAACAAATTCACATAAGCTAACAAATGAACTGATATCAAAGGCAAAACAACTCAATGGAAAATGAGGTGGTAGAAGTAGTAAGAGTATAAGTATTATGTGAAAAATAAGGGTTTGAAGATGTTATTGAAGGAGTATAATACAGTGAAATAAATTTGGAAAGAGAAAAAGGATAGGGACATGAAGAATTCAGAAGATTAGAATTTGGTAGAACACAAAGAGTGAATGCGCCTTCGCCATTGCAAACGATTTTGAGCCATGTCATTCAAGGTCTCTAACCATCGGTTACTATCATCTCGCGAATCCCAACCAGGTAGTCTACACCTACCAACATGGCCCAGTCCACTTATCAGTGACTTCATGGATTTATGCCATGTTTTGATCTGGCCGCTCCTAGCTTTCTTCCAACCTGCTCCTACACCATGAAACATTGCACGTTGGGGCAGTCGGTGGTTGGGCATACGTAACACATGTCCCAGCCATCTCAACTGATGAAGTTTCACTACTTCATCAATCGATTTGCCATCCCTACCTAGTACCCGTTTCCTAACGACTGCATTACTTACCCGGTGGTCCCAGGATAGACGAGAAATGCTTCGAAGACACCTATGATCGAACACTAGTAGCCTACGAATATCCTCTACTCTTATCGGCCATGTTTCACTGCCATAAAGTAGGACGGAGCGAACTGCTGCACAGTAAACCCGTCCTTTGGTTGCTAGACAGATATGTCGCCTACACCATAAATGGCGCAAGTTGGCAAAAGCTAGACGAGCCTTCTGTATCCGTGCTGAGGTTTCGTCACACACCAGACCACAAGGGCTGATGAGACTCCCAAGATAAGTGAAGCTGTCAACACGCTCAACTACTTCACTCCCTATCATTAGTTCAGGCGTCGATGCAACCCAATCCTGAAGTAACATTTTGCACTTCGAGGGAGAGAATCGCATTCCGAACATGCCTGCATTGTTGCTTATAGTGGTCAGAAGACTCTGCATGTTGTCAGCGTCTTCACCGAGTAAAACTATGTCGTCCGCGTATTCTAAGTCAACAAGTGAGCCTCCTGGTAAAAGTTCAACTCCTGGAGGTTTAGCTGATGAAAGTGCTATCTCTAAAAGTATGTCAATGACAAAGTTAAACAAGAATGGGGAGAGTGGACAGCCCTGACGAACACCACTTGAGGTAACCAATTCTGATGACAGTTCGCCATAGGCTCTAACTCGACCAGTTGTGTTCGAGTAGAGAGCCTTTATGAGGTTAATGTACTTCTTTGGTACTCCTTTCAGTGACAAACATTGCCATAGAACCTCACGATCAACGGAGTCAAATGCCGCCTTAAGGTCAAGAAATACTACACGTTGTATCAATTATTGTATTAAATGTAACACACGTCTACCAATTTATGCTAAACGTGTATGAAACCAACCAGCTTCAGCCAGTCATCTGTAATTGATTGGATGAAAGTAACACGTTACATCTGCAAACATATCGGTTTCGTTACAGAGTGCTTATCCTCACTTTATCAAGTATTATGTGATCATGTACCATCGTTGATCGCATATTTTTTAAACGTCACAATTGAAAAATAATCAGCAAAGAACTTATGGATAAGACAATGGTTGTGTTACGAAAACACTCTTATTTATGCGGGGAACACAATGTTAACATCCATTCACGTCTTAAAACATTTCAGCTAACATTCCCGGCAATTTAACAGAGAAATAGACTGACTGTAGTCATATCACTTACACATAACAAGTGATGTTACCGATAAATTAACGTTCTATAATATAAGATTCAAATTAATTACATGGATGCATAGTTTTCTTTTTTACCCCGAACGGTTATGTAACTTGGATAACTGGTGTAGACACGGTTTCTCAAGTGAGGAATAAGGTGCAGGAATACAATAACCAGATACTATAAATTGGATTAAATTTTTCGTAGCATTTTAACAATTTAATGTAGTCTTTAGGATATGTGCTAACTAGAAGGTACCAGCGTTTTAAAAAGATTGTGTACTATTGCTATAAAAACTGTTTCCCAGTAACATAAGATGATACATGTCACAACCTAGTAACACTGAAGAATTTAGCATTGATGAAATAGGCATTTTACATTTTCGATAAGCGACTTTTCTTACCGCATTACATGAATCAGTTAACTTGGTTGATCAAAACACTGGATGCGAGATGTAAGATAGTTAACCATACTCGAGGAAAAAACGCGAAGGCCAATTGTAAAAACATTGAATCGACGTAAAAGTGGGTAGGCGCGAACAAAAATTAGGACCAAAACATGCATTACTCAAAAACCAAAAATCTCAAAGATTGTACTGAAGAGATAACCGTTCACGAAGCATTGGAGGACACTGACTCCAGAATTTACTCCAATCCTCTTCTCCAACCTGGACTTTGAACCCATGTAAAATCTGATAGTTGAATAAATATAACAAAACATAAGAATATTTTCCGGTCATTACACAATTATAAACAATTTAACAAAATTAAACGAATTTGGTCACATGATAATGAAAACAACCATATAAGGATTCATGAAATGATCACTTTTCATAATTTATTGTCCTAACTTTAGCCGCTACCTTATAGTGGCGGTCGGTCTTGCATATAGTGATGACCTAACCGAGTTATATTGACTAGGACACCTGTTCCATATGGTCCTAACATATCAGGCAGGTCCGTTAAAGAGGGATACAACTAAAAGCAGCAAACTTATGGTCCAATGGCGGAGTTGTACTATTGATAAAACAGAGGTATGATGAGAGGTATCCTCCACAGAAGATTAGCATTTGTAGTGATACTGTTTTTTCAAGACGGAAGGAAGCGGTTGGAGGTCGGTCTTAAATATATACACCTCACCTTGTTCCACAGACTTTCATAGCCGTTGGTAAGACTGTGGTGTATACTACTTATGTCGACAGACAAAAGTAGTATGTACCACAAACCGGAAGTGGAAAACCTGGCAGCAGAAGGCTAAGAAGATAGAGTTGAAGAAAATAGAAAGAGAAATAGAGAAGAATTTCGAAGCCGAAGAATCATGCAGAACGTGAAGAACAATCGATGGAAGATTTGCAAGTAAAGTATTTAATGTATGGTTCTCATATTTTAAGGACACATTCCCCACATGAGTCCTCGTTCATTACAAGACTTTCAAAGCACGGAGTTAATTTCTTGTAAACTACCCACAAAAACCTCAATTCTAACCCCATGTCGTTGACTGTAAGGCTTTGAAGCAACTCTTCCAGGTTATTAAGACTACTGCTACTAGTGGATCAATTTTTTTGTCAGGTTGCTCAGGATATCTTTTCAAAACCGACAGTTTGATCGTCAGTGGTATTTTTCACTCAATCCTACATTCAGCTCAATGTTAAGTGAACTGGAATGTGCAAATCTCTTTTTTTTAAATTCATTTGGCTAGGTTTACAACTATATTGACTGAAAGTCTGTAAGTTTTTGACAGACAGCTTATTTACGTATCAAGTGAGATGCAATATAAATTTTAAACATCTTCGAAGTTAATATTAGCTTTTTGATTAGTAACGCTGACCACCTATTTGGTAAACAGCGAATGATTGGTATAATATCAAACATACATAAATAAAAAGCGAGTAAACCTAGAAATTCTAGTTATTCATACAAACCATTCAGTAACAGATGAATTTACTGATGATGTATTATACATCAAGTTGCGGTAAGATAAACTTACAGCATTAAATCTTTCTTTTAAATCGTCTTTAGGATTATTCCAAGAAGCTACAGCGTCACAAAAGAAAAGGAAATCATGTAAAACACCGGCAGGATTGAGTGTAATCAAATTACAAATACCACGAAATGCACTGTCTTTTTCTTCATTGTCCCTTATATTGCGTAGAAACAGACACCTGAAGAGCAAACAGAAAATCGTCTGAGCATGTAACTAAAATAAGTGACATGGGACATGAAATATAAATACGCACATAACAGCAAAATTATTCTGACGGCTACTAGCTCTGGAAGTTCTGAATATTCGAAAAATTCCGAGAATAGTGACGCAAATTAGGAGTACCAGACAGTGAGGAACGTAACAGGTAGGTAAATCTAACTCATCAAACCAAAGACATTGAACCATTGCAATCACAACAAGGCTAGATCAATTTAGCACTCAGCTATTTTATCTTAGATAAGTAATCGAGTGGATCAATCTATTTATTATACAAGTTAATACTATACGTCCACTTGGAATATTTTCACAAGTGCATTATTTATATAAACAGACCTTAACATTTCATGAGCTTTAAGTTTCACCAAAATCTTGGTATTAAATCATTAATGCACATGTCATTCTTCTCCACAGTCGACAACAGCAAAATAATCAATAAAAAATCATTTTTATAGGGACCTTCAGGGCTTTACGTCATATCACGGAGCTAACAAATTCAGTGGATCTGCCTGTATATTTGTTGGATAGACCATGTGGATGTAGCCACATAACACAAAATTTATTAACTTAAATTTGAAGGATTCTCATGCTAAGATTCAGTGACCATAACATGCTGGTACTTACTACGATAATCAAAGTTCACAATACAATAACCCTCCACGATAAAACAAAGACATATTCGGAAGCAAAAGTACTAAAACAGCACAATCGGGTCATAGGAAAATGTTGATGTTCTAATATGCCTTGTATGATATACGATAACGAAAAAACATCAGAGAACCAAACGATAGAGTACACATCTTGATCGAAGTAGCCGACAGACTTCAGAATTCCAACTAAACGATCTACCCTCACAATCATCGTAACTTTTTGGGTGTGGTACCTAACTCCGCCTAAAGCTCTTCTATTGTTATTGCCGGTGGTGTCCAAGTTCGGATAAAAGAGGGGGTTAGGCAACAAACACCAAACAAGAGCAGAGGGGGCCAAGGCACAAGTCGAACATATATACAAAAGTAAACACAAGAGTGAAGAAGGGCTTCACAGCTGATAAGCGGAAAACCTAGCAACGACAGCAGAAAAAGCTGGAAGAAAAGGAGATATGAGACAACTATATGACACAAGGGAGAAGCGATCGGGGAGACCAGCCAAGAACAAAGAAGGAATAACGTTCACTGAGATTGAAGAACAGTGTAACAGGTGGGTGCAACACTTTGGAGAGCTCCTCAATAAACTAAACTCACTGAAGATTTGATGCAGATGTAAAGGCACGGATTGGCAAAATAAGGACAGCATTCCAACAATTGAAAAACATATAGAACTAAAAACAACTGCCAACCAACATCAAATTCGGAATCCTCAATACGAACATCAAGACGGTCCTACTGTACATAGCCGAAACCGAGAGAACTACCACATCCATCATCAAAAAAGTACAAAAATTTACAAACAATTGTCTACGCAAGATACTCCATATCCGTTGACCGGATGCGATCAACAATAGACCACTGTGGGAGAGAACAAACCAGCTTTCAGCTGAAGAGAAAACTAGAAAAAACACAGGAGGTTGGTCAGATATGAAATTGCAGAAATCGTCAGACTGCATCACGAGGCAAAACTTGATGTGGAATCCTGAGGGTAAGGAAGATCAAAGGACATATTGCGCCAGGAATTAGGGGGTGGACATCAAAAGAATGAGTGGCAGCTGGAAACAAATGGTAAGGAGCTCAGAACAATGTTGGTCGGAGAGTACTGCCGGCGACCTATCATTCACGAGTTAGGGGTTAACAGATGTAAGTAAATAAGTTAGTGGTAACTAAATAGAGTACTCATACGTTCGTCTTACGCCCCCAAACGCCCTGGTACGGTCGAGTGTCCGCTCTCCTCGAAATGCTGTTTCACATGGCCACGAGCATATAGCCTCTGCTAGGGAAGTCCTACTCACTACCTTCTCATGGAGTGAGTGTTTTTTTATGAGTGAGAGGATGAAAAGAGAAAGTCCGACGCTTTAACCGGGTTGTTGGACACAGAGGGTCCATGTAGGAGAGTTGGGATGCCCTGCACATGGGCTACAAGATCCTGAGGGAACAAAACGCGTATGAATCAAGTGTTGGCCACTGGCTACCATAGGACTGCATCTCCTCACGATGCTCCACTGTTTTGTGGGTCAGACATTTAAGTCGAAGGCTCCGGGTGTGGCCTCCTAAGAAAACCATCTGCTTCGATCTGGGCACCCGGGCAGTATCACAGCCCACACACAATGAGATGACAATAACTTCAGGAAATACTATGCTCGCTTCAATTAGAATTCAGACAATTCCCATTCACTTGATAGCACTCATTCTTCATTTATTATTACTATTTTTCAAAGTTGAAATCAATTTTCTATCGGTATTCGATGGTGGTCTAGCTTCAATTGACTCATGATTTCAACTTTGAAAAATACTGAAATCTCCACAAATCCCCTTCTGATTATTATTACCATTGTTGTGAATGAGAACACAGGTGAGGACAACCAACTATCTATTTAGCACAAATTACAACGTTACTTGGTAAAATACAAAAACCATGCTATGATACACTATTTGCAAAATGTTCTTCAATTGCCTCAGACTTCATTGTTCCTGGATTTCCACACAAATTGCTTTTTATTTCTGTTCTTCTCTTCTTGATCTTCTCAATCTTCTGCTGTCATATATTCTATTCCTTACTCACCATATATACTACTTATGTCGATATCAGTAGCTCACACCACACTCGTCCCCCCTTTTAATAAGCTGTTCTCGCAAACTTTCTGATCGCCGTACCATTGTCTCCTTTGGTGCTGTTTGTGACTCGTGCTCATGATGTTCCTGAAACCATCTCTGTAGTTGACTGGCATTTACACGCTTCTGCTTGTCTTCTCTCCGGATCGTGTAAACTGGGCCGCGTTTCTCCGTGATAATGTACGGTCCCTCCCATCTCGGGGTCAGCTTTCCTGACCCTGGTCCCCCTTCAGTGTTAGCTCTCCGTTCTCTACACTTCACCAGGTCCCCCACTCTAAAAGGCTTCCATGCTCTTCTCTGCTCTTCCACCTTCTTGGTGTCTGATATTTGTTTCTTTTTCACGTTCTTTATTGCCTCCGTCCTCTCTTTCCTTAATCTTGTTGCCGTCCACTTCTGCTGCTGTGGCCACGTCTTATTATGCATCGGAAGTCGTGGCTGTCTACCATACATAAGTAGGAAAGGTGATTTCTTAGTTGTTCCTTGGATGGAGGCACGATGCGCCAGCAAAATTAATGGTAACTCTTTTTCCCAATTCCCTCCTTTAGATGCTAACCATTCCTTTAATGTCCGGTTGTTTCTTTCCGTAAGCCCATTCGTCTGAGGGTGATACGGTGTAGTTCGTATCCTCTTGATACCGAACTGCTTCAAACGGGCCTTAAACTCGTCACTTTCAAAACAGGGACCCTGGTCGGTTAGTATCATCTTCGGTACTCCATGACCTGCTACAATGTGCCGGATTATTACTTCGGTCACTGTTTTCGCCCGCTGGTCGGCAATCGGTACAGCGTCGACCCATCGTGTAGCATGTTCCGTCATTACTAGTAAGTATCGGTTGCCGCTATCCGTCTGTGGAAATGGTGCCCAGACTGAAGCAGGTGGCTTTCTTAAGGGACCACACCCGGAGCCTTTGACCTGAATGTCTGATCCACAAGGCAGTGGAGCATCGTGAGGAGATGCAGTCCCATGGTAGTCGGTGACCAACTAAAATTCATACACCATTTGTTCCCTCAGGAAACTGGAGCCCATGTGCACCATTGGTTTGGAATCAGGGTTTTCCAACTCCCCTAGGTGGACTATCTGTGCCCACCAACCCCGTTAAAGAGCTGGACATTCGCTTTTCGTCCTCTCACTTTCGTAAACAACAACCCCGCCACGAGAAGGCAGTGAGTAGGACTTCCCTGGCAGAGGCTATATATTCGCTGGCCATATGAGAGTATTTCGAGAGGGAGAGGTGACTCCCCCCACTCTCGGCCGTACCAGGGCATTTGGGGGCAAGGATGAGTTCTACCACCAGTTAATTAATCTTCTCCAGAAAGCGCGATCGACAGATATTGTAGTACCAGCCGGAGACTTGAATGCTCAGGTCAGGCGTCTAGGCACAGAAGAGGGTCGTTTAGGTGGCAGATGGGAACTTGTTGGTCGCAGGTCAGATAAAGGGGACCGTCTACTGCAACTATGGGCAGACTACAACCTGTTTCTGGCTAGCACTAACTTTCGGCACAGTCATCGTCGATGTGCCACCTGGCGTCCTCCCTCTGCATCTCAAGCCTGGACTCAGATTGATCACATCGCGATCAGCTACCGCTGGCGTGGTTGTGTACAAGACTGCCGCTCCTTTTGGAGTACCTATCTAGAGTCTGATCATACCCTGGTCTGCGTCAATCTTATTTTACATTTCAGTGGCCGAAGGATTGACCACCACCAACGGATCGATGTTAGTAAACTGGCTGCAACTTCTGTTGCAAGAAAGTATCGAGCGGAACTAGCTTCTAGGCTAGCTACCATCCCACCGAAAAGTATAGATGAGCAATGGTTGCAACTGCGTAACGCCATGAAAATGGCAAGTAAAGCCGCTTGCGGCTTCGCGAAACGTTCCACTTATTAGCACTGGGTTTCTTCTGGTTTCTTACAACTCATCGAAGCCCATCGGTCTACTCCGGGTGACCGTGAGTTTGACCACAAACGAAGACTGTTGCGAAATTAAATTGGACATAGCTTGCATAAGGACAGAGAAGCCTGGTGGTCGGAGCGTACTAATGAGCTGAAAGCAGCAGTCGCATTTGGAAACTGCCAGAAGCTCTTGCAACTCATCCGAGCCACTGAGAGCAAGAAGTCTGGTGTGAGCGAAACAATCTGTGAGGATGACGGGATGCCAAGCACTAACATCCATCGACATCTTGGACGACGAGCAGAGTTCTTCGAAAGAGAGTTCAAATGGCCTGCTGTCCGGCAACATCGATCAGACTGTCCCGCCCTCCATGGCATGTGGGACCGATCCAGCAAATAAGGCGGGTCTGCAAGGAACAACTACTCTTGAAACGCTAAAAATCACCGGGTTCAGATGGCCTACCTCCCGCTCTTTTTAAAGATGGTAGTGACATTCTGGCTAAAAAATTGACTGAGTTGGGAGCTTGAGTGTTCCAACATCATGGAATGAGTCGATAGTTGTCACCATCTTTAAAAAGGGTTCACGTCGTTTCTGTAACAATTATCGGATGATAAGTCTACTTTCGATTGCATTCAAACTATTGGCTGCCGTCATACTTCGTAGATTGTTCAAAACCCGAGAAAAGTTGACTCGCGAGGAGCAGGCTGAATTTCGATCTAGTCGAGGATGTGTTGATCATATCTTCACCCTCCGCCAAATGTTAGAACACCGTCATACTTATCACAGGTCAACAATCGTAGTGTTTCATGACATCATGGCTGCCTTCGACTCGTTGGACAGGACTATCTTCTGGGATTGTCTATTGAAGGGTGTGACTGAGAAGTTAATTAACATTCTAAAACCCCTATATACAAACACCTCAGACAGAGTAAAGGTATACAATCACCCCGCTCCATTGTTACATTTAAACAGTGGGGTTAGATAGGGTTGCTCAATTTCACCATTCCTCTCCAATTTTGCCATCGATGACATTCTGGAAACAGTTCTGATATATGTAGGTAATGGTGGTGTGGATCTGTTGCCTAGAGAAAGACTTTTCGACCTTGAGTATGTGGATGATATTGTCTTACTGTGCGATGATACCCAAATCATGCAATCCACATTTAATCAGTTGGTAATTAGTGTCCGCAAGTACGGTATGTGCTTTGCACCTTCGAAGTAAAAAGTTATTTTACAAGACTGGCAGGATTCTCATCCTGTACTCACCCTGGGTAATGAGCAGATAGAAGTAGTCGAGAAGCTCGTGTATCTAGGTAGCTGCATAAGTGTTGGTGGTGGCGTGAGTGATGAGATCAATTCACGTAAAGTGAGAGCCAGAGCGGCTTATGCCAATCTAGGTCATCTTTAGCGCCTTCGTGATGTCAGTTCGGCTGTAAAAAGTCGGATCTACAACGCGTCAGTGAGAGCAGTTTTGCTCTATGTTTGTGAAAACTGGCCTCTCCGAATCGAGGATGTTCGATAACTCTGTGTCTGATCATCGTTGTCTCCGAAAGATTGCTGACATCCAGTGGCAACACCATGTTAGTAATGCAGAGGTTCGGCATTGTGTGTTCGGGCACACAGACGATAATCCAATTGGTGTTATCATCCTGAAATATCGACTTCGGTGGCTTGGACAAGTTCTACGAATGTCGTCCCAGAAAATTCCTCCTGCATTAATTGCCGACGCTGGGACTGGTTGGAAAAAGCGGAGGTGGTCAGTTCACGACATGGTGTTGTGGTATGAAAAGCTGAACATGATTGGCTTCTGTCGGTCCTTCACGACTCCCTGGTTGGGGTCCTAGGGATGGTACAACACAGTGGCTAGAGAGGTTATCAGATATGGTTCGGAATAGAAGCCAGTGGCGATCCTGTTGTAACCTTTTACTTTCCTCATAAAAAGTGACCGTAACTTCTTTGACTAGAATAATTCTTTTTGATTGTACCTTTCTGCTTCTCCCATTACATTTTTTCCACTACCAAACACTAATTTGTAGTCTTTATTGTTTTTTTCCTTCTATATCCACCTTCCCCCTTTTACGTCTTCCCATTCTCATTTTTATTATTTGGTGCATATGTATCTGGTGCAAATGTGTATCTGTACAAATATTTATGTTCAAATAAATAAAGAAATTCGTTTTATTACTTACCACTGACGAATGAAAGTGCTTAGATGAGGAGCCAATTCACCAGGACAAACAAAACCAAGACGTCCAATAGTTATCGCTATAAGAGAAAAAAATAAAACAAGGTTTAATTTTATCGACATAAAGTTTGTGAAGGTTGGCTGCATTTTGTACTTGAAATCGCGGATCAATCTTATTTAGATAACTATTTGAAAACTAGAAGTACTGGACAGTTTAGTTTTTGTATGTAGCTTCTTAACAGTCAGAGTGATCGGACCCAAGACACTGGCATCTTGAGGCGAGCTCTTCACATTTACATTACTAAGTTGGCATCCAATAAGCTTAGACTTTCGACCCCAATTAAATATCATATAGCCACCATCCAATTCTATTGGTGGGTAAATCACTTACTAATGGCATCGTTAGACTACTAGTCACGGTTTCTTACTAGAGCTCTGGAAATTATCTCCCACTATAACTACAAGATAAATGGGATTTTAGCGACTTATATATACAATTTATTAAGTTAAGGTTACCCCTCGGTGCTGTTGTGAATTGTGACCGTTATGTCACCTCCAAGATTACAAATTCAAAATGGTGGTAGTAAAATTACACTATTCTATTGGCAGTTTTGCTTCTTATCTGATCGTGGTGTCAATGAGCATTAGCGAAAAACAGAGGGGAAACAATTCACATAAACGAATGCTTATAGTGTGCTATGAAATTTAGACCTGTATGGACGTAAGAATTAAACCTAGGAATTTTCCTCACAGAAGTAAACTTTCCTAGGAATCGATTTCATGAGAAACGCATTGGTATGAAAATTTGTGAATATAGAACAAAAAGTTTACATACCAGTATTTTCGTGGAGTGTCTTAGGTGTACTTTGACGATTGATAATTTCTATCAAGGGATGAATGAACAAAGAAGCGAACGGTGCCATCCCTTCACCTACGAAACAAAAAATGCTATTATATCTCAGATCAAACACTAGCAGTAAAATTGTTAGCTTACATTGTCATGCTGAAGCTTTCCTGTTATCAACAAAATTTGACAATGAAAAACAGGATATAGGTAAGACGAAATCTGGTACTAGTGTGAATGGTTTAAGTTGATATAGCATTGCAACAGTAAACTAAACTGAAAAATGAAGCGCAAATAATGCAATTTTTTGTGACAAGTCAAATAAAAAACCGAAAAAATAAGGAGTGGCATAAGGTTTCAGACTTAAAGATAAAGTGGCTCGACTACTGAAATCTAAGATTTACGAATTTAGGGAGCTCCCAATTCAGTCAGTCAGTCACAGCGTTGAACTTCGTACGTAAGTACATCAGTTTGAGCTGCCATACCACATTAGCACAGAGATGAAGTTGTCGATTCAAATCCCATAGTGGTAGAAGTAGTAAGAGTATAAGCATTATGTGAAAGATAAGGGTTTGAAGATGTTATTGAAGGAGTATAATACAGTGAAATAAATTTGGAAAGAGAAAAAGGATAGGGACATGAAGAATTCAGAAGATTAGAATTTGGTAGAACACAAAGAGTGAATGCGCCTTCGAAATTGCAAACGATTTTGAGCCATGTCATTCAAGGTCTCTAACCATCGGTTACTATCATCTCGCGAATCCCAACCAGGTAGTCTACACCTACCAACATGGCCCAGTCCACTTGTCAGTGACTTCATGGATTTATGCCATGTTTTGATCTGGCCGCTCCTAGCTTTCTTCCAACCTGCTCCTACACCATGAAACATTGCACGTTGGGGCAGTCGGTGGTTGGGCATACGTAACACATGTCCCAGCCATCTCAACTGATGAAGTTTCACTACTTCATCAATCGATTTGCCATCCCTACCTAGTACCCGTTTCCTAACGACTGCATTACTTACCCGGTGGTCCCAGGATAGACGAGAAATGCTTCGAAGACACCTATGATCGAACACTAGTAGCCTACGAATATCCTCTACTCTTATCGGCCATGTTTCACTGCCATAAAGTAGGACGGAGCGAACTGCTGCACAGTAAACCCGTTCTTTGGTTGCTAGACAGATATGTCGCCTACGCCATAAATGGCGCAAGTTGGCAAAAGCTAGACGAGCCTTCTGTATCCGTGCTGAGGTTTCGTCACACACCAGACCACAAGGGCTGATGAGACTCCCAAGATAAGTGAAGCTGTCAACACGCTCAACTACTTCACTCCCTATCATTAGTTCAGGCGTCGATGCAACCCAATCCTGAAGTAACATTTTGCACTTCGAGGGAGAGAATCGCATCCCGAACATGCCTGCATTGTTGCTTATAGTGGTCAGAAGACTCTGCATGTTGTCAGCGTCTTCACCGAGTAAAACTATGTCGTCCGCGTATTTTAAGTCAACAAGTGAGCCTTCCGGTAAAAGTTCAACTCCTGGAGATTGAGATGAAGAAAGTGATATCTCTAAAAGCATGTCGACGACAAAGCTAAACAAGAATGGGGGGAGTGGACAGCCCTGGCGAACACCACTTGAGGTAACCAATTCTGATGACAGTTCGCCATAGGCTCTAACTCAACCAGTTGTGTTCGAGTAGAGATCTCTCAGTTAGCTGCTGATTTAGAGCTAATTTAATTCTCAGTCACCGAATTTGGTTGCTACACAGTACTTTCGCATGGTTGGGAACGGTATTTGAAATTTATGTTAGTTTTATTTGCATTTGGTTCTATTTCATTCTCTATAGTCTTTTTATTTATTTTATTTAAACACAAATATTGGTATAAAGGGGCACCAGATATACATGCGCCACACAAATCTATTTGATTCGTGTGAGGGCTGTGATAGTGCCCGGGCGCCCAAACCGAAACAGGCGATTTTCTTAGGGGGCCACACCCGGAGCCTTTGACCACAAGACAGTGGAGCATCGTAAGGAGATACGGTCCCATGGTAGCCGATGACCAACTAAAATTCCATACACCATTTGTTCCCTCAGGAAACTGGAGCCCTTGTGCACCATTGGTTTGGAATCAGGGTTTTCCAACTCCCCTAGGTGGACTCTATGTGCCCACCAACCCCGTTAAAGAGCTGGACATCCGCTTTTCGCCCTCTCAATTTCGTTAACACCCCCGCCTCGAGAAGGCAGTGAGTAGAATTTCCCTGGCAGAGACTATATACGCGTGGCCATGTGAGAGCATTTCGAGAGGGAGAGTGGACTCTCCCCACTCCCGGCCGTATCAGGGCATTTGGGGGCCATTCTCTATAGTACTTACATGTATTGGTATTTGGTCAGTAGGCCCGTGTGATCTAAATACCGAGAATCTAAATCAACGAAAATTTACAAAGGACACAACTGGTTTACTTTTATCTGTACCATTGCATTATTGATCATAATAGAATTCATACTTTGTCTTATCGTAAATACCATAGCCCCAATTATCTAGATTTTGATCTCAAATATTCAAAATGCTAAATACATGTGAACTGAATAACTAAATATCACTCACCCAATTGAATACAAATTTCTCCGATTGCCCAAATAGCATTGTTACTAACAGATATATGCTCAGAACTGAGATTATTAGCCAAAATTGTCATAAACTGACCAATCTGAGGCTGGATGTAGGCAAAGCATGCCTTTGTTAAGTCACCCAAGAGAGCAAAACTACTCTGGCGGACGTCTGGTTGGACGTCTTGAGCTGCTTCACACAGTAACTTTACCAAAGGGCTACTTGATACTAAATGTTCCATCTGAGATCCAAGACCTTCCATAAGACCACTTAGGAGATCCAGAGAAATCACCATAAAGTCTTTGTCTGGTGGTTCATATACTTCTGGTTGTTGAGCATGTAGCTGTCAAAATTGAATATTTAAACGTATTTAACGAAACAATTACATTAAGATGTCCACTGAACATCTAACAGCACTTGTATCCCGATTCTTATAACAGATCAAAGAATTATTCGGGTAGGTATTTGCGAAAGTAAAGTCAACGTGGATTCATAAGGAAACAAGGGATTTATAAATACAGGTTGCTGTTTCAACTGTTACTGAGTAATTCCACAACGAAAATATTGATTGAAAAATAATGATACTAAGGAACATCAGGATCTTTAATAACCATTTCAGAAACCGTAAAGTTAAACTCAAAAGTTATTTTTGAATTAATCAATAATTTACAGAGCTGGACTACGTACGTAGCTTTTCTAAATTTTTTATACTCACTAACGCTGTACAAGAATGTCTAAATGTACAAGAAACATGAATTCAACTGACTGCAATTTGCTGCGTCTACGCTTATAACTAAAATTCTTTGAAAGTATGCGAGTTAAGAGATAAACACTGTGGTTTATATCACCAATCCAAATTGTTTAGAAACCAAGACAAACTTACCTTGCTGAGTTGTATTGTTCTATCAATTAAATTAACACATCGACTAAACACAGGAGCGCAGTAAGGTAGGAAACCTGTTCCTAAAGCAGTAGCCATGCTAGAAAGGCATTCCAGAAGGGGGAATAAGTCTTTTTCGTCATCTCGTAAAACGTTCCACTTCTCAAAAAGCGGCGGCATAAGCATCTCTATAAAATCCTTTGGGGAAATTACGAGATCAATTTAAATTTACCGGTCGGTTGAGATGATGACCAACAGAATCTGCAAGTGTACCTATAGCATCATACAAAATAAACAAGTTTTTGTGTTGATATTGCTTAAGCGCATACACGAGAGTTCGTAAGATGAGGTCCAGATATGGAACGAGATCTGTACATGCTTCTTCTTCTAGGGTAGCGAAAGCAGAACAGGCTGCCTCCTGAACACGTTTGTTGCAATCCAAAATTCTTTTGAGGAGCTACAACAATTAAGTCTAAAGGTTGACTTACCTCAACCATCAAAGGTTTGAAGTATTGCTCATGAGGTTGTCCGACGATCCAATGAGAATACCGGCTTAATGTCCAACAAGTTATACTACGTATGAGAGGCCTATCATCCGACAGACAACCAATGAGGAACGGACATAACTCTGGAAGGTATGGAATCATTCCCTTCATACAACCTTAACGAAGTCATTTACTATAATGAACTAACCTTCTGCAATAGCACCAAGGACCAAAATACCAGACTCTTTAAGTTCCCACTGAGGAGAAAATAAAAGTTCTTTTGTGAGTGGCAACAAAATAGGTAGAAAATCTGTGTGGAACACACTAGCCAACACATCAAGGGCAGCAGCAGAACATTTTCTGAGAGTCCAGTTGGAAACATAATCGTCGTCTTCATCTTCGTCATCGTCCTAAACACAAACCGCTAGAAGGATTATTACATTTACCTCTGGAGAGAAAAGTTTGTTTTTTGTCTTATGAAACCGCGGGCGAATATCGCATTCCTTGTCAGGTAGATGAGCATCTTCTTCTAAATCATTCTACAAAAATATTTTGATTTGAATGTCTTACTCGAAGTAACACCATGTCACTTTCAGAATACTTCATTCCACAAACTAAGACTGGGATAAGTCGCCCAATATACGGCGACAGAGCTTGGTGGCACACGGGTTGCTCAGAAAGCGAAAGCCAGAATTCACATGCCTCTCTTGAAATATTTTCATCGGTTTCTTGAGTGCGAAGAAGCATAAACTATTTTTCTAATTAGAAACACGTAGCTTTACCTCAATAATGTCAGGTAAATTCGGAAGTAATTTATCCAAGTGAGCTTCCAGAAGCTGTACAAATGCAGAGCAGATATGTCGTCGGACATTTGGATCTTCATCTTCGGCTAAAGCGAACAAACATTCCAGAAACTCGTGAACAAAGTGTAAGAGAACCTGAGATTGACTATGTATGAAGTGGTTGATACATGCAAGAGCATGAGACCTAAATTAGATAAAATTTTGTTTAATAGGTTTTTTAAAAAACTACTCGTTACAGATACTGCATTAGACAAATAAAGAATAGAAGGGCGACTAGGCCTTAGGAAAAGTAGGACAAAAGTCTAAAAATTTGATTACGGAGAAGCTGGATAGCCAAGACTGAGAAAATAATGAGTGTTGGTTCAGAATGATCAGATTGCGAAACTAATTAACTGAATTACTTACAAATTGTACGGTTACGGTCGACATGCCAAAACCCATCATCCTGGTAATTATTATTAAAGTATGCTGAAATCCAACAAGCTTTTTACACAAAACCACCACCTGGTAACATCGCTTTGAGTGTTGGCCGGTATTAGCTCAATATTAGTCCCCAGTTTTCCGTATGACTGATGTAACTGCTTCAAAAATCATATAAAATCTGGTCTTTTACAGCCATGACAAACATGTTAACTGTGATTTTTAATAATGACATGAGTGATTGCCATTGATATAGCGCATATAATACGCAACTATCAACTAACAGTTAAATCTGCAAACACAAACTTTCAGTGACAGATGTTCGGGGTGTAAATGATACACTTTAACAAACGACAATGTAGGAACTTATAATGAAAAACTTTAGTTTAATACGGTGTACATTTCTAATTCAACATAAAAAGTTGAATTTACTGTCTTAAACTAGATCTAAGTCATAACTCACAGCCTAATGAAAAATCAAGAGACAAAATTTCAACCTTGTAGCCAAAAGTGACTATTTTGGTACAAATTTTTTTATTTTATTTTATTTAAACACATAAATATTGGTACAAGGAAGCACCAGATAAATATGCGCCTCACAAATCTCATTCGATTTGTGTGAGGGCTGTTATACTGCCCAGGTGTCCAGACTGAAGCAGGTGGTTTTCTTAGGGGGCCACACCCGGAGCCTTTGACCTAAAGGTCTAGTCCGCAAAGCAGTGGAGCATCGTAAGGAGATGCAGTCCCATGGTAGCCGATGACCAACTAAAATTCCATACACCATTTGTTCCCTCAGGAAACTGGAGCCCATGTGCACCATTGGTTTGGAATCAGGGTTTTCCAACTCCCCTAGGTGGACTCTCTGTGCCCACCAACCCCGTTAAAGAGCTGGACATTCGCTTTTCGTCCTCTCAATTTTGTGAACAACACACCCGCCACGAGAAGGCAGTGAGTAGGACTTCAAATAACAGTGAGCTTGAGCAATGAAAGTATCACAACGTAATGTAGGTCTAAGAGAAACCTGTTTCAGACTTGAACATCTGTTAGCAACACCAGCCCCGATGTGGCTGTCCTGAATGATGAAAAATGGACGGCAGTAAGGAGGAAAAGAAAGGGGGAAAAGCTAAAGATAATACGCACTTGGTTGACAAGTTATTGGGGAACTCACATTCTGAATCACTCAACGCACTACCACACTCTGATAGTAAGGCAGAACAACACCCTAGTGTGACTAAAAAGAACTTAATCTCATCAAATATTATTGTGAGTTAATTGCCAGAGTCGAACGATCTATATCAAAGTTAGACACGTCCATGATTTAGAGAGGCTCGGAGAATATATTCGTAGCATATTGCCAGATAACTCCAAAGGTGTTCAGGTCAAAAAATTGGTTAGAATAGGTAAAAGGGCCGATGACAGTGTTCTACCCCGACCATATAGATTCCTCAAGGTAATCCTAGGGACGGAGAAAAAACGTGATCTTCTGTTAAGTAGCACTCGCAGTCACGACAATTCGTTTCGTTTCTCGCACTGAGTAGTGAATTACTGGAATTCTCTACCAGAACACGTAATATCAGCACCTTCTGTTGATATATTCAAAACGAGATTGGACAAACACCGTGTAACAAACTGCAAGGATTAATATAGGTCGATATAGCTCCTATCCTTATTACTGAAGACTGAAGACCGGCAATAAGCCATTTTAGGCTAAATGATCTTTTAAAACCATTAGATTTAAGCATACAAACCTGTAACAGAAAGCCTCTAGATTATAAGATTAGAAAGTGGGGGCCAAGAAACAGTCCTAAACTAATGTAACATCAGTTAGAGAACATAAAATTTAGAAGCCTCTTCAGTGTTTATCAATGTAATCAATTGGTTTAATTCTGATGTACGGAACAAAACAATTTATAATTACTTTCTTTACAACTAGGTCAAAGCAGTTCAAGTCAAATGACACGATACAATATAAAAGCCAGGGACTAACAGAACCCCTGTGCACACAAGTTGTTTTCTTTCTTACCAAGAAATCAATTTTAGAAACCTACTACTGGAACGAGTCGTGCATATCATTAAATGACCCACTAAAACAATAGATATTTGATGGAAAATGACTACTACAAGCTCCTTATTACCGAAGCAAACACATCAACTAAGTCTGATAGTAAACTGTTCACGAGTACGCAACAAATATGGAGCATAACTCACCTGATTTTGGGACTGTCATGTCTGGAGTATTGTAAGAATTTTGAGACAAGCACTCCTATAGGACAACCAATACGATCAGTTTCCAGTTGAGATGAAGAATCTTCGCATATTTTCTCGATCGCGCCAAAAGCACCCTAGAGACTGATTTAGTCATCAACATTACGAACCTCCATAAAATTAACATCGTGAGAATCAATACACTCGACCAACTTTGGTAGCAATTCCGGCCAGTTTTGTATGCCATCACTAGTTACAATGGTGGTGATAAGAATTCCGACAATTGATCTGATCATAGGTGAGCTATCGCTGATGCATCGTAAACACCCATCCTTGATGTAACTAATAAGTTCAGGAGGGCATCTCTTAAAGTGACTTTTTAGATTATTTTTCAAAATAAGTCCACTAAGAGAACGCGTGCTGTCACCTGGACAACATTTATAGTTAGATCATAACTTTAAACTCACTTTCCGAACCTGCATTTGTCAAGATAAATGCTAGGTATTTGTTAAAATCAGGAACATTGTTCAACTCATTCAATTTCTAAAACTGTTGAAGGGGGATATTCACTAACCTCATGCACAACCCTTTGAACGTTTGTGTCAGTTGATTGAGAATTATGCAGCAAGTCTAACGTTTGTCGTATCCCATCCTCATCTGGAAACCAACTCATATTTTCAAAATAACCGCCGACTGGCATAAAAGTATCGTATAAACAATATTTAATCCTCAAGGCCTTGAAAGTATGATTCCTGGCTTTAAAGAGACCCAAAGTGGATTTTTGACGCGTATTCTTCCAATTTCATGCTTTTACAATCAGGCAGTAAAGTTGGATTTTCTCCAGACTTCAGTCCTCACTAAAATGATTCCGATTTCAGATTTGTATAGTAAGGACAGAAGGCCTATGGCCTATGTTATTCCTTTTCTGGAATGCTTCTGTGAGTGTCCATTCTCCTCTTTAATGAGTCAATTGAAGGTGTGAACACAACTGCTCCAGGCAACAGGTTTCAAGAATTGGTGACTCGGTGTGAAAATCTGTATGCCACTGGCATTTTATTCGTTCTCGACTTTTCCACTCTCCTGATATGTCCTCTGAGATGTAGCGCTTTATAGGGAAGAAAAAAATATGTTGGGTTTAAAATCATTTCTTAGTATTCTCTACATGCAAATCAGATCACCTCTTAATTTGCGATAGGACAGAGTAAAGAGGTCTGGCTTCTCAAGCAGCTCCTTTTATGATAAACCACGGAGTTCTGGAATTCCACGGGTAGGTGCTTTCCGTATTTTTTCCGGGATATCCGAGTCACCTTTTAAACAGAGGTTTTCAGGCTGAACGCAGTTCTCAAGCTTTGTTCTCACTAAGGTTGTGTATACTGTAGTGAACATGGTAGTGTCTAACTTAGTGAATACCCGGCTTAAAGCTCATAGGGTTCTAATCCCCTTGGCTTCAACCTCCCGACAATGGATGTGGCCTTAAGGTCATGACTCGCTATCAACCCAAGAACCTTATGAGATCGAACTACGAGTACAGGCAATTCCCCTATTCTTTATCTATTTACTTTCGTATCCCCAAAGTGCATGTAGATACACGTTGCCGCGTTGATAGGCATCAGTCACTATTAAGACCAGTTAATCACAATATTCAAGCCTGCCTGAAGTGCGCATGCATCTTCGTCTGTCATTATTTCTCGCTAGATTTTTACATCGTCAGCGTATAATAACATTGGGGACTCTACTATACTTGGAAGATCATTTACATACAATGTGAAAAGTAAAGGACCTGGGAGAGAAACTTGGGGCACTCCAATCAATACTGGTCTTCAGGTGGAGCACTTCCAATTTACTCCCAATATCTGTCTACGACCTGCAAAGAAACCCTTGCCATTTTAATAGAGCTCCGACAAGTTTGTAGTTTGATGGGAATTGTCTTAATCCTGTTTTATGTATCGGAGTGACAAGAGGTCTGGCAATACCAAGATTTTCCAGCTTCAAGAGTAGTCTGTTTGTTGTCACCTTGTCAAATGCTCTGCTGAAGTCTATGTAAACCATATCAACTGATTTACTGTTGTCTAGAACCTTTGTTCAATGCTCTCTTGCTGTAAGGAGGTTTGTTGTGCAAAATATCTACCATTATTTTGGTGTTGATACACTTTCTCTGTCACCAAACCACCTAAAAACGAGGCCACCAGTTTATATTTTAGATGCATATTCTTCAAGTATAAGAATTGATCCATGTTCAATTTGAGCATGCAGTGAATATCTAGCAGAAAGGATTACACCTAGAGTGGCTATTACAATCTATATTAGCCCTCAGATTATCTAAAGAGTGTCATCAAAAAATCTGAAGAACCGCTATAAACAGTGGTCCGAAATGGTCAACAGAAATGAATCGCCTGTATACCAGAACAATCTACAGTGTGATGAGTATCGAACGAAGAGTGTTTATCCAGATGAGTTGTTTCTGAAGATAAACATAAATGACATTCTTCGCTACCCTAAAAATATCTAACTGTAAATCGTGAACACTGTAAAACTATTGTTATTTCTTCAAAGTTCCATTTCGTGTCTTGTTTTTAGTGCTGATATGACTTTAGTATTAAGTTTCACTGAAACTACAACCCGACCTAAATACGTTTGACGATGCCTATGACGACGGAATCGGTACGCTTACATTTAGCTATCAGATCTATGGCGAACAGCTGTTTATTTTCCATAAACGTATGCATTGCGAGGGTTTCATTGTTGTCAAGTGAGTCTCAAGTGTCATAAATCCGGTAGTACAAATGCATGTCCAATGGTATTGATGAATTACTAGCTGCTAATTATGATTCTTCTCACCAGAGAATATATCCGATAAAACGGATCCAGAGCGGCCAACCTACTAAGACATGAAAAGATAAGCAGCCAAATGTAATAATACGAAGTGAAACAAGTAACTAGAGTGTAGCCGCAAATAAATTACCAAAATAGATAGTTCTGTAAGTCTTCAACATTTGTACCAAACCCATTAGGTTTGCCGGATACTGGAATCTGTCGATCAAACATCCTCTCCAGATCTCAACTGGGTGCGCCGTGCGTATATCATATACTTCACTAAACATCGACTACCTTTCAAGTATGCCTTCGTACACTCCATTCAAAACTTCTTGTTTGGCTGAGTTTGAGGTCCTCAATTATAAATATGTTACAGACAACAACGTCGTTATGCAATTAATATCCGTGAACTTTTTAAATCCACACTTCACAACCCTCCAATAATAAATGAAGAGTCTGTTTGAAGACAAAGTGGTCTCCGTTTAACTCTTAAAATTTCAGAATGCGGAATTAGTTTTGCGCGTCGTCCTGAAGCGATCTCGCCGAAAGCCATATCTAGATGCAATTTTCAATAAAATTAAAAAACTGACAGTGTTGCTTTATGTTGCTAAAGTTTTTTAATGACTAGTGGACACTATAAACTGTATCCTAATCTAGAACTGTGATTGTTTATCAGCTAGCAAACTTAGTAACAGTGTTGGAATATATATATTTCAATAAAATAAGAGAAATCGAAATGGAGTGCTTCTCCGATAATTCGTAATGAATACGGATAAGGTATATCAGGTCAGATGGGAACTAGTGCTCTTCAAGTGGCATGGTCGCCAATTGGTAGAGAGCAGAACAAATTCCGACACCACGGACCATTGATGAACCAGGAGAAAAGCTGATATAGTTTCAGCACACCACCTGCTCGTCGGCAGGATGGAACTAGAGCTAAAAAAGCACTGTACAACTGAGGAAACAGCATTACAACAGTTCAATGCAGCTTCCATCGAGATACTGACGAACTTAACAAATTCAAGATATCTCTCGACAACAGGTTTCAAGCCTTACGAGATCTACTCACAGAAGAGGAAACTACTATGGATAACAACTGGAAAGGGGTCAAAGAAGCACTAATTTCAACGTGTCAGGAGGTTATGGTCTGCAACAATTACCATCACAGAGAAGAAGTCTCTCTCGTTAACTATGCTGGTATTAAACTAAACAAACAAGAACGTAGAGCCAATACTCCCACTTTTTCCTCTTCTCATAGTAAAAGCGACAAACCACAGGGCTTTCAGCACACCATTTTATTAGACAAACGCTCATCCTTCCTGACACTAATGTTAATCAATGCCCGATCTATTCAGAATAAGATGACTCAACTACGCGCCCTATTACTTTTACACAACCCCTCACTTGTTTTGATAACGGAAAGTTGGTTGTCCTCCGATATCACAGACACGTACCTCCAAATAGACACGTATGAGCTCTTCCGCTGTGACCGAGTCACCAAGAAGAGTGGCGGTTGTCTCATATATGCATCAAAAAACATGAGGACGGAAATCTTTAGTGATCATATCCTCAGTAAAGTACCAGATTCGATGTGGCTTACTGTACACACCCTTGAATGTAAAATACTAATCGGATGTATATATCGAGCTCCGAATACCCCCAGTCTGACTGATACCATTATAAGTGAGTCATTTGCTAAGGTTGCCTCGCTTGACTTCGCCTACAAAATTGTCTGTGGTGATTTCAACCTTCCAACCATCAACTGGAAGACACATTCTGGCCCACCTTGCTACGAAGGAATACTAAGGTCCTTAGACATACACGGTTGGCAGCAACATGTTAACTTGCCTACCCGAAACCACAACATTCTTGACTTAATATTCTGTCACAATGTCACACCAGCATCAATGGTGGTTGGCGAGAAGTTCCATAATAGCGATCATAAAATAGTCTTCTGCACCCTTCCGATTCTTGCCAAGCGCAAAAAATTAAAGACATTAAATACGTGTTTCCAATATAGAGACTATGCAAACGCCGACTGGAGTAACTTTCGGTTTCTTATGAAGCATTCTGACTGGAACACTTTCTTCACCAGTGATAACCTTTTAGAAACACTGGAAATATTCAATACTACCACCAACTCTGCACTAGACAATACCATCCCTTCTAAAATTGCTTTCAAAACAATTGCTTTCTACATCAACCAAAAGGCTAAGCCTAAGCTACGAAAACTAAGAAAAACGTACTTTACATCAAAAGACTTTAGTGCCCTGCACCAGGTATACTCAGTACAAAGTCATCACAACAAAAACAAACAGACAGAAGAACGTACTGCGCTCACAGCTGTATCTAAAGTCCAAAACTTATGTCGGATCCTTGCAAAACGGATGAGAAAGAACGAAGATCACAACATTCACTCTTTACTGCACGATGGCGTGACGTACTATGACCAAACCGTCATATGCGAACTGCTAAGTGAATGGTTTTCACAAAACGGGAATACATCTAATGCCCCAGATTTTAACATAAAATGCATAAGCAAAAGCTATATTAGCACCATAAACCTTGACATTAGGAGTATACATACCGCCATCAAAACCCTTAAGCCGAATGCGAGCTCTGGTGTTGATGATATACCATCAATTCTCTATAAAATGTCGGGGCCGGATATACATACGTTATTGCTCAAAATATACACACTATCTTTAGAGGCGGGTACATATCCTGAAGCCTGGAAGGTAACGTATGTTCTTCCCAAACACAAATCAGGACCGAGAAACCTGGTCGGAAACTACAGACCTATAAATATCACCCCAGTTATTTCGCGCATAATGGAAAAAGTGATACAAAGTCAACTATCAGATCACCTACTTAAGGAAGAACTAATAGAC